AAAAAAAAAAAAAACTCACTGGCAACTGTATTGATGGCTGCGACTGGAAGCTCCATATCAATGAGCTGCAAATCCTGGCTGAATCTGTTGAGAAGGGAGCCGCTGTCTGTTGATGAAAGAAAGAGCATCGGAGCACTGGAGATAATTAGCATGAGTCTTTACTATGGCTTAGCCAGGTAACTTACTTCAACACAGTGGTCAAAAGCCTCCGGTGGAAGCTCTCACCAGACTTTGGTACCATGTCAATGATCATCTCCCAAGTACCAAGAAGAAGAGTAATCATGCCAACGACACAGATCATTGCATAAATGCCAACATAATATGCTGTGCGTCCATTGGGATCTTCCTCATTGGATGCAGCCCACCATTTGACCCAGATACCTTAAGAAACAGTCAGCAAGATCCAAGAAATTCGAGGTATGGGAGACTTACTCGGGAATGACAAGCAAAAGACAAACGCTGCAATCATCACAGTGAAGAAAATAGAGGGCAGCCAGCCAATAGATCGAATGTAGTAAAGATAGATCGATAGATCACCTCCATTGCCGTGCTCCTCTGCCCCAATGTCCTCAGCCTTGTGAGGGGAACTAATCGGTGCGCGAAAGGCATCCGAGCTAGCTGCAATTGCTGCCTTGTAGTCATAGTTCCATTCAGCTGGTCCTAATGCGAAACTCGAGACATATCCTCCAGTGGCGTTCAGGGCTTTGAAGCTTCCCTGTTCTAAAACGTGACCATCCTGACTGAGCACAATAACCTGATCAGAGTAGGGAAGTCGTTTTACTATAAAAAAAAAAGTTAGCATGTGGATTTACCTCAAAGATACCACTAGAATAGGAAAATTCATACCAGACGATGAAGCAAATACAACAGTGGTGCCGATTTCACGCAGCAGTCCGTGTTCACCAAATACATTGTGGAAAATATGGTTTTCAGTCGCTGCATCAAGACCGCTCAAGCCATCATCGAGAAGAAGAATCTCTTTTCTGGCATAAACAGCTCGGGCAAGTGCCTATAAAATCGATATTAGCTCAACCATAGCAATGTCGACGAAACGTGGGACACATACGATACGCTGGCTCTGACCACCACTGAGGGCCATTCCCTTGCTTCCAATTGTTGTCTGGTCCCCGCGAGGCAACTGCTCGAAGTCTTTCTGCAAAGCACAAGCGTGTAGAACAGTGGAGTACCACCTTTCGTCCAGGTCTGACATGGCAATAATACTGTCTTGAATTGATCCGTTCATGTGCCATGGGGTCTGCTCACAGTATGCGATACTTTTTGATAGCAGCTCCACATTTCCATTCACACATTGCACTTCGCCAAGCAAAGACTTGATCAGAGTTGATTTTCCACACCCAGAGGGTCCAATCAGCATAGTAAAATTTCCCTTGGGAATGGCGAGGGTCAGGTCGGAGAGGGTAGGCTCCTTTTCGACATCCCATGAGAAAGTGCCGTTTCGAACTGCAATGGCATCGACATTGACGGAAGAGCCAGGGCGCTTGAGCTTGAGTGATTGTGTCGAGACCGAATCACTGGGGGCGATATCCGAGTCTGCAGCTACCGATTCTGCAACGAGGGTCAAGGATTTCGTGTCTTCCAAGCCTTCCTTCGAGTTCTCGCCAACCTTGTGCCTATAGTCCGTGTGGCTTTTCTTTTCAAGGAACTCCTGGATTCGAGCAAATGAACCAGCAGACCCCGCAAATTGCATCAGGGCCATGACAAGAGTTAAAAGAGGATCCGACAGAAGTGCGAAGAGCGACAAAGAGGTGTAGGCGACGGAGGTATCGAATGCAGCTACATTTCCTTGATTATTCTTGATTCCGACAAAAGCCCCGAATGCGCAGATCGGCGCGAAGATGCGGGTTAGCCATGCTGTATACGTGGTTAGAGGACTGTCGTGAACACTAGAAATAGGATTCAAACCTACCGAAACCCATGTTCCAGACCAAAAGTCTTCTGAACTTCCGAGAGATGTCCAATTCACTGAGTCGCAAACCATGTACACACTTCATAAGCGTAGATTGAAGACCCAGCATCTTGATACCCTTGAGAGAACCAAGCATAGAAGTTGTCGCCGAGATACGCTTCTCGATGGCCTGTAGCCACAATGCTTGTCGATTCATGACAAAGACCATTCCAATCATAGATCCAAGGAGGGCGACTGTAACGGTAATTAGTGTGATTTACTATATGAAGAACCGACATTCTCACCAACTGAGACAGCGACTGGAACAACGCAGGCGACGCCCAATTGTCTTTCAAGAAGAAAGATAGCCACTCCAATCTCGAGAGCGTTACCCCAGAGATCATGCATTGTCTGCCAACCGTTGGTGATTCTTTCGATATCCGCACTCATCAAGGTAAGCGCTGCGGCTGGATCGGCCTCTTTGACACTGAGGGTACCGGCTTTTTTGTAGAGCATGGCAACCAGAGCGCCTCTCACCATGGTAATGGAACGGTATGTCATGTGTTGGTACTGACCCATCATAATCTAGCGCAAATTAGTAGGAAAATAAATAGACAGAGGAGTGGATAATTACCCCCATTCCAACATAGACCAAGATATAAGCGCCAATTAAGCCGTAGCCGATGCTCATAGTTTGACCGTTGACTACTTCACTTGAATACGAAAGCGATCTTTGCAACAGCAAAGGCTGGCAGATATTCAAGGCAGCGAGACAGAGTCTTGGAGGAACAGCAGATAGAATTTCCCATTTGAATGCTCTGAACGTGACAAACAGCAGACTCTCTCGGTTTTCTCCTTCTCCTATATTTCATTAGCTGTTTTCAAATAGAACAACAAAATAAGATCCCACCTTCATTCCAAAGAGGCTCAAGCTTGTCCTGAAGTGGCTGAGAGCTCAATTGCTTTTCCAGCGCAAAGAGATCATTGACTGCAAGAATCCTAGAGAAACCATTCTTGAACAGAGGAATCAACCAGATGAAGAAGACCTTGTTGAAGATGCTACCAGTCGCCTCGGGAGGGTATCCCTTGTATTCTGGTTTGAGGATACTTCTCTTCTCTGCCGTTTCCAAGACCAGCAGGACCGCCTTCCAAGCCAGCGCGACAGAGGTGAGAATTGCGATAGTTCTGCTATCGTCGCCATTATCGCGCAGCCAGAGGGTTCTGACTCGTGCGATGTCAAAGAGAAGACTAGGGAAGAGGTAGACATTGAGGAAGACTGAAGGCTTGACTGAGCGCACGTGCTCTGCGCAAGACAGAAGACAGAGAACCCAAGCGCCCACGGCGAAGATGGCATTAGCTGCAATGGAGGTCTTGGTTCTGTTGGCTGATGGAAGAGCCCATAATGCTGTGAGGACAATCTGTATGATACCTAGAGCAATCCACGATACCTGAATGCGCAAAGGAGATGGTCAGCCAAGAGGGTGGCGGGATGAAGATAGGAAGAGAAGAAGAGACGGGAAGGAGGAGGGGCAGGAGGGGAAGAAAGCTTCCCAAATAGGACATACCGTTTTGATCCAGAACAGAATGGAGAGGTCAACTTTATTCTGGCGCTGCCATAAATGTGAGATGCGAAACGGCGCAACAGCGAGAATCAAGCCGATGGGAAGAATGCCCAAGATGGTCTCTTCGAAGAGAAGGGTAAAGTCGAATCCTCCTCTACACGACAACGCGTAGGCGCGAAATGTGTTGTCGAGCTGTAGACACGAGGGAGAAGACATGATGTGCTACAACGACTTGTTCAACTTCCACACATTGGCAAACGCGAGAGTCGGGATTAGTATTATTAGCTAGAAGAAAAAGGAACGCCTTTTAGTCCCAAGATTAAGTTATTTAACGAGAGTCACAGGGTTGGAAGATCAGAAAAGAGCGGACGCAGAGCATCGAGGGGAGGATCTGTAGTGGATAGCGGCTCATAGTCAGTCCAACTCCTTGAGGCAAAGTCATTCTAAGCGAGCATATTATTGTCCCTTCTGGAAGAGGAGAGAAACTAGAGAAAAAAAGCGCATAAAAAAGAGAGAGCAACTTACCTGCAATGCAACATTGAGGGTTTGAGACAACCTGAAGAGACAGACTGAGAAAGACAGACGATGGAAATGGCATCAGTTGCCCGAAAGACTTGCATTCGTTTTCGTTTTCGTTTTTTAGTTTTTGTACAGTTTTTATTATAACATTGCTTGTTATTATTTTATTTTATTTAATTTTATTTTATCCCTGCGAGGGCAATGGATGTTTTCTTTTTTTTCTTCCCGGCTTCAGGTTTGCTTAGAGTGGGGAGAGAAGAGAGTGGACCGAGTGATGGCGACTAACCCAGGGGTGACGCTGTTGTGTCACCTTGCAGGCCAACTCACATCGAGTCCGAATTACACGAGAATATTCTTGCTTATTTTATTTGATTTCGTTTAAATTAATTTTCTTGAAGGAGAGGATGATTCTGGTAATATTGTGCCCGATGCGAGGGTGAGACTGATCTATCCTGATTGGAACCACGACGGGGAAAACACAGTTTGTATGTATCATCTCCAGGGCTGGTGATGAACTCAGTTGAGCTGTTTGTTGAGGCTGATCGAGCGGAATCAGGAGAGACAGAAAGGATAAATTCCCACCCAATGCCTTGGTTACACCGTATCTTCATCCAGGCACAGAACGCCTTACCCAAGGAAGAAAAGAAAAAAATAAAAGAAAAAAGGCAAGTGACCATAGGCCATAGGGAAATTGCTTCACTCTGGTCCTCTACGTAATAAATACATAGCTGGAACGTGAATTCATCACGGATCTTCCCTTGGTTTTTTCTTTTGTTTGCTGTATGTTTGCTTTTTCTTTCTGATTTCATATGCCCCTATAATTCTCCCCCTTCCCTATTCTCCTATATTCCGTATGTACCCCATATATGGAGATAAAAAAAAAAAGGAGAAAAAAACGTATGCACATGGGCAACAGAATTACAATAATCGAATGTGTAAAATTGATACCGCACATGTCAACCTTGCTACGTATGTACCTGTCAAAAGCTAATGCTAAACACTAACCCCAACTAGGCAATAACATGCCACGATTAACCTCTGTGGATCCCAAGGCGGAATCAACGGTACCAGGATGGTGACCTGGACAGTGGACACATTTGCCAGAAGGCCAGACCCGCATCTGGAGGATTATCTAGAGAGTGGTCAGTGGTGAAGAAGAAAATACCCCCACCGGTGTGGGACGGCAGAAGCGGAGATGAAATCATCAGTCGCCAATGTGATGATGGGCTGATGATGGGCAAACTGGAGGTCAGAGCATCTTGCTTATGTACTGAGTATGTACGGAGCTGAGGAACTATCTACTATTTGAGTTCCCCAAACCATACCTAAGTGACCGCATTATCATTATCCATTGTCTGCGATGGTTTGGCGGCAGGTGGGGATTTGTAACAATCCATGCACCAACCAGACGTGTTGGAGATCAGCGCTAGCCAGATCCGGCAGCCCCACTCTGTCAACTACTGATGCTAATTCCTTCGGCCTTGGTGGGGCGATAAAGAGCTAGATAGCCGTAGGATGTACTGTGTACTGTGTAGATACCAGCGTATTGCGTATTATTAGACCATCAAGATACAGCTAATTACTAAGTAAGTCCTGAGTAGCTAATTAACTCATAATAGTGGCTCTCCATGGCGTGGCAAACCTATCTCGTAATTAAAGCCGTGCCTGGCGCTGTCATCCGGAACTGGATCAGGTGGGGGTCCCGTAGTCCGCATCCTTGTCTAGTGGATCTCCCTATAGCGCCCCCAACTATTAAAAGCAGCATGGTTAGTCTGGCAAAATCCTCCGACATATCTCATCTTCTCATCGCATCGCTTAGTTGCGAGATATGATCATTTGGCGCCTTTGAACGAAGCGGTGGCCAACCGTGGCTGAGACATACTTCTGAAACCTACCTTGCGTATTCTAGACAAAGAAAAGACTCGTATCCGAATTCCAGATCTTTAACCTCCTAAGCCACATGTACAGACGAAGTGCAGCAACACTAATGCCATGTTGTTGCTGACAGATTCCACACGAGGCCTTTCTGCAGATGTCTTTATTGGTGGGATGACCGATGAATCACAGGTACATAATGGATCAGGAGATGCTTTTGGTTTAAACTACTCTAACTACTGTACATGATCTATAGGCGATAGTGTTGTACTTGTACTCATTTATACTGCGAAGTAGGAGTACTTGGTAGGAGCTGTACTACACTATAATAAGAATATATACTCAGTTATACTTGCATTCAGAATTATCCAACGTACATAGTACTACATAATGACTGGGATAATCGGGTATCTCGGTGATCTTCCGGCTTTTCCTTGCAGCCCTTGCAGAAGAATTCGCTAGTGTGGCCTGTTGGGCGCGATAGTCCATACTAGGCCGGCATATAGGGCACAGTAAGCGGAACATTTTTTTTTTTTTTTAAAAAAAAAAACATCGTCTGCTTACTTGAACCGGGTTAGTCCATGATTATCCTGGCCTTTGTCTCTTGTCCACTCTCGGTCTCGATGATCTAAAGCACTCTAGCCAATGGGATATGTATATTACTATACCTAGGTCTTGCGATGTATACATTTTCCATATATAGACTATAGTACGGTTGTGGGATGCATCCTGGCAGTTGAACTAAGGCCATGGCAGCAAGTAATCCCCGAACGTAATAGAAACCTCCATGAAAGAAATCCATTTTGGATTACCATGACAAAACAAAAAAAAAACAAAACCTGGAAACAGACTCTCAACACCGCAAGGAGACGGAAACTTGTACACCGTAAGCTACCTCGATTTAAACTATGTAGACTGATTGCAGATAATTTCTTCGATCTGCCGCTTTAGCGGGCGATCCTGTCATTCAGCCCAGCAGAGCTCAGCTCTACCGTAGATCTTTTTGATTATAAGGCACTTTTGGCTTTTCTTTCCCACTATAGACGTGAATCTGTGCGCCGATGCGCCGATGCGCTGATGCGGTGTGGCCCCAATCTGGTCGGGATTTCGGGATTTACGGCGTTGACCGTCACGTACGGTAAGTACCGTATTTCTGATCAGCTGCCCGTCCGTTTCGTCGGCCAATCACAGCCCTCCGCTCTGCGGCTTCGAGATCCCCCCGTCGAGTCTCCAGTTTTGATTTCCACCTTTTTTCCTCCTCGTAACCCACCATCGACAACCTAAGGCCACTATCTTGCTGGAGTCACAGCAGCTCTGCATTATGATTTCTTGCTCACAGTTTCACCAGGCTCGATCTAAAGGGCCGAAGTGCTTATGATCACCTGTTGGTCTGTACTTTGGTCCGCTTGTCTAGTCTGGGCCGAACAATCGCCGCCTGAGTCCAGACTGAGGCTGCTATATTGGCCGATGCAGACCCGATGACAACTTCCGATGGAATGCCACGTTCGAGGCCTCACTCCGGGTTCTCAATTGGGAATATACACACGGGGGTGAAAAAGGCGTGGAGGAGGACGGGGGGGGCGGGGCGAAATAGGCTGTCGTCGGATATGTACCTTTTCCTCCCTTGTTTTTTATTTTCTTTTTTTATTCTAGTTTTCTTTGCTTTTTCCTTGTTTGGCCACGGTCCACTAATATTTTCCCGAGATAGTAACAGGTCAGACCGTCAGGTACACGCCAGTCGCTACTGACCATACTACATCCACGCCATGTCTTTGTTCGTATCGAACTTAGCCAATTCCCACCCATGTAAGGGAGACGTTCCAAAACCCACAGGCCGACGACTCTGCATCTCCTTTTCGGCCCCAATGATCAGGTTTCATCATGTTGGCCTATGGATCATGTCATTCATTGGCCTCCATTGACGACATGGTCCATACCTAGTGTTCCGTGCATGCATTTGTAAACGATCTGGGGGGGCCTGCCACGAAGCAGTATTGTCAGCTCCACCTGATCCAATAGACGAAGAGACGAAAAAAGAAAAGACCGGTTATGAACGTTCCGTCGATGCAGGGATTGATCATTGATGGATCGATTGATTGCCTGGGCTCCAATTTTTATTTTTTTTTTCTTTTAAAGAAGGGGTGGGGGGTGATTATTGCTTGCTGCTTCGCGATATGTAGAAGACGGCTTATCGGTCTGGAGGTGAAAGATAAAAAACAAAAATCCCACGGGGGTTCTTTTTCTTTTTGGTCTCTTCGATGTCAATTTGATTTCATTTCAATTCATTCATTCAATTTACAAGTCGCCTGATCGAGAGGTGTGTGTATACGAAACATGGCTCATTCTACTGCTTGCTATCTCCCCAAGTTTGGCTCTGCTCTCAATGCATCCAAACGGCCAGTTTCGACGAGGGCGAAGACAACAGCCGCCCAGAACTCTCAATTAGTATCGGCGTGGAATCAGGGCGAATTGAGCTCGCTGCTACAGGCTGCGTGGGCCTTGGTTCTTCATCATTATACTGGCAATGAAGATATCTCGTTTGGCTACCAGCCCGATGCTCCTTCGCCAGATTCCGCGACACCCTCGAATACTGCGAATCTCTCTACTGTCGGGATTACAATTGACGAAGATGATTCTATCAGATCAGTTGTAGGGAAAGTGAAGGAGAGCGCAACAGAGCGCAATGGCGACGACACAATAAGCGGAGCTCAGGACTTGAATCTTGACCATTACAACACCATTTTGATGCTGCGAAACTGTAGTAATTCCTCGCAGAATGCATCACTTTTTTCTGTTCAACCCGCTTTAGCAATCACACTACCAGAAGAGGCAAGTTGCAACTGAAATGCCGTTGTGCCAAAACTCGGCCCGTCTGTCTAACTTTTGTGTTTGTCTATATGTAGTGCCGCCTACGACTGCACGTCAAGGTTCTACAACAAAGCGTCGGCATTTTCCTGGAATCGTGGAACCACGACACATCAACCGAACAAGTCAAGAGCATCGCCGGCCTCTTCGAGCAATTTCTCGCCAAGATCCTTTCCGGAGACGACACCGTCCTTATTAGCGACATTAATAGTTTCTCCGAAAGAGACTGGCGCCGAATTAGCAAATGGAATGCCTCCATTCCTGAAACCCACGATTACTGTCTTCACGACGCCATCAAAGAACATGCATCAATACGACCCGATGAAGAGGCGATTTGCGCATGGGATGGAAGCGTCACGTTTGCGGAATTGGATCGCATGGCGAGCAAAATCGCTTGCCATCTTCAGATGCGCGGCGTGGGGCCGGAGGTCCGCGTAGGCCTCTGTTTTGATAAATCGGTAAGGATGACTGTCAATGGAAAGGATATGGTGATATGTGCTAATTTGATTATAGAAATGGTATTCGATTGCAATGCTGGGTGTGCTGAAAGCTGGTGGTGCCTTTGTGCCTCTTGATCCGACTCATCCCACATCTCGGTTGCAAGCCCTGGTGAAGTCGGTAGAGGCAAAGGTTATCCTTTGCTCTGAGAACCGTGCAGAATATCTGAAAACGATTTCTGACGCTTTGACACCACTGGGAGACAATGCCCTGGATGCACTTCCAGTGCCCTCCGACAGAGCTGAACCTCTACCCGGAGTGAAGAGCTCAAACGCAGCCTATGTTTTGTTTACATCGGGATCTACCGGAGAACCAAAGGTATATACCCTATGATTTATATTTTGAGTTGGTATTAACTTTTTCAGGGAACTTTGATTGAACATAGGGCGTTTAGCTCTAGTGCAAGAGCACATGGGGCGCGCTTTGATCTTATTCCAGGAACGAGATGTATTCAGTTTGCGGCACATACTTTCGACGCGAGCATCATCGACATCATCACCGTGTTGATGCATGGTGCCGTTGTCTGCGTGCCCAGTGAAGAAGCGCGCATCAACGACATCACCACGGCGATGAACGAGATGAGGGTCAACTCTGCCAGTCTTACACCCTCATTCGTTGGATTCATTGACCCGGAAGACGTGCCCGGATTGGAAATTCTCGTCCTGGCCGGAGAGGCCATGTCTCCATCGCATCTGGAGACCTGGTCCAAAATTAACCTCATCAACGCATATGGTCCCACCGAGGCTTCTGTTGCCGCGGCTATCAATACCCACCTCACCCCGGAGTCGGATTGTAGGGATATCGGATCCCCTGTTGGTGCGAGAATCTGGCTTGTTAACCCCAAGGACCACAATCAGCTTGTCCCTGTTGGCTGTCCCGGAGAGATGCTCCTGGAAGGCCCGACTCTTGCTCGGTGCTACGTCAACAATCAGCAAAAGACCGACGATGCCTTCATCTATGACCCTGCCTGGGCGAAAACCGATGGATCTACTACTCCGCGACGATTTTACAAAACTGGCGACTTGGCCCGGTACAACTCTGACAAGGGAACACTGGCATATGTTGGACGAAAAGATACCCAGATCAAGTTTCACGGCCAAAGAGTTGAACTGGGAGAGATTGAGAGCCATTTGAGCACTGATCCGAGTGTCAAGCACTCTCTTGTCCTCCTTCCTAAAACTGGATTTGCCAACGGCAAGCTAGTCGCAATCACCTCTTTGAAGAACCAGACCGGAGATGTGGAGGCGTTGAAGCTTGTGCAGCAGTCGAGAAAGTCCGATTTCGTACCGGAGGCGCGTGAAAGATTAGCCTCTCGACTCCCCGGTTACATGGTTCCAGGTGTCTGGTTGTGTGTTGAAACACTGCCTATGCTTGCATCTGGAAAATTGGACCGGAAGACCATCGCAAACTGGGTGGGAAGTATGGAGACAGACCCAGATCTCCAGGCTTCAGGCCCCGTTTCGAACCCCGGTGGCAGTCTCCCTGCGAACAGTGTTGAAGACCAGCTTATTTCTATTTGGAGCCGTGTTTTGAACATCCCCAAAACCCACCTCGATATGCATGCCAGCTTTTTGAGTCAAGGTGGAGATTCAATCGCGGCTATCACATGCATGGGCCACTGCAAGAAGCAAGGGATCGCACTGACAGTTGACGATGTGCTCCGCAGCAAATCGATCAAGGAGCTTGCAGCACGCGCCAAGACTATTGACAGCCAGATTGTCTATGAAGAAACCGTTGAGCAGCGATTTGATCTGTCACCTATTCAAAAATTGCACTTCCTGGTTCGCAAGGAAGGACAGGGTCATTTCAACCAGGGAATCTTGACTCGGTTGAACAAGCAGATTAATGAGGCTGATCTGCTCCGTGCTGTCGAAACCCTCATTACACGCCATTCTATGCTCCGGGCTCGGTTTACTGAAAATGGCGAGGGAAGCATCCAGCAGCGTGTTACCGATGATATTACCGGTTCTTACCGCTGGCGTGTGCACAATGTTAGCTCGCAGGAGCAGGTTGAGCAAGCAGTTGCGGAGAGCCAATCTTCCATCAATAGCTTTGTTGGCCCGTTGCTTACTGTCGACTTGCTCCATATGGATGGAGACAGCAGCCCTCTTCTGTCTATGGTTGCTCACCATTTGGTTGTTGATATCGTTTCATGGCGTATTATTCTCGAAGACTTGGAGGATTTGCTTCTCAACCCTCAGGAGTCGGCATCGCAGAATTGCTCTTTACCGTTCCAGGCCTGGTGTCGTTTGCAAGCTGAGCAGATTCAAACCTTGAATGCTCAGAATGCGATTTCACTGGAACAGATTCCGGCTCCGGACTTTGCCTTCTGGGGAATTGAAAACCGCCCGATCAATTATGGTGATGTGGACTGTGAGGGGTTCGAGATCGACGAAGAAACCACTTCCCTGATTATGATGCAGTGTCATGAGAGTCTTCAGACTGAGCCAATTGATCTTTTCCTCGCTATGCTCTTGCACTCTTTTGGACAGACTTTCACCAACCGCTCTTTGCCGGTGATTCACAATGAAGGACACGGTAGAGAGCCTTGGGACTCGAGCATCGACATTTCGCGTACCGTTGGTTGGTTCACTACGCTGTATCCGGTTTCCGTCCCGGCAATTGTCTCCAACGATCCCGCTGAGGCTGTGATGCGCGTCAAGGATATCCGCCGAGCTGTTTCAGACAATGGACGCCAGTACTTTGCGAACCGCGTGCTCACCGATGGAGAAGATGGAACATGCCAACACCACCGCCCGATGGAAATATCCTTCAACTACGTCGGTCAACACCGTGATTTGCAGCGCAAGGATGGTCTTTTCCAGCTTGTCCAGCAGATGGCCGGAGAGACTGGTCGTGGTGGAGGTGCCGCAGACTTTGGTGCTGAAACTCCACGGTTTGCGCTCTTTGAGATCTCTGCGATGGTTGTTAAGGACCGAATTCGGTTCATTTTCTCTTTCAACCGATTCATGGAACACCAACAGACTATCCGGGAGTGGATCTCTTGTTGCCAGGGCATGCTGAAGTCGGCTGCTGAGCAGATGCAATCTCTTGCGCCACGTCCTACGCTGAGCAGTTTCCCTATGCTCTCCTTGACTTATGGCGATCTTGATACCATGCTGGCGAAGAAGCTGCCTAGCATTGGTGTTGAATCCTTGGATCTTATCGAGGATATCTACCCTTGCTCATTTATGCAGCAGGGTATTCTGCTTAGTCGCTCTAAGGACAGTTCCCTCTATGCGGTACATGACACTTTGGAAGTGAAGGGCATGGGAAGACACAAGCCCGATCTTGATCGATTGACACTTGCCTGGCAAAAGGTTGTTTCGCATCATGCGATGCTGCGAACTGTCATTGTGGAGAATTTGACCAGCAAGGACCTCTTTTCCCAGGTTGTGTTCAAGTCTTTTGACTCGCCGCCAGCTTTCATTCAGTGCGTGAACGATAGTGATGTTTTGTCTGCGTTTGACAGTCAGGAGCCTACGGATTACAACCAGAACTGCCCTTCTCATCGCCTTACTATCTGCCAAACTGCTGCTGGGAAACTGTTCGTTAGGCTCGAGCTTAGCCATGCTGTCATGGATGGTACATCGATTTCTATCATTCTTCGTGATCTGCAGCTTGCATACTCTTCGAAGCTTGAGAAGTACCCCAAGCCACTGTTCAAGAACTTCATGCGTTACCTGCAGGACACCCCGCAGAAGCCTAGCATGGATTACTGGTGCTCCTATCTGCAGGGTATCAAGCCTTGTCACATGCCTGTGTTGAATGACGGCAAGGACGTTACCAATTCTCTTCGCTCAATTCGGTTGAACTTTGGTTCTTACCGTAAGCTTCAGAAGATCTGCGAGGCTACTGGTACCACCCTCTCGACAGCTTTCAATGCCGCCTGGGGCCTTACACTGCGTTCTTTCTGTGACTCCGATGATGTGTGTTTTAGCTACATGGTGTCTCTGAGAGATGTGCCCGTTGAGGAGATTGAGTGGATGGTTGGACCCACCATCAACATCATGGCTTGCCGAATGAATGCTTCTGGAAACTCTTTGCTCAAGGATGTTTTGCACCAAGTGCACAATGACTACGTCGAGAGCTTGCCTTACCGAACTGCCTCCCTCATTGACATCCAGCACACGTTGAAGCTGTCCGATACCAAGCTGTTCAACAGTGGTGTGTCATACCGAAAGCTTCCACCCAAGAACAGTAGTGGTCGTAACAGTGAAATCGAATTCTCCGAAATTGGTTCGATTTATGACCCCGCTGAAGCTTCCGTCTTTGTCAATATTGAAGTCGCGGAAACTGATGCACAGATTGAGCTCAACTACTGGACTACGGCTTTGTCGGACGGACAGGCTGAGAATGTTGCCAGTGTTTTCATCCAGGCTCTTAACAACATCATTGACCACCAGGATCAAGAGATCGGCCGACTTGATGCCTTAAGCCAGACGCATAAGGCGCAGATTGCGGCATGGAATAGCCACATGGCCCAGGCTGTTGACTACTGCATTCAAGACATCTTCGATGAAAAGGCACAGTTGCAACCGGCTGCATCTGCGATCATCACTTCGGACAGTGAGTTCAGTTATTCTCAAGTCAATGAGCTCTCTTCCTGCCTCGCAAGCTATCTGGCCATGGTTGGAGTGGCCGAGGGAAGTCTGGTTCCGATTTCCTTCGACAAATCCGCCTGGGCGGTCATCTCGATGCTGGCAGTCTTAAAGGCAGGAGGTGTCTGTGTTCCCAGGGATACTGCTCAATCCCAGGATGCTCTTGATGAATGGTTAGTCGATAATGATGTGCAGGTTGCGCTTGCTTCTCCGCATAGGGCTCAGTCGCTTGAGGGAATGTTCCCCTACGTTATCCCCGTGGGCGAATCGCTTTTCAAGTACCTCCCGGCTACCGAGGGTATTTCCTATCATTCCAGCCAGCCTTCTGACATTGCCTATGTGGTTTATACTACTGGTAGCTCTGGCGAGCCTAAAGGTGTTGTGCTCGATCATTCTGCTGTTTTGACTCGAGCGGAAGCCTTTGCATCATCTCTTGGAATGGACAAAGCGACAAAGATGTTCCAATTCGCTTCCTATACTTCTGATATGTTCTTGCAAGAAGTCTTTGGAACGTTCATGAATGGTGGCTGCATCTGCGTCCCGTCTGGTAATGACCTGAAGCACCTGGCTACATCGATCAACAAGTTGCGAGCCAACTCCATCAGCCTTTCTCCATCGATTGCGTCTAGGCTTCAGCCATCGGACGTACCCCAGGTGCAGACTATTGCATTGAGTGGTGAACGCACAACCAGGAGAACCAGAGACGCCTGGGGAGCCAAGGTTCGATTCCATACTCTGTACGGAGCATCGGAATGTTCCTCCAGCGCCATCCACAACTCGGATTCGGGCGTTATCAACGCAACGCAGAAGATTGGATCAAGTGTTGGATGTATCAACTGGCTTGCCGACCCTTCGAACCACAACATCTTGGTCCCCGTCGGCTGTGTTGGTGAAATTCTTATCGAAGGCCCCGTCCTTGCCCGCGGCTACTTCGGCGATGGAGACGATGTTGAAGGCGATTTCATCGAAGACCCTACATGGATTTCGGACTTCCCGTGCGAAGAAGTCGATGGAAGTCGCCGCCTTTTCAAGACTGGAGACCTGGCTCGCTACAACTCAGACGGCTCCTTGGTTTACGTCGGAAAGAAAGGTAAGGGAACCCAAAGTGAATTGCTGATTGATACATGGCAGGTCGCGAATCGCATCGACACGTTTTTGCCTTCAAACAACCATTGCGCCGTGGAATCTATCACTTGCGACGGCAACCGGTATCTGGTTGCCTTTGTGCTCGAGACCGGCTACTCTATGTCTATGGAAACTAAAGGATTCATTCAACCGTCGTCGCCCCGTTTCCACGAACTTGCCTCCCGTTTGCACACTCACCTGATGAGTTATTTGCCCTCCGACATCGTCCCCAGTATCTACATCCCTATTTCCTCGATGCCCTTGACGCCCCTCGGCAAGCTCAACCACCAGGCCTTCAGGGAGGAATTCCAGAATCTCTCCGTTTCCACTCGACTCGAATTTGATATTGAAAAATGTAATGAATTTTGGCGATCCGCTTTGGCCAATTCTAAGTCATCGCCCTTCCCGTCATTGCCCACCGAATCCTACGCAGTTTCTGCCACTGGCAAACTGGAACGCAACATTCAGGTTTCGTGGCCTGGTGCAATTACCTCCAATGAGGAAGGGCCTAGGTCTGCCATCTTTGCCGCTTGGGCTCTGACTCTCTCTTCCTTTACTGGTTCTCATGATGTTACTTTCGGAGAACGGTTCGCAGGAGTGCCCGCTATCCCTCGGAGATTTAACCTTGAAGGTCAATTGACAGTTAGCGAGTTCTTGAAGAAGACGCACGAACATCTTCTTGCTGCTGCGCCCTACGAAAAAGCCGGTCTTCAGCGTATCAAGAGCCTTAGCGCCGATGCTGCGCGTGCCTGCAAATTCAACAACGTGCTTTCAGTTTTTGAGACAAAGGACAGCCTGAATGCCGATTCCACACTCAAGGAAACAGCACGCGCATACCCCCTCGCGGTGGCCTGTACCATTGATGAATCTGAGATCCAATTGAAGATTTCTTACGACCAAAAGGTGCTGCCAGCCTCTCGGGCCGAGAGAATCACAACTCAATTTGTGAACTGCATCAAGTATTTCGGTTCCAACCTTGACGAGAAAGTTACGATCGGTGAAATGGACTGCCTGAAAAACTCATTCGCTACTCACATGGCTTACTGGAAGGAATCTCTGGCCAACATCGAGCCTTGTATTTTCCCATCTCTTCACCACGGTGCAACTGAAAGCAAATTCGACACAACCAAGGTGGTTCTCAGAAGGGGGGCTGAAATTTATGCCTTCTGTCAAAGAACGGAAATGTCTCCCAGTCTACTCTTCCAGGTTGTTTGGGGCCTGGTGCTCCGATGCTATGTCGGTGCCTTGGATGTTTGCTTCGGTTACTACTCCTCGGACAAAGAAACTGCCAGCGAAGTTGATGCAGAAAAGCCCATGGATGTCCTCGTGTGCAAGTCCCATCTGGAGGACTGCATGAAACTTGAAGAGGTTCTCCAGAAGAGCCAGGCTGATTCCGACAAAATGGCGGCACATCCAATCCCGCTTACTGAAATCCAAGACGAGCTTGGTCTTCAGGGCACGGCCTTGTTCAACACCGTTCTCAATTACCGAGAGCTTTCGGACTCGAATGTTGCTGATAAACTTGATCCAAGTTTTTACGCAATCGTTGTCAACGCGCAGGCTTCAGAAACCTCTGCAGAGATTGACTTTGGTTACTCCACTGGAAGCTTCTCCAAGGCCAACATCAGTAACATCGCCGACGGTTTTGAGCAGATTGTGCACAGCATTATCGATTGCAACCCCGGGCTTTCTGTCATTGGCGATCTTGAATTTATCGGTGACCGTGGCTGTGAGCAAGTGCGAGAATGGAATGCTACGCTGCCTGAGAGAGTCGAGAGATGTGCTCATGAGATCATTCAAGAACAAGCGTCAAGATCTCCATTGGTAGCCCCTGCCATTTGCTCTTGGGATGCAAACTTTACATACACGCAACTTGATACCATCTCAAGTCGTTTGGCACATCACGTCGCAGCACTTGGTGTCAAACCTGAAACATTCGTTGCCCTATGCTTTGAAAAGTCAGCCTGGGCCATTGTCTGCCAGCTGGCGGTGTTGAAGGCTGGTGGTGCATTTGCCATGCTGGACCCAACTCACCCCGAAGCACGATTGAAGGCCATGATTGAAGACCTTGGCTCGAGTATTGTCTTGTGCTCTGAGAAATACCAAGAGAAAGCCGCTGAGATTGCCGACATTCCGTTTGTTGTCAGTGAAAATACAGTCAACCAGCTCTCGGATCTCCAGCCTACTTCGCCGTTTGTTGCCCCGACGCCTTCCAATGCAGCATATGCCATTTTCACCTCTGGAACAACCGGTAAACCGAAGGTGGTAGTCATTGAGCATGGCTCGCTGAGCTCACTGTCTATCCATAATCGTACTGGCTTCGGTTTCTACTCGGGCACCCGCTCCTTGCAGTTTTCAAGTTACACATTTGATGTCTGTATTTTGGAAACAATCGTCGTCCTCATGACTGGTGGCTGTATCTGTGTGCCTAGCGAAGAAGAGCGCATGAATGATATAGTCGGGGCGATTCGAAGAATGGAGGCCGACTTCTTCACCGCGCCAGCCTCCATTATATGCACTGTCAACCCGAAAGATGTCCCAACAATTCGCACTGTTGTAATGGGAGGAGAGAAAATGATGCCAGCCCATCTTGAACACTGGAGTGAAAGACGGGTGATGAACTCATATGGCCCAGCGGAAGCTACCGTTTGGGTGACAATCGACTGGAAATCTGATTTGGATGGTAACCGCTTGAACAATGACTGCAATACCATCGGCCGTGGTGTTACTGGCAGAACATGGGTTGTCGACCCACACAATGTCAATCGCCTCCTGCCAATTGGTGCTGTTGGCGAGCTTGTTGTTGAAGGCCCGGGTGTCTCGCGTGGGTACCTCAATAACGAACAGAAGACCAAGGAAGCGTTCATTGAGAGCCCCGAATGGACTAGACACAGCTCGCTGCAAAGCATCTTCGTCCGCAAAGACCGCATGTACCGAACAGGAGATCTTGTTCGTTGCAACCCCGATGGAACAATCGCTTTTGTTTCGCGCAAGGACACCCAAGTCAAGATCAACGGCCAGCGGATTGAATTGGAGGAGATCGAATATCAATGTGCTCGTTGTCTCCCGGAGGGTGCTCAGGCGGCCATCGAGATCGTTGTTCCTGAGACCAAAGCTGTAGCAAAGGCTGTGGCAGCTTTCTTTACCGTCGATGAGCGAGAGCTTCGAGAGGATACCGTCCGGGAAGGTGCCGATGGCCAATTGCTGCTGCCAATGTCTGAATCCATGTTTACAATTGTCAAGGAGCTCCAGAACTCGTTAGCCGACGTCCTTCCCTCGGTCATGATCCCCAAGATGTTCTTCCCAGTGCGACGCCTCCCATACACCAGTTCTGGCAAAATGGACCGAAAGGGACTTCGTGGTATGGTCCAGTCTCTGAGCAAGGATCAGTTGAGACCCTACATGACATTCTCTGCCGGGTCCACCCAAGTGTCCGATGAGGGCATTGAGGGTCAGCTTCGGGGACTATGGGAAGAGGTTTTGGATCTCACGCCAGGCTCAATCAATGCCGAAGATAGCTTCTTCGGCCTTGGTGGTGACTCCTTCTCGGCCATGAAACTTGTTGGTGCTGCCCAGTCCCACGGCATTTCGCTGAAGGTAGCCGACATGTTCAAATACCCAATTTTCATGGACATGGCGAAGCAATGTGACACTTCTGGGGCGGCCGGAACCAAGCCAATTGTTATCAAGCCATTCAGTCTTCTGCCCGCCTCAGCCCCCGTTGAACAGATCCTTGAAGAAGTTGTCGAAGAGTGCGAAGTTCCCAGAGAGTCAATCATTGATGCATACCCATGCAGTCCGGTGCAAGAAGGACTCATTACTCTGTCTGTCAAGCAACGTGGAGCCTATATCGCCCAGCCATTGTTCCGTCTCGCACAGTCAGTCGACCTCGACCGATTCAAGGCTGCTTGGCAACAAACCGTGAATGAATTGGATATTCTGCGGACACGGATCGTGCACACTGATTCCGCCAAGTTTGTCCAAGCCGTGCTCGATGAAGCCCCCATCTCTTGGCTCTCTGCAAAATCGGTTGAGGAGTTACCTGCTGACATGGTTGATCTTCCCAAGCACAACGGTGGATCTTTGACAGCCTATGCGATCATTGAATCAAAGCCTCTTGACTCTCGCTACTTTGTGTGGACGGTACACCATGCGCTTTACGATGGCTGGAGCGTGCCACTGGTTCTCAAAAAGGTGGAAGAGAACTATCTTGGATCGCTTCCCAAGAGCCCGGTGGCTTCGTATGGACTGTTCATTGACTATCTTCTGAAACGAGATGCCATCCAGTCAGATGATTTCTGGAAGTCGTATCTCTCCAACCCCACGTCTTCCCAGTTCCCACAGAACACGAACTCGATGCCCAACGCTGTCCGCGCAGGAAACAGCCACCACCGCAGCATTGAACTCTCCCGACTTACGAATGGCGTGGACCTGACCATGCCTGAGCTCATTCGTGCGGCCTGGGCTATTGTGGTTTCCATCCACACCGGCTCTGGCGATGTTTCCTTCGGTGAAACTTTGATGGGCAGGAACATCGACTTGCCTAGTGTTTCAGACGTGACTGGACCTGTCTTGACAACTGTCCCCACTCGTATCCAGGTGGATAATGCAGTTACGGTCACTCAATATCTTCAAAGTGTGCACAAGTTGACAACCGATATGATCCCCCATCAGCATTCTGGGTTGCAACATATCCGGAAGCTCAGCAAGGACACAGCCTTTGCCTGTGAATTCCAAAACCTGTTGGTTATCCAGGCGGATGACAGCCAATCTGAGGATGCTCTGTGGGTAACCGAAGAAAATCGAACAACCAGAGAGTTCTTTACTCATCCGCTTGTCGTCGAATGCAAACTTGGCAAGTCGGGAGTCACGACTACTGTCCATCATGATGAGCTCGTTCTCAACAGCTGGCTGGCACAGAAACTTGCGGATCAGTTCAGCTTTGTGTTGAAGCAACTCGCCGCGATTCCCAAGGGCGATATCAGAAAGCTAGGCGAGTTGGATGTATTCTGCCCTCAAGACAGAGAAGAAGTTTCCCTGTGGAATGGCCACGAGCCTGTGCGAGATGACAGGTGTCTGCACGACATCATCGAAGGGAAATACCTTCTTCGGCCTAATGCCCCGGCAGTATGCTCTTGGGATGGTGACCTGACATATCGGGAATTGTTCGAAACTGCCTCCTCTTTTGCAGCTTACCTTAGGTCTCGAGGAGTTGGTCCGGAGGTCCTTGTACCGGTTTGCCTAGACAAGTCTGTCTGGGCTATTGTCACAATAATTTCCATCTTAATTGCTGGCGGAGCGTTTGTTCCTATGGATCCTGTTCACCCAACATCGAGACACGAAGAAATCCTGGGTGAAGTCAACGCCAAGCTGGTTCTCTGCACGCCGAAATACAGCAACCGGTACGCCAACGCTGCCAAAATTATCATTCCTGTCAGTAAGGAAACCATCAAAGCCTATGGGGCGCTTACTACAAATGCTACAAACTTCACCCGTGCTACGCCGACAAACGCTGCATACGCTATCTTTACTTCGGGAAGCACAGGCCGCGCTAAAGGTATCATCATCGATCACTTCGCACTCGCAAGTAGTGCTAAAGCGTTTGGTCCCATCGTGGATTTGGATGAGAAATCTCGCATCTTCCAATTCGCGTCTCTTACGTTTGATGCAGCAGTCATGGAGGTTCTTGCCACCCTCATGTACGGAGGTTGTGTCTGCGTTCCAAGTGAAGACGAACGTTTGAACGATGTTGCCGGCGCTATTCGACGTATGAAGGTTACGTGGAGTTTCATGACCCCCTCAATTGCTAGCATCATTGAGCCGTCTTCAGTGCCTACTCTGAAGATTCTTGTTGTTGGTGGAGAGAAGATGTCGCAGGAGGTAATTACTAAGTGGGCAGACTCCCTGAAGCTCGTGAATGCATATGGACCAACAGAAACATCGGTTTTCGCTACTTTGAACACCGAGGTCTATAGGCAACGTGATCCTGCTGCCATTGGCCCTGGAATCCCTTCGACCCTGACTTGGATCGTTGACGCTGACAACCACGATCGCCTTACTCCGGTGGGTGCTGTTGGAGAATTAGTCCTGGAAGGTGCTACTCTTGCCAGAGAATACCTCAAAAACCCAGCTAAAACAGCCGAGGCATTCGTCAATGATCCCGCGTGGACCTCCAGCTTCCCCTCAAGTATGCCTCTCCCAAGACGGATCTACAAGACTGGTGATCTCGTCAAGTACAGACCAGATGGTGGCCTCGACATCATTGGTCGCAAAGATCACCAGGTCAAGCTTCATGGTCAGCGAATGGAGCTTACAGAAATCGAACATCGTCTGTACGAAGATAATCGCGTTCGCCATGCCGTTGTTATCATGCCAAAGACAGGTCCTCTCAAACATCGACTCGTCACTGTTCTGTCCATGAACTCTATATCAACCGGTAAGAGTCTCATGTCAGTCGATACCTGTGAGCTTGTTAGCGAAGCAGAGTTGAAGAAATCTGCATACGGAGAGCTTGTTGAGATCCAAAAGAGCCTTGAAACCCAGCTTCCCATATACATGGTTCCTCAGACATGGGCTGTGATCAAGAAGCTCCCCATGCTTGTTTCTGGTAAACTTGACAGGAAAAAGATTACGTTCTGGCTCGAAAACATCGAGGAAGAACTGTACGAACGGATCATGCAGGACTACGATAAGATCAAACGGAGTCAGGTTGAGCCAAGTACTAAAGAAGACAGGGGTGCTGTTGCAGACGCTCTTCAGGACATCTTTGCGCAAGTCCTTAATGTCCCATCCCACAAGGTCGACCTCAATCGATCATTCGTGAGCTTGGGTAAGTAATTCATTCGTTCATTGATGAAATAGCCTGCTAATAATGTGAATAGGTGGCGATAGTATTACGGGAATGTCTGTCGTTTCTCGTGCTCGCAAGCAAGGCTTCAAATTGGCACTCAATGATGTCCTCCAAAGCAATTCGATAACTGAGCTTGCTAAGAAAGCTGGTGCTCCAGCCCCAGTTGTTAACAACAAAGAAAAAACTGGTGAATACTTTGGACTTTCGCCTATCCAAGACCTGTACTGCAAATATTCCAGTTCTTTCAAGGGTGTTGGTCGCTTTAACCAAAGCATGACACTGCGCGTCACTCGGAATATCGAATCGGAAACTGTGAGAACCGCCATCAAGGCTGTTGTCAACCAGCATTCCATGTTCAGAGCTCGGTTCAGCAAATCCAAGGATGGCAAGTGGCGACAGAAGATCACAAATGTGAGTGTCTTGGGCTGTTCATGAGGAAAACCGAACCGTATTGAGCTAACTTTCTGTCATAGGATGTGGAATCCTCTTACCAATTCCGTGTACACTCAGTCAATGACTCGCAAGAGATCGTCCAACATATTGCGGAGAGCCAGTGGTGCCTGGACATTATGAAGGGACCAGTATTTGCCGCTGATTTCTTCAACATTCCCGGACAGGACCAGGTTCTCTTCCTAGTCGCCAACCACTTGTGTGTTGACATGGTTTCCTGGCGCATTGCCTTGCAAGATATTCAGGATGTTATCGAAACAGGTTCACTCTCTCCTGAAAAGCCATTGTCTTTCCAGAGATGGAGCGAACTACAATTAGAGGACAGCAAGAAGGAAGAAAGCAGAGGCCAGTTGCCCTTCAAGGTCGAAGCCCCCAATTTGAAATATTGGGGCATGGAAGGTGCACGAAATGTCTATGGCAATATCAAGATCGACAGCTTCACATTGGATGAACAAGCCACTTCTTTCATCCTTGGATGCTGCCACGAGACCTTCCGAACCGAGACTATAGAAGTTTTGTTGACGGCCATCATCCATTCCTTCCGTTGTGTATTCACTGACCGGAAGGTCCCAACCATATACAATGAAGGCCATGGCCGAGAGGTTTGGGATTCTAACATCGACCTTTCAAGAACGGTTGGTTGGTTTACGACTGTTTGCCCCTTCAATGTGGATGAAGATTCAGGTAAGATACCTTTCCACAAAAGCCACATGTAAGACCAAATCTAATCTGGAACAGTTGACATCTTCGACACCCTGAAACGCGTCAAGGATACGAGACGCAAAATTTCCGACAATGGCCGGTCTCACTTTGCCCACAGTCTTCTTAACCCTAAGAGCCAAAACTCTTCAGACTTCCCCGTTCCATTTGAAGCTGTTTTCAACTATCTTGGTCGACTCCAACAACTTGAACGAGATGACTCCCTGTTCCAGCATTTCGGGGCTCCTTTCAGTGGAAAGGACTTTGAATCTGCGGGAGACATGGGTGCGGACACTATCCGATTTGCTCTTCTGGAGATTTCCGCCATTGTGATCAAAGAAAAGCTGCACGTTTCTTTCACATACAACAAAAATATGCAGCGACAAGGACAAATAAACCAATGGATCTCGGAATGCAAGCGAATTCTCGAGCAGGACATGCTGTGCGTTAAGGATGTCGTGCCTGAGCCCACGCTGAGCGACTATCCCTTGTTGCCAATTACCTATGACGGCTTGAGAACGCTTGTGAGAAACACGTTCCCCAAGGTCGGAATAGAGAGCAAGAACCAGGTCGAAGATATTTACCCTTGCTCCCCAATGCAAGAAGGTATCCTGCTCAGTCAAATCAGAGAGCCAGGCGCATACATGTTCCACATCATCCTGGAAGTAAAGAGCAATGCCGGCAAACTTGACCCAAAACGGCTCCGAGCGGCTTGGGGCATGGTTGTTGCCAGACACCCAATTCTGAGAACTGTTTTCATTGACAGTAATTACAAGGGTGGATCGTTCGATCAGCTAGTCATCAAGGACCTCAAGGACAACGTCCTCGAATTCGGATGCGGTGATTTGGGAGCTCTTGGTAAACTTGAGGCTGTTAAGCTCCGCGAGATCAACGCCCAAAAAGTGTCTAAGCTCCCTCAACAAGTGACAATCTGCAAGACCACTTCCGGCAAGGTCTTCGTTAAGATAGAAATGAACCATGCCATCGTCGATGGTGGATCTGTCGACCTCCTCTTGAGAGATTGGACCCTCGCATACAACGGTCAGCTCCCTGAGGAACCAGGGCCATTGTTCAGTGATTACATCAAATACATCGGCAACCTCAATGAGAGGGAGGCCCTATCACACTGGACGAAATACCTCCGAGGAGTCCGTCCTTGCCATTTAACATTCCCTGATGAGACCAAGAGTATTCGTCAACAGAAATCGGTAATGATGGCCTTTAATCGCTTCCCTGAACTCCAGAAGTTTTGCGAGAAGACTTCCGTTACTCTCGCAAACCTGACCTTGTCTGCTTGGGCCATTGTTCTCCGAGCTTTCACAGGCTCGAATGATATTTGCTTTGGCTATCCTTCAACTGGCCGTGATTCTCCCGTTCCTGGCATCCAGGATGCGGTTGGAATTTTCATCAACATGCTCTGCTGCAGAGTCAAATTCACAGCCGGTCAAACCATTGCCGATATCTCAAAGATGGTCCAAGATGACTACATCCGAGGTCTTTCACACCAAAGCTGTTCCCTCGCTGCCATTCAGCACAATCTTGGTTGCCAAGGACAGACACTCTTCAACACAACAATTTCGATCCAGAACAGATCGGCTTCCGGTAGCCCGAAAGATGAATCAATTTCATTCGACGTGACAAAGGCATTCGACCCGACTGAGGTAGGTTGAGGCATTCAATGCAACGAATATCAAGAGCTAACTCGCCGGTGCAGTACCCAATGACCGTGAACGTCGAGACTGGCCGTAACCGTGAAGGCGTTCTGCTGAGATATTGGACCGACTCCGTGTCTGATCAACAAGCCAAAGATCTAGCAGATTCTATTGCCCGGGTATTCACTTCCTTCATCGAGAAACCTTCGACACTAGTTTCACAATTGGAGCTCAGCGGTGGAGCACAAAGCAACGCAGTTCTGCCTATGGATGGACTTGCTTTGGACAACGATACATTCAATAAGCTCATCGAAAATCGCGTCTATGAAGTCATTGGCCAAATGCTTAGAGATGGAAAACTCGCTCTTCCTTCTGCTGACAACACCGAATCCAACGACGTTGTTAATGACTTGGTTCAAGTGAAGAACATGTCTCAGCAGAGAGATCTAACAGACTCTACACTCACGCTTACCGCTGGGAATAAGAAGTCAGCTGAGTATGAAGGCAAACTATGGGCGCTTTGGAGCTCAGCGTTGGGGCTGTCATCAGAAAAGATCAACCGCCAAGGTAGCTTCTTCAAGTTAGGTGGTGACAGTATAACAGCCATGAAAATGGTTGGTGCCGCACGAGAGGAGGGACTGGGATTGACCGTGGCGGATGTCTTCAATAGTCCAGTTTTCGAGGATATGTTGGAGATTGTCTGTGCAGCCGCCAGTTCGTCGTCTTCGGACACCGAAGTTCAAAGCCAACCCGACCAGGCTGACAGCGCTGACGAATCTGACACTGCAGAGAACGAAAAGATCGCCCATAACGAAGGTTTGTTGGCAGAGTCGGTCCGCAGTCGGAGTATTTCGGTTGTGAAACCAGTGGGACTTGACGATGCATCGCTGCAACTTGGTATTTGCCCTAAAATCGGCGTTTTCCGAGGTGGCATCGCGGATGTTCTCCCTGTCACAGACTTCCAGGCCCTTTCCCTTACTGCTACTCTTTTCAAGTCAAGGTGGATGCTCAACTACTTCTTCCTTGAGGGTTCAGGGCCCCTGGATATGAAGCGCCTAAGAGAAAGCTTCGTGCGATTGGTCGATACCTTCGACATTCTTCGAACTGTCTTTGTGTGTTTCCATGGTCAATTCTTCCAAGTGGTTCTCAGGAAGATCAAACCTACAATTGTTGTTGATGAAACGGACAAGACTCTGGATGAATACACCGAAGCCTTGCAACAGCGTGATCGCCAGGAAGATCCTCGCCAGGGCGAGCAATACGTGCAGTTTTATGTTGTGAAGCAGAAGAAGACTGATAAACATCGGATTTTGATTCGTCTGTCCCATGCTCAATTTGATGGAGTGTGCTTGGCTAAGATCATGTCTGCTATCAAGTTGGGATATGAAGGCAGATCCCTTCCTCCAATCTCATCCTTTGCCAATTACATGCGACTTCTACCAGGCACCATCACCCCCGAACACTATGACCACTGGACATCACTTCTCCAGGGCTGCAAGATGACAGAGCTCATCCGAAGACCAGTTGCCAACACCTTCCAGCATATCGGTTCTTACGCAGAGGCGAGGAAGATGGTCGAGATCCCCACTAATGCCCTTGGAAATATCACTATCGCCACTGTTATGCAGGCAGCCTGGGCAATGACATTGGCCAAGCTCTCTGCTCAATCTGATGTTGTATTCGGACTCACTATAAGTGGTCGTAATGCTACAGTTCCCGGTGTGGAAGCCACTATCGGACCATGTGTCAACTCTGTTCCTGTCAGAGTCAATTTCGGAGAGCGATGGACTGGACTCGATCTGTGCCGTTATGTCCAGGACCAACGGGTTGCCAGTATGCCCTTCGAATCTCTAGGATTCAGGGAAATCATCAGACAATGCACTGACTGGCCCGATTGGACCTATTTCACCTCCTCTGTTTTCCACCAGAATGTCGACTACGAGGGACAGATTCAACTTGAGGATGATACATTCAGAATGGGAGGACTAGGAGTTATTGATAACTTCTCTGACTTTACCCTGGTCTCCAAGTCAATCGATGAGCGAAACCTTGCTGTTTCTCTCGGATACTCCTCAAACAGTCCCATCTCTCAGGAATTCGCTACCAAGATCCTCGACATGGCCTGTGAAACCGCCCAAAGCCTGGTCGCCAACCCGAACTCTGTACTCCCATCGCCATCAACTCTTCGCTCCCTGCGTCCTCAGGTTGTCGACGACATTCCCAGAATGTCAGACCAGATCTTCCTATCCTCCCAATTGAAGGACCGCAGCATGGCAGAGCTCCTCGTCAATTCCGAAATCCTCGCCCAGGTGTGGCAGCAAGTCCTTCCCAACCAGAGTGCCGATCCCCACCAGACGACCTTCCATTTCGACGCATCATTCTTTGAACTGGGAGGTGACATCTTCAACATGGCACAGGTTGTATGGCTTCTCGAACAGGAGGGCCTCAGGGTCCGCATTGAAGATCTTCTCGAGCATTCGACCTTCTTGGGACAGCTTGCTGTCTTGGCCCTCCGCAATGGTACCTCCAGACAGGAAATCAGTGACAATAAGGAGAAGACATCTGCGTCAATGAAGTCATTGAATGACAGACCAGTTACTTCCAAGTCTGAAAATGTCAGCTCTTTGAGCAAAGCTTTCAATTTGGCAAGAAGGATCACAACGAGATGGAGCACAGCTTCGCCTCGGCCATCCACTTAAAAAAAAAAAAAAGAAAGAAAGACAGCACATACTGCAACTGCAATTCATTTCCCACATCACATGCATGGTACACATTTATTATTCCCTCTTTTGTTTGTTTTATTGATATTCTCATATTCATTCTCCTGTTGGAAGTTGCATGATACTCTACTGGCGAACATGTTGATACCTATTTCCTGTTTATTTTTTGGAGTTTTCATATCCATTAACTTTTTGTTTAAAAAATTCTTTAAAGAATTAATTAATTCTGCTTGTGTATATAACAAAAGTTTTTCAACTTAATGGTGAAATCTTTTCCACTGTTTAAAGAACCAACTTTTTCCCACGATGAAGATGATAGGAACATGCGACGCTGAAGAAAAGGAAAAAGAAAGAAAAAAATCCATGCGATCATCATTAGTGGTATCTCAGAACATCAGATGCATGAAAGGGAACCATGATAAGATTAGGGGAATCAAGGGGTATAATGAAATATGCTGAGTTTTTTTTTAACGAGTCGCTCAAAACCCCTGCGCCGGCATTTCTGAAAGTGGGAGGGCGGGAGGTTGATGCAGGCATATTGGACCAGCCATGGACGGGGGTTCCTTGCATTAAAAGAAAATTCCATGGCGTAATTCTTCGCTAAAGCCCGCGAAAAGGGGCGTATGGTGATAAGGCACCGGATTAATTTTGAACAGAGGCCTTGGACCACTTGCCCCTTGCTCTGATGCGTCGGCCGTAGATGTAAAAGAGGTACGGAATTGGGATGAGTGCCACCGCAACGAATCCCAAGACACTAGAGGCCCAATTTACACCAAGTTTGTGAAACATGATGTTGGCAAACAAGGGGAAGGTGCCGGCGAAAAGACTGCGAAGGAAGGTATTTGCTGCCACGGCACTGGCGGCAACTTTCTGGAAGGTGTCGATCAGGTAATTCAAGGCGGCCTGGAAAATGGTGAAGAAGCCAAAGCCTATGCATACAGCGCCAATAACTGGGGCAATCCAGTGGATGTCGGTAGAGCCTGTCCAACCAAAGATAAACAATCCTGCGGCGAAAACTATGGATCCCACCATCATTGGCGGAAGACGAGCCTCGGGCACAGGGAAGCCATTGTTCGCTTTGAGTCGTTTGACGTAAAAGCGCTGGTTGAAGAGATTGACACAGGCACCAAACAGAATTCCAACAAGATAGCCCAAGAATGGCAAGGCACCAACCAGCTGGTTCCAGCCTCGTACTTCTTGAAACTCAATGGGGAAAGCGGCAAGACTGAGGTAAAGAATACCATAAACGAATGCTGCATACAGGGCAACCAAGAAGCAAATTGGCGTCGACAATAATTGAAAGGGTCGGATGAGATATTTGTTTCCCAGTTCCTTGTACGTGGCATCCCATTCCTCATGCCTCGCATGTAAGGCCCAATTTCCACTTTCGAATCGCAACCTTTGAGCTTTTTTGACCAGGAGAGCAGGTGGGTAGCTTTCGTCAACAAAGAGAACATCCATAGTGAGAAAGAAAAACATCATTATGCCGGTAATCTTTTCACAGTCAATTGGATCAGCGTATAGAACAAAGTGAAAGGGAATCTAAAACTCACGTATTGAGTCCATCTCCAGCCAAGGTAGCTCTGAACAATTGCGCCACCAGCAATTGGTCCTAACACCGGTCCTCCTACCACGGCCATGGCGTATCCAACAATAGCGGCGCCTCGTTGCTCGGCGGTCCAAAGATCACCCAGCACTCCACCGGTGTTGGTGACGGGAGCAGAGCCAAAAAATCCAGTAAAAAATCGGGTGATCATAACTGTCTGTAAGTCTTTGGCAGTAGCTGTGCCAAATGAGAAGATTGCAGCAATAAAGTAAGGGGCCAGAACTGCAGGCTTGCGCCCATAAAGTTCAGACAGCGGTGCCCATACAAGGGGCCCCAATCCTAGATAAGAAAAATCGAGATTAGCAAGCGATTGACATATTTCCTGTGAGGAACTAAAACATACCAAACCCAAACAGCAACAGTGAGGTACCAAGGGTGCCAACTTCCTCGCCCACGCCGAATTGGGAATCAATCTGTTTAATGCCAGTCGAATAGCTTTTTTAGGTCAGTATGCTACGTAGATGCGATCAAGTGGGAATTTAGATCATACATAGAACTAGACCAAGTTGCGCCTAAAGTCAAGAAATTAATTAGCGATGCTGTTCTCATACTGCAATTATTTGGAATGATAAACGTACCCATGGTTGTCAATCCATACAATACAGTAGTCACGGCCTTTTTCTTGAAGCTCCAATTCATCGGCCTGTAGGGGTCATCCGGTCCGTCGAAATCAACAATCACATCACTTGAGGTTTTGGTATGCGACAACGGATGCGTGAAGGGAGCAGTTTGGCCGGGTTCCCTGCTTCGAATTCTTGACACCACCGACTGAGCGCGCGTCTCGAATACAGACAAGCCCGAGGCTGCAGTGGTTTGCTTCTCTAAAGCTCCATCGGTACCTTCATTGTCGGATGTTCCAGGCCCGTCGTACGAATCGATGTCCTCATCGCTAGACTTTCGAGAGTAATGGTCGTGTCCCGTCATGACTTCATAAATGTGACATCAATTGTGTCGCAAGAGTTTTTGGTTGGCAGAGATAATTGCGCCTTGTGTTTTATAAGTTGGAAAATAAAAATAAAAATAAAAAGGCAGGAAATGCGTAATTGTCTTATCAAGGGTAATCTTCTAATGGGAAAGAATTTGCCCGGCAAGGAGGCACTGAAAAAAGCCGACGTCACAGGGCTGGGGTACCAAGAATTTTTTAATTCCGGGCGACGTGGGACAGGAACCACCAGACAATAAATGGCAAACGCTTTCCTGAAGACTTTTTTTTCTCTGCTTGAAATAAATTGAGTCAGAACAACGATTAGACCCCGTTGGAGAAACAACCAGGCCGATTTAGCCGGGACCGCGCCCTAAACTTCAGGATTTCGGACGTCCGATATGGATGGAGTATTCAGATTTTTTTTGGGGGGGGGGGCTCTTTGTCTTTTATGGCAGTGGCTTGGAATCTCATGCGCGATGGTCACAATTACCTTGTAGTCAAGCATCAGTAGCAGCTTTCTGATGTGCGAAGGATTGCTAGTCCGCTGTCTTCACTGACCTGGGTCTTGACATCTAGACCTTCAACGGTTCAACTCTTGAAGCCAAGACGCCAAAACCTTTAAAACTCTTGACGGAATCTTATCCGAATCCACGTTGGAGTGGCGTTTGAAGAAGGGATCGCCACGGGGAATACGGAGATAGCTCGATGTGGAACCTTCGGCCTCGGCCTCGGCCGTTCGCTCGGGCATTCAGCGCACGCGAGTATGTAGTTCCTAGTATGTCTGCATGGTCAGCGAGCATGCAAGATAGGGCAAGGTGATGGAGGCCAATTGGAGCAGAGGGTTGGTGGGAGGGTGAGATGTGATAGTGACGAGGAAAGACGAGGCTGAAGAGTCGAGGATGATGGCTCAAAAGGGAAGTCAATGGGGTCACGTGGCTATGCAGTCTACAGATAACCCCAAGGCTACGGATTATTATCCACACGAGTCAAGGTGAGATTCCATTTCTATTTAACAGTCAACAGAGCTTGTGGGGTTTAAAAGAGATTCTTGTAGAGGAAATTCAACGCCGTTTTTCCTAGCAGCCGCGGAATGATTCCTGACATCCTCCGAGTTGCACTAACATCATGCGTAGACTTCATTGCTCAAGTCAGTCGTTTTATAAAGTGAAATCAGTAAAAGGCATAAAAACGTCCATCAATCAATTCTCGTCGGAGAGCGAATGGGTACTCTCCCACTTGTGCACTGCCTCTAATGCAGCCGTCACCTTGAGCCCAATACGAGCATCGAGTTCGTAGCTCTCCCACCGGGCTGCCTTTTCAAGGTATTCCTTGCATTCCATGACCTTCTGTCTCTCAAGGTCCTCTTTGTTTCTCGCTTTGCCCGAGTTAACTGGCTGTTTCTCGGAATATTCGGGTAGAGATGATTCGGATGTACTGTGCATGGAAATGTACGTTGGGCGCTCCATCCACAGATTCGCTGCCATTTCAAAGTTCGCAACCGGGCATATCCAGTCATCCTTGAGATGGCCCTTGAAAAGCATTTTGTCATGGCTGAGAATACGGGTTTGGAGAATCTCCTTTGCCTCCTCGTGTCTGTGCAGGGAACGGAAAACGGCCGCTCGTAGCAGTTGCAGGATTGCTCTCTCCTCTGGACCTTCTTGGGGCCAGGTCTTGTTGTCATTACTTCCTGACCAATCCAGCCTGGTTAACGACTCCTCCAGCTGGTCCTTTGTCATGCGGCTGTGTCCATTCCAGAAGAAAATCATTTCTTCAATGGGATCAACGCCAACAGCATCAACCAAGGGCACCTTCCATTCCTGAGCGCGGGCTTCCCACTTGGCGATTTTTCGGGTTACAAAGACGTCGAAAGGCAGCTGTTTTGCCATGAAACGCTTCTTCCCAGCCAAGGGAGGTGCCATGCGGAAATACTCTGAAGCCTTTGCAGCGTGTTCTGCTGCCTGCTTGGGGTCGGTTTTGGCGGTTTGTCGATATAGGGTAACATGTGCCGATCCGGCGATATAATAATACAATGAGCGTGACCAAGAGTTCAGATCAACACACTTTAAATCAAGTTAGTTTCGTTGAAACTCCCTTTGGCATGATAAACAAGGTAACTTACCTCTATAAACGACTTTGAACAGAGCTCATACTTGTGCAGATACATGGCGTTCAAGCTTCTCTCAAACACTCTCAATGCCTCGACTTGCTTAAGAGGACTGTGGTTTTCGCCACACAACATCTCCAAAGCCTTCTCGAGGTTTTTGTTTGCCCCATTCATTCTGGACTCTTCAAGAATCCAAAGCTGACTGTTAGGGAATCGCTTTCTCATCGTAGCGAGAAGAGACTCGAGTCTTTCTTGGGGATACCCTTCGATATCTGCGTCTTCTCCGTCAATGGCATCGGGCATGATATCACAATAGCGAACAAATCCGTTATAGTAACCAAGTATTGCAAAGGCAGCAAGTGCACCGATCAGGTTGTGGAATTTGCTGGCTTGCCATAACATCCTCAACCCTCTTTGCTTATCCCCATGAAACCCGATGATACTGAGCAATTTGCTGAATGCCGGTGGGACCATCGAGATGAGCAAAAGGAGAATGCCGAAACAGAAATTGGCGCCAGAGTGGACAAAGACGTCTATTTCGTTTTTGAAGATGTCGGAATCGGGGTCGTGATCAAGCATGGCTGCCGCCGGGCTGGTTGATGCAGAGTCCGAGGGCTTCTCAGAAACCTCCACGTTTGCTAGTTTTTTAGACAACTCTTCGTCTTCAAAAGGAGCTGCGATCTTATCGGCGTCCTTGTTCGTCTTGTAGACCTTTGTGGTCGAGTTGTTCGACGCGGTGGAGCGCGGAGTCCCAGTTTCAGCTGGTGTCACAAACTCGGACTCTCTTTCCTGCATGAACTTCTCTTCCATTTTGAGGATTGCATCAAGGGTTATGAAAGCTTTTCTCAATTTATAGAAACCCTTGATACTCTCCGTAAGACTCTCGTTTAAAACACCGACAACGGCACTCATGAGTTGTGCCATGGCCTGGCATAGTGCAAATTCCGTACCGGGAGTATACATCTGTGAGTGGTAGCTATTAGGTGCATGCGCATTATGCTGCGCTCGATGCTGGTCGCTAGATGCGCTGGTTTCCGCCTCGACGAGTCGTTCCGATGCTGTCAAAGGTCAGGGCGGGATGGAACAAGGCCTTGAGCGGAAGACCAAACACACCTTGTCGCATAATATCCTGTTCAAATCCCAAGGTTGCTCGAATGAAAGCAACCACGCCTTTTCCAAGCTATAGGGAAATGGACCGTGTTAGCGCAAGGTGGGTATATCGAGCAGTGACATCCAATGCAGTTCTGCTCTTGGCGCGTTTCAAGGCCATACGCACATTGTGGAAAGACGATGATCCTTGGGTGAGACCATTTTCGGCGCCATCAACATCGTCATTGAGGATCAGAGTCGCCGCTGTTTGTATACTCAATCAGCATTTCTTCTCTAAGCCATAAAAGGAAAAAGAAAGTGAAGATCCGACGTAAGCTTTCTCACATACCTCTCATAGCATCCTCGACTTTCCAACCGTAAGAAATAGCAAATCAGTCTACTTTGTCCGCAACAGGCAGCGAAAGAAATTCCCCAAAGAAATACTCACGATCCCGCAGTTCCGACAAAGAGTCGAGAGACTGCGTGTTGGCTGGCTTCTTGCCATACAGCCATGAGCCTACGCGGAACATATTGGAGGTGTCAAGACAGAGAAAAAATTGACGGCGAGACGAAATCGGCAAGGAAAGAGCCCGCAAGTAAATTATCCGCAAAAGCGTGGGATGGACGATGGAATTGCGATTATCTCATATGTCAGAGCGGAGGGGTTCGGATACCGAAAGAAGAGGTAGACAGAATGGAGAGAATGTAGACTCTCCCATCAGATATGAACCAGGAACGACCAAGACCATAACCTTTGAGATAAAGAGCCGGAGGAAGATGGAGGAGAAAGAGGACAAACAAAAGGAACGAACAAGAAGAGCCTCGTTCCCAGTTCTCTCTCCGCGGACGGGGGGGAAGATGAGAAAAAGAAAGAAATCAGATGCAGAGGAACGATAGTAGAATCATGGATGGAGCCGAGTCCTGATCCACTAGAGGGAGGCGGAGTTTCTTGTTTTTTTTTTTTTTTTTTTTTTTTTTTCTGCCAGAGAGGAGTGAGATATTTAGTGATTATTCGCCTGGCAATGAAACGGTCGTTCGGTTCCAGCCAGTGAAGCCCGCGAACATCCGTCAAGAAGACGTACCTAAGACAGAGTCCACGGGATGCTTTGCCTGTTGTGACTTTATCGGGTGACCCCTAAGCTTCCCAGAGCCTCCGTTGATCCTTGAAGGGAGATATCAATATTAGTTATGAGGATTATCATTAAATGAATAATCTAGAAAACCAGGCCTGATTTGACCGTGATTTTCGACGTGCTGGATCAATCAAGCAGCCAACCTGGGCCTGGCTGCGTCAGTGGGCGCTAGAGCCATCGAGCATCTCCGCGCTCAGTAACCACTAGTGACCTCTTCTGGAACCGCCGCGGACGCAAGACAGACCCTTGACCCCGATCGCCACCTCCTCCAGCTCACCTAAGCTCTCCGAGACGACCACATTCCACCTCCGTTACTCCTGTTGAAACCCTCTTAATTGTTCGATACCCTTTTCGAGCCCGTTTTACTCAGACCCTCCACGGTCACCTTACCCGCCCACCATGTCGAACCCAACACAGGACAAGGCCGAGCCTTCCCAGCAACCGCAGCAGCAGAAGCCCTCTGTTTTGGAGGAGGACGATGAATTTGAAGATTTCCCCGTTGAAGGTCAGAAGATACACAGTTGCTGGTTCGATGGTTGGAGATGGGAGCTGTGCGCTAACCACACGGGTTTCTTTGCAGACTGGCCCCAAGAAGAAGCCGAGCAACCATCAGGATCCGCCAACGGAAATGACGTCCATCTGTGGGAGGAAAGCTGGGATGATGATGATGCTGCTGAGGACTTCTCGAAGCAGTTGAAGTGCGTGCCTTCTCCCCTTTGCTGAATTGAATTGCCTATCTGTCCTGCTCTGCCCCTCCATGGATTACGCGATAGCCCATCATTCACCGACACCCCGTATCTGCATGCTAGGCTAACAACTCGTTTTATTTACAGAGAGGAACTGAAGAAGGTCGAAGCATCCCACTAATTATCTCGAATACGATACCGGTTCGCAATGAATTGAGCTCTGAGCTTTTCAGTCGGTTACGGAACATAGAACGGATAGCAGGGCTCCCACATACGCACAAACACAAAAAGACAGATGAAGATTTGGGCATGGATTTAGATAAAATGTTCGAATGAGAAATCATCCGAATGAGTGTCATTTAAATGAATCATTTCTGGAAGGGACCGTCGTGATAGTAGGGCGAAGGACACCAGCTTAAAAAGTGTCAGATACTGGACGGCTCCCCCATCACAGCTGAGAAGCAGTGTGCAACGTCTCCCCAAAGATATATCCTACGAGTATCTACTTCTTATTGATGAAGCCGATCATTCTTCAAGCCTGGCAAATTTCCTGTCTAATACGTTATTTATACGCTCTATCTCATGTAAACCGCCACAATAAGCAATCAGCTATTCTAATTCAACGACAGCCCCCATTTATTCAAAGCTTAGGACGCAGATCTATTATAATTAATCCACCATTAGAACCCTTCTTTGGAAGATAACTTTTGGTTTATTCCAATTAATTTGACCGTTCTGTGTACATTACATTCATGGACAGCGTCGCCCTCGTTTATAAGACCAGTTAAAAGGTCTGGCTGCTGGTTCAGAGTGTTGTAACTCGAATCATTGACAGCCCCCACCCAGCAAAATAGGTGGGTTGTATGTGTAGTTCCCCCCTTCTGCGGATTATGTTGTTTACTTACTGGAAAGGGCGGAAACACCGGGCAACTCCTTGCCCTCCAACAGCTCCAAGGAAGCACCACCGCCGGTCGAGACGTGGCTGATCTTGTCTTCCTTGCCGTACTTTGCGGCAACGGTTGCGGTGTCACCACCACCGATAATGACGGTGGAGCCGGACTGAGAAGCCGCGACAGCGGCATCGAGGGTGGCCTTGGAGGCCTCGGCGAAGTTGTCAAACTCGAAGACACCGGGAGGACCGTTCCAGAGGATGGTCTTGGACTCGGCGATGGCGGTCTTGTACAGCTCAACACTGTTCTTGCCGACATCGAGACCCATCCAGCCGTCGGGGATACCCTCAGCATCGGTGGCGTAGCCAACCTCGGCGTCCTTGGCGAACTTGTTGCCAGTGACGTAGTCGACGGGCAAGATGATCTTAACGTTGTTCTTCTTGGCCTTCTCGACAACATCGCCGACAATCTTGCTTCCAGCCTCGTCGAAGAGACTGCCACCGATCTTGACGTTCTCGAGGGTCTTCTTGAAGGTGAAAGCCATACCACCAGTGACGATCAAGCTGTCGACCTTAGGGAGCAGGTTGTCGATCAACAGGATCTTGTCAGAGACCTTGGAGCCTCCGAGGATGGCCAAGAATGGGCGCTGGGGGCTCTCCAGGGCCTTAGCGAAGTACTCAAGCTCCTTCTTGACAAGGAATCCAGAAGCCTTCTGAGGCAGGTCGACACCAACCATCGAGCTGTGGGCACGGTGGGCGGTTCCGAAAGCATCGTCTAAAAGGATACGGTATTAGCCAAAGAATAGGTACGAGATTCAGCGCATCATACTGATGTAAATGTCACCCAGGGCAGTCAGTCCCTTGCGGAACTCTGCGACCTTCTCCTTGTCGGCCTTGACCTTCTTGCCCTCCTCATCCTTGTAGCTGCCCTCCTCCTCGGCGTGGAAGCGCAGGTTCTCAAGGAGAACGACCTGGGCACCGGAGGCCTTGTTGACGGTCTCCTCAGCCTCCTTGCCAACGCAGTCCTCAGTGAAGAGGACGCTGCGGCCGAGCAGCTTCTCCAATTCAGGAACAACGGGCTTCAAGCTGTACTTCTCGTTCCTCTTGCCATCGGGGCGGCCGAGGTGGGACATGAGGACGACGGCCTTGGCGCCTTGCTCAATAGCATACTTGATGGAGGGAAGGGCGCCAACGATACGCTGGTTGTTTGTGATCTTCTTCTCGGCATCGAGAGGGACGTTGAAGTCGACCTGACAGCAACCATAAGTTAGCACAAGGAGGACGTCCAATGGATACAGCAGCTTCCAGTAAACATACCCGGATCAAGACGCGCTTGTCCTTGAGGTCAACGTCAGTGATAGCAAGCTTGTTGGTGAGAGACATTGTGAATGATCTTCTAGGTTCGTTCAAGTCAGTGGTGCAGGTCAGGAATCGTGGGTGGAAAGACGAAGTACCTCCAAAAAAATGAACAGATATGTCCTGGAAAAGGGGTGAAACGAGGTTGCAAAATATGAAATACTAATGACCGCTCACGGTGAACCTGATAGTAAGTTCGGCTCAGCGGCGGGGTAGTTGGTACTGTTTGTCAAGTGGTGGGGCTTCCGGTGAGAGATTCGCTGACGCATCGGGCTGATGCGGGACTGATGTCAATGTCCGTGATCGATGACGGAAGAGCCCGGGGTTGGGGGAGGACGAAAATCCATGTGCCTGTTAATTCTCGAGTACCCTCGGATCTATAAGGGAGTTCCAGGTTTCAGGTGGAATTATCAAATGCCGCTTGGGTTTTCGTCGAATGCTCGACCCGTCTGTTTAGGGATGTAGCGGAGGCCGGTTTTATTCCTGATCGACTAGCTGGCACATCCTCATGATCGATACGAATCCAGGCTACAGAAGAATCCAAATGTTGTTCAATGCGATTGCGTTGTTTCGTTAAACAGAAATTGATTGTTTTATTGCCGCAATATTTTGCCCTCCTTTGATGACCGAGAAACACCCGTATACCACTCATGAGAGTAAGGTAGCAAAACCCCTAACGCCCATTCGAGACGCCGTGGAAAGAGACAGAGAACCCAAAAAGATAGGAAAGAGACGAGAAGCATGGATGAACGTGTGTATGTGTGTGCGTGCGTGTGACGATTGGCAATGGGTACCATCACTGTGGTCGAGATTAATTATTCTTCCTCCGAGGAGTTGCTCAACGAAAGATACGCAGTCCAGGCAATACCGACGGACGATACGAAGGGCTGCACATGAGAATCAGCATAAGAAGTTAACAAAGTAACCAGAGAGCTTACAATTTGGAATTGGATGGGAACAACCCGGAAATTGAGGATCTGGACTGCAGGCCAGAGCACAAAGTTCGCTTTGAGTGTGGGCATGTATACATCTTGGAATTTGCGAGCCAGTGCTCTCTTACCACCTCCCTCGGCAACTGTCATGAATGTGAAGAAGCACACCAGACCTACATTAAATTGGTCAGTTACATTGGTTGCTTGCATAGGTGGGGACGCCCATACCAAAAGGAGCGAAGATAAACTGGTCAACAGCAACTCGCTTCAGAGCTGGGAGAGTAGGGTTCACTTTGGTGAGTGGGAATGCTCTAGACAAGAATCCAAACCAGAGGAATTGGACCGGCGCCATGAAGAAACCATATGACATGAATCGAGTGAGTCTTTCGAAATCAAATGGCGGCGCCAAGTTCCTAGAATAGCCCAGCTCTCCCACCGCCGGTGGCTTTTCCTTGTCTAGCTCATGAACCTCGATCGAAATGAAGTCGTCACCAGTAGTAGGTAGAGTGCGGGCTGATCGAGTCTTGAAGGCTGTGATCAACTGTGCAACGGTATCGGCGATTCCACCAAGCACCTAAAACCAACATTCAGAATTAATATATATCCATCAAAATCTAGGTCACATTATCCAGCGAGCTTACGGCGTTGGTAACCATGGTGGTGAGCACTATGAAGGACAGTCAAGTTAGCCCTCCCTCCAGACAGTCCGAGTCAGGTGATGGTAAGCTTACCCGGCTTCTCCGCATAGTAGGAGTTGAATTTGGCGGCAAGTCGCATCGCAGCCGCAAGCTCGATCAGAAAGATTATCGCATGAAGTAAAGGCTGTAAATTAAAGATAGTCAGAATAAGTTTTCCCTTTCATAGTGTAGCCAAACGCAGCATGGGGCAGTGGGAGTTCTTTGAGGGATGTCTGTTCAAAGACATCCATCATCCACCAAGGAGATCGATCACATACCACACGACCATAAATGTATCGCCGATTAAGACCGTCTAGGATTCCTCGTCGCGCTGAGGAGAGCATGATTGAGTAAAGTAAGATAAAGATGGAAAATTGATATGATAGACGACTTTGCGATCGGCGGTATCGAGTCCAAGAGGCGAGCGTAACAGTATGACGCAAAGAAAAAAGGAGTGTGCAATCTGGCAGACAAGAAAAATTAAAACTGATAAGAATATATAGACGTCAGTATAACCTAATGCCTCAACAACCAGCGAGCAGCGGATGTTGATTGTCGGTGGATCAAGATGAACTTGTCCGATGGGTGACTAGATCTCCAGGCTGTCAAATGCAATGAGATTAATTAAGAGACACTTGCTGCTAACCATCGCCGATCGAGTGATCACCTGCCTTGTTGCGCGGTGCGCCTTGCGTCTTGCCGCCGCTTTTGCCGGTCACGCCGCTTGCCGCTTCAAACACTCGAGCGCTCAGAATCTAAGAATTTGGATATTGTAGTTGGTGAAACACTCTATTTCTTTGAACTGGACCCTTTTATGATCTACTATTAATGATCTTCATCATTCAATTATTATTCATTTTTTAATAAGTCATGCATTGTATTCTCATTGGCTTGGTTTATTGCCAAATGGAGACCCAGTCATCCCCCGGATGTTATACACACTAGGCAATATTTGTGGGGTAATAATAGAAGCTCTATTCTATCGTATTCTGCATTCATCACGATGGGACTCTACTGTCAGATGCGAAAATGTCGGGGAGATCTCTGATATCCGTCGTTTCGTTGGTATTGACATCCACAAGGCGCACGGCTTCTAAATGTAAAGAGCCCAGAGCCAAGGGAAGCAATTTCAATTCTGTCGAATGGCATGTTCCAGGCAAAAGTGGACTGCAGATATAACAAGTCAGATCAATAAAGACAAAAAAACCCCCAATTAATCACTCGAAAACTTACCCAACACGAATATCTGTACTCAAGCAAATGAGTTCCGCTTCCTGACCGGCCACGCTTTTCTGCATCGCATGCACAATATTGTCGTCTGTCACTGCCTCTGCAACCTGGTCTTCCTTGGGACTTGAGATAGACGAAGATGATGGACGGGCAACATGTCCTCTGGGATCCGCTCGCTTTCGTCGGGGCAGGGCAACCATGGCAAATTTTCGAGGCACTGTCGACCGATTGACGATGAAAACACTCCAGGAGAATGGCTTGCCAACTTCAACGCTGACGGGGCCAGCAAATGATATGGTCACCCCCAAATCTGTTACAGAGTATGCCCGCTCTCGTAGAGAACTTCGGCTAGGAGGACCAGTGGCATTGCCTTGGTTTGGTGTCATTGGGAGGCTTGCCGGGCGGTTATTCCTTTGTAAGGCTGGACTCGGTCCGCCAAAAGTCGGATTCAAAACCAAAGAGAAATCAATGTTTGTACTCCACTGCATGGAGATCCGGGGTTGACAATCGTCCGACAGGTTTATAACTGCTTCTAGAGATATATGCAAAATGCTAATCATCACAGTGGTCGAAGGATTGGGTTCCGGGCCGTACTCTGGAGTCAATTTGTATACCAGAGTAACATCGTCCCTTGGGCGGCATGTTATGGGTGGAATAAGCCCCGGCACATTTGATAAAGTCTCAATGGTACCATCAGAGAGTTTAAGATCCGCTTTATCCAATACAACATCGCAATCCAAGAACGGTGTCACTTCGAAATCGAGACTTGCCACGGTCGTTGGTCGACCAGAGTATGAGTTGAGCCGTGAATAACGGATTCTTGCACTAGCTGCAGGGACAACCCGAATGGGATGCCCTGATTGTTGCTGAACATTATATATTGGGTCCTCACTGTATGTTGCTGGTACAACCCGTAGGAGTCTTGACGCTGGAAGGAATGGGTCTGTTTTCTTGAATGCTTTATCTGCTGACAATGGTTGCAAGATGTTCGTGGACGCAGGGACCATCGTAGGGAGATAATCATCTTCTCGAGAATCCGGGTTTCGGCCTTGAGATGGGTTCAGACTAGCAGAAGCAATGAACAGGATCGAAGGGTATTGGATACGAATGCGTGGCCGCTCTGACATCATCAGCACAGAAGCATAATGCAATATACCACCAAAGGACCTTACTCAAGAATGCCTCGATACTCCATATTACATATACGTGGTTTCCGGTTCCCGTATCACCTTCGAACTCATTGACCACCACCAAGGGATCTTCCTTTCCACTTACAACCCCTGAGAAGATCAGGTCTCTCGTAGGTGTTGGATTCTCCGCAACTGATTCCGCGGGATCAATGGCAAAGGCATCGACTCTGAGTTCGAGGAGCGGAAGGTGATGTTTCACGCTGGCTTCTGAGCAATTGGAGAGTCTGAGGACAACGCGGGCGGTGCAGAATTCATCTGTATCGCTATATATGAGTAAGAGATGGGGTTCAATCAGGATTACACCTCCCGACGTACCAAAGAAGAGAAGAGAGCGCTGTGAGATATGCGAAAGTACGTCTGATAGATCATCTGCGCCTTCCTCCAAAGCAGATGTCAATGCAACCTCCAAATCTATATTCGAAGCATGCGGGACAACTGTATCTAGAACAGCATGTCTTAGAAATTCCCCAGGGATCTCGAGACTCGGCATTGCGACAGTCACAGTCGCATGCCCGTCTACTGCGTAGATAAAGGTAGATGATATTACAAGCACGAAATAGGCGAATATAAATGATAAAAGGGTCTCAAGATGGGGAGCGCATTGGAAGACAAGTTGATACCGACGGCGGTGATGCGCAGTTCGGGGGGGTCAATGCAAACAGCGCAAACAACGGCCTTGGCGCAAGGTATCCCGTAGAGAGCTCCAAATTGCTTCGTTTTTCGACAGGCGACAATTCATCCACATCAAAAGCAGCATCCCGCCTGTGGGAGAATCTGCAGTTTCGCTATGAATCCGATGAGTGCCCCGTCGGGCGCGTCTCCTCTCTGGCAGGAGGCTCGCAATTCCGATGGGAGAGTGTATTATTATAATATCCAGACGAAGGCGACGCAATGGGCGAAGCCCTTTGAGCTGATGACCCCCATCGAGGTATGTGTATAGCACAGATTTATCTTCGCTGCAATGTCTAACATTTATATCTCTGTTTTTTTCTAGCGGGCTTTGGCCAATCAGCCGTGGAAGGAGTATACCGCCGAGGGTGGCCGGAAATACTGGTACAACACGGAGAGCAAGCAAAGCACTTGGGAGATGCCAGATGTTTACAAAAATGCGCTCGCACAGGCACCAGCACCTCAAGCTCCCGCCGCAGCGTAAGTCTCTTCTATGAACCCCATGTCTTTAGTTGTCGCCATGTACTGACGCGCAGGTAGTGGACCTACTTTTGTTGCAGGCGGCGTCAGTTCCTTCCCCTCCTACCCACAGCAGCGTGACCGCGAGGATTACGACCGAGGATTTAGTGACCGACGTGGTGGATATGGCTCGGTGGACAATGGACTGGCGGCTCCCATACTGAGTGCCACCCAGGCGGAACCGGAATACAATTCGTTCGAGGAGGCGGAAAATGCGTTCATGAAGATGCTCAAGCGCCACAATGCTAATCCTGACTGGACTTGGGAGCAGACAATGCGTGCCACCATCAAAGACCCTCAGTATCGCGCTTTGAAGGACCCGAGAGACCGCAAAGCCGCCTTTGAGAAATACGCGGTCGAGGTTCGCATGCAGGAAAAGGACCGGGCGAAAGAAAGATTCGCTAAGCTCAGAGCAGATTTCAATACCATGTTGAAACGGCACCCTGAAATTAAGTACTACAGTCGCTGGAAGACTATTCGGCCGATCATCGAAGGCGAGACTATTTTCAGGTCTACGGATGATGAAAACGAAAGACGGCAGCTCTTCGAGGAGTATCTTGTCGAGTTGAAGAAAGAACACGTTGAACAGGAATCTGTTAAACGTAAGGCCGCGATGGACGAGCTGGTGAATATCTTGAAGTCCTTGGACCTGGAGCCGTACACCCGCTGGTCTGAAGCACAATCCATGATCCAGTCAAACGACAGGGTTCAAAGCGATGAGAAGTTCAAGGCTCTGAGTAAGTCTGACATCTTGACTGCTTTTGAAAACCACATCAAGGCTCTTGAACGAGCATTCAACGACGCTCGTCAGCAGCATAAAGCAGCGAAGGCAAGAAAGGAGCGTCACGCCCGTGAGCAGTTTTTGGACCTCCTCAAAGAGCTTAGATCCCAGGGCAAGATCAAGGCCGGAACCAAATGGATGACTATCTACCCAACGATCCGGGAAGATCCCCGATACCTAGGAATGCTGGGCAACGCAGGTTCAAGTCCTCTCGACCTCTTCTGGGACATCCTGGAGGAAGAGGAAAGATCGCTGCGGGGTCCGCGAAATGACGTTTTGGATGTGCTTGATGTGAGTAAATTCTACGTATATCTATTGTGGCTTTGTTAACACCGTTTTACAGGACAAACGCTACGATGTCACTCCCAAGACCACCTTTGAGGAATTCAACTCTCTCATGCTTGCAGATCGCAGAACAGCGAAGATTGATCCTGATATTCTTCAGCTCCTTTTCCAGCGTGTACAAGAAAAAGCCGTTCGAAGAACCGAGGAAGAAAAGCACGCCGCGGACCGCCATCAACGACGCGCTGTCGATGCCCTGCGATCCCGGATCAAGCGCCTGGAGCCTCCTGTCAGGGCAACGGATACCTGGGATGAAGTGCGACCAAAGGTGGAAAAGCTCGAGGAGTACAAAGCGATCGAATCCGACGAGCTCCGACAGGCTGCCTTTGACAAGGTTATCCGCCGCCTGAAAGAAAAGGAAGAAGATATGGAGAGAGATCGCGAGCCTCGAGACCGTGACCGTGGTAGTCGGCGGGATCATTATGACCGCGGGGATCGCGATCACCGTGGGGCCTCCTATAGAGGCGAAAGAAGAGGAGCCTCTAGTCGTCTCAGCCGCAGTCCTGAGCCTGATGCTTACGAGGCGGATCGTCGTAAAGCTCAAGCAGACCGCGAAAGATCTTACAAGAAGGTTAGCGGCTTCTCACCAAGTCGCGACAGGCGGGAAGAGCGTGACCGAGACCGAGACCGGGAAAGGGAACGCGACAGGGACAGAGATCGTTATCGCGAGCGTGACCGTGACCGTGATCGTGATTATGACCGGGAACGTAGCGTTCGCTCTACGAGCCACTATGACCGCCGAGAGGATGAGCGGGAGAGACTCTACCGCACCCGTGGCGATCCACGTGGCAGTCGCGATGAGTTGGATTACGGCGGTGACACTCGCAGCACTGTCAGCAATGACCGTAGACGTCGGCGTGAAAGTGATGCGGAGAGTGTGGCAAGTCGCTCCAATAAGCGGTATCGTCGCGACAGCCGGGAGAGAGAGCGCAGCAAGGGTGCAAAGAGGGATAGAGACCATCAAGAGCGAACCCCCGCGGTGGAGGATTTGAAGAGAGAGGAAAAGGCCATCCACTCTGGCAGCGAGGAGGGAGAGATCGAGGAAGAGGAGTAGATTGCCCTAAGTGGTTGTTTGTACTTTGTACACAGTATTTCAATAAGCACAAGTCAATATGATTGGTATAATATAGAAAACATTAAGACGCACAGCTTATAGGTAGACGTTCTCGACTTTTCTAGGTATTGTGAAATACTCGGTAGTTGGCCTCTGTTTCTTGCCTATTTAGTCGAGATTAGCTGCAAGCCAAGTGCTTATGGATGACAACATATCAACCCTCCATCAATATAGAATATGCCTGGGAGAGACAGGATATTAGAAAATTAAAAACCAAGCTTAGTACTCTGTCTGATATAATAGTAAATTTTAGTTTATGGTAGAGCGGTTACCAAATGTGCTGTCGAGATATATATTACTGCTGAGCGGCTTCACGAAATCTAATAGCCATAAACACGTTGTATTGAAATGCTAAAATATTCGCATTTTCTCCATAGAAGATCAATACTGGGATAAAAACCAAGAATCAAATAATATATTCACTAACATAGCACAAGAATGCCTGTCAAGAGGCCTCTAAACAGTGGCCTCCTAACTTGACCCATGCCCCCAGTTTTTACATCTTCACTAAACCCTGACCATCTCGGTCGAAGAGCCATCTATATCATAACATCATGTAAAAGCTTTTTGACGACCCAAACTCCGGCATGATCATGCCAATCCTAAATTACCCGATACCAGAGAAAGCCCCATATTGATCAGAAGCCCAGGCTCCCGTTCCCCAGCGATTATTTCGCGGGTTGGAAACTGATCAACAAGAGTTGGGAGGTATGATGATAGATGAACGACGTCTAGATGCAGGGTAGAGAGTGAACTGGGACCATTCAAAGGCCAACCACTGTTCCCCCCCAATCAAAATTGTCGCCATCCTCATCATCATCCTCCCCCTCTGCCGCATCAGCCTCATCGTCAAGGTGCACACCACGACGGTGGCGCCGCCTAACTTGGATAGTCGAGGCCGTGCAAACGCCGAAAAACGCCACTAACCAAAGGCTCTTCCTTTTACCGCGACGGTGGTTTCGTCGCTGGTCGGAGTCGCGATCATTGCGCTTGCGATGATCGCGGTTGTGTTTGTCAGGGATGCCCCTTTCAACTCTCCTCTTCCAAGAAGTACTGAAAATATATGTATTAGCATGATTCAAAGTAAACAGTGACGTATAATAGTTTTTATGGGGTATACATACGTAATTACCGTTGAGCTTCTGTTCCTGGTCCATTTGACTCTGGTACTTGTTGATACGTGGGCGGTAACTGTTAGGGTCACGACGGAAGGTAACGTCCAAGCTGCGCAAAAAGCTGTTGCAACCAGTGATCAGGGACTCGGGGGTGTTGGCGCGGGCATCGACGGATGCCTGTCCGTCGAAGACGATGACACGGTCAGCGAGGTAGGTGGCCATGATGAAATCGTGCTCGACAATAAAGGCGGTCTTCTTGCTGTGCATGATGAAACGCTTGATAACTCTGGCAGCCACGATACGCTGCTCGGAGTCGAGGTAGGCACTAGGCTCGTCGATCAGGTAGATATCGGCGGGAATACCAAGAGCCAGAACAATAGCAACACGCTGCAGTTCACCACCAGACAGGTTCTGAACTTCCTGGTCGATGAAGTCGTCGATCTTCAGAGGCTTGTAGACATCGGTCTGGAATTGAGGAGACAGGAAAGCCGTCTTGATACGCTTGAAGAAAAGCTGGCGCACGGTGCCTTGGAACTTGGGGGTGATCTTCTGGGGCTTCATGCTGATGTGCATGCGGGGTACGGAAACATTACCGTCCGGCTTCTCAGCACCGGCAAGCATCTTACAGAAAGTAGTCTTCCCAGTTCCGTTCTCACCCATCATGACGACAATCTCCGAGTCGGTGAAGCGTCCAGCATCAACCTTCAGGTGGAAGTTACCGAGAGTCTTCTCCATGTTGGGGTAGCTGAATGCGCGCCCCTTATCAGAAAGGAACTCATCACCGGCTTCGGTGATACGGAAGCTGAGGGATTCCTCTCTGAATCGAAGGTTCTCAGTGGGGATGTGGCCATCCAAGAAGATGTTGATACCCTCACGAACTGAAGCAGGCAGTGTAACCACACCATACAGGGCAGGCTTTCCGTAAAGCACACAGACGAAATCAGAGAGGTAATCAAGCACAGACAAATCGTGCTCAACAACAATGACATAATCGTCGGGGCGGAGAAGCTCTCGGATGGAGCGGGCGGCGGCCAAACGCTGCTTGACATCGAGGTAGGAAGACGGCTCGTCAAACATGTAGCTGGACTTAGTTAGAACATTTCTGGAGATAATAGTCGAGATAATTGGACTCTTACACATCAGCTTTCTGCACACACACCAGACCGATGGCAAATCGCTGAAGCTCTCCTCCGGAAAGGTGATCAATGTCACGCTCCGCAACCTGTTTAAGTTCTGCATAGACATTAGAAATTGTGTATTTTATGCGACCAAGTTATCACATACCCAGAACATTCATGACATGATCCGTGTTGTCCAGCTGAGCACGGCCCTTGATGAGGTCTGCGACCTTCTTGACTGGGCCCTTCACGGCTCTGGGAATTTGATCGACATATTGGGGCTTCACAACGGCCTTCAAGTTGTCTTCCAGCACCTTGGTGAAGTAGTCTACATGGATTAGCATGCTTCCATTGTCTAGTAGACAGGGCGATACATACTCTGCAATTCAGATCCACGGAAGTACTTGAGAATTTCCTCCCAATCCGGGGGGTTGTCAAAGCGTCCAAGGTTAGGCTTCAGTTTGCCGCTGAGAATCTTCAGAGCCGTACTCTTTCCGATACCGTTTGTTCCGACAAGACCCAGAACCTGTCCGGGACGGGGCATGGGAAGACGATGGAGCTTGAAACTGTTGGCCGAGTAACGGTGGGTGACTTGGGTTTCCAAGTTGGTAGGCAAGTTGATAATGTGGATTGCGCCAAAAGGACATTTCTTAGGGCAGATACCACAACCGATGCAAAGACGTTCCGAAATGAAAGCGATCTTAGACTCGGCAGAAACTTCGATACAGAGCTTACCCGTTCGAACCACGGGGCAAGACTTTTTACATTCTTGACGACATTTCTGGAAACATGAGCATCGTTATGCAGGGGAAGAAGGAACTCGTTCGTATAATTCGTACCTTGGGCTTGCACTGTCGACGGAGAAAAATCGCTGTCAGCAAATCTTGTATAATCGTGGCGACGGTCTCTAGCGGGGTACTTTGAACCAACCTTGTCACTGTTGACAATAGCAATTCTATATGGAAAAAGAAATCACAGTCAGTTCCTGATCCATCTGAATGATCCTGCGCCGATGAAATACCTGGTAAGCTTTTCAGACATGGTGTCTGGCTATTAGATCCGAACGATCACGCGTCGAATACGGAGGGGAACAAAAAGATCAAGAAGATGACTTTATTATTATGAAAGATCTCTACCGGATGGCCAGAAATGACAACACCGCAGCGATAGGATCAGATGCGCAGGAGAAAAAAACGCCGAATATCTTCGCTGGACAGAGCTGACCAGTGACCACCAAGTAGAGAGCAAAGAAGAAACGTGGTTTCGAGGCGTCGACTCGAAGAGGGGCTCAAAAGAAAACTATGTCAGGCATTAGTATTGTGGGCGCTCTTGTGGGATGTCTGCCTCAGGCATCTGCTGCAATTATTACAGGCCATTATTTGCATCGCCTCCGATTGGCCCGTCGGGTCGTCGAGAAAAAATCTACCGGAAATAGTGTTGATCCGAGCGATACAGCCACGTGATGCGACGTTTGGCGCTAAACCGCTTGGGATCTCGCTTGTTTCCACGCTAGCCCCGATTACGGATAGCGCGTAAGTGGCAGCCTGAAGGCTCAGGCCAGCAAGCCGATCCCTTCACTGCGACTCGTTCACCTCCAACGAAACACTCGCTCGACTCCCTCATCATATTCTCAGCAGCCTCTCTCCGTTCCTCTCTTTCCTCTCCACCACCACGTTCCGACACCACTCCCCCTCACCACCACCACCCACCTTTTCTTTTCTTTCTTTTAATTATTGCTTTATTCGATTTTCTCTCCACCGGGGTCACCAAGCTATGGATTGTGAGTATTTTATTATTCTTCCTTAGCCATTTCAGACGTGTCCAAGTACGCTCGGCTGGGGTACTTCTCCACGCTATCGACCCACCGGAAGAGCCCAAGAATCTCTATACATCTCGTTGTATTGGCGGGTTTCTGAATTTCTTTTGGCCAAGGTCTGGTTGTATTTTTTCTCCTGGGTCTGATTTTGTGATTGGAATTGCCTTTGCCCCCGTTGTTCTGCTACCAGCCCTCGTCGCGTTTCATCCAACCCGCCATCAAAAATCACCTCGATGCATCAAACCTTATCTCATACCTTGTTCTACCGGCTTTCAAGCTTCTATTAACTGAGATCTGAGTCGCGTACCCCTGATTACCCCGTCCTTCCCTATTGTACACCTCCCCAGCGTTTAATTGAGCTTCAATGCTGATTCTTCCGTCTCCAATAGCTACTAGCATGGTGATCCCATCTCCTTCGGACCCTCCGACCATGATGGCGGTGACCAACGGCTATTCTACATCCCCGGTCTCCAATACTGGGAGTGTCAGGGATGAACCTGCAGCCAATGACACTGGGAGCCTATCTGATCCCTCTGAACAGCACGTCGCTTCCGAGTCCTCCCCCGAACCGGATGCCGCGGACGAGTCCTATGATGCGGGTTCCCCCGATGGTGAAGGTGAAGAGGAAGCCTCTGCGGAGGAAAACAGCTCCAGACAGGGGAGTCCCTCGAGTGCAGAAAATTTTTCATCACCGGAAGCAACACGCGGGACGAAACGCAAATCGTCGCCGATTGACGAAACCACATACATGAGAAACAATCCTGACCTCTACGGACTTCGTCGAAGCGGTCGAGCTCGTATGACGCGTCAGGTGGCCCAATCTGACTCTGACTCTGACTCCGATGATGTTGCGCCCCGCGCCAGGCGTCGACGCCCTGCAGCCTCTCGACAATCCTCGAAACTCCCCTCCCGCTCTGCCACCCAGTCGTCGTTTTCTGAATCGGACAGTGATGAGTACGGTGGCAGTCGTGCTCGCACGAACAAAGCAAAACGTCGACGCCTCCTCCAGGCCTCCTCTAACGCGCCCTCTCATGCAGAGGTCCGCTTCTCTACCAGAAACGCCTCGAGGGTCTCGAACTACAATGAAGATAATGATGACTCTATGTTTGAGGATGATCCAGAGGATATGACAGAAAACTATTGGGTTGATAACACGGCTGAAGACGACCGCCCGGCCGTGGACATCGTGTTAAATCACCGCCTCAGAGAGGGCGTAGATCCGAACAACCCCGACATCGATCGCCATGACTTTGAGTTTTACATCAAATGGCAGGGCAAGTCACACTATCATGCGACATGGGAGAGAGACGATACTCTTGCAAATTGCCGTAGCACGCGACGTCTTGACAATTATGTCCGCAAGACTCTTTCCGAAGAAATTCGTTTGAATGTCGGCGATGACGTCCCTCCCGAGGACCGAGAAAAATGGAATCTCGATCGCGAAAGAGACGTCGATGCCATTGAAGACTACAAACAAGTGGAACGAGTCATTGGGATGCGTGAAGGTGATGATGGAACGGAATATTTGGTCAAGTGGAAGCGATTATTCTACGACGCGTGTACATGGGAGAACGAAGAGCTGGTCAGTGAGATCGCTCAACGGGAAGTTGACCGATTCTTGGACCGTTCGTCTCGTCCGCCTATTTCAGAAAAGACCGAATCCAACCACCTTACACGCAAACAATTCGAGACCATCAAGGGCACTCCGGACTTCCTGCAGAATGGTGAATTGAAGGAATTCCAAGTCAAAGGCTTAAACTTCATGGCCTTTAACTGGGTCAAAAATCGCAATGTGGTGCTTGCCGATGAGATGGGACTGGGGAAAACTGTACAGACTGTTGCTTTCATCAACTGGCTACGTCATGTAAGGCGTCAGCAGGGACCTTTCGTAGTTGTTGTCCCCCTCTCGACAATGCCATCTTGGGCCGATACCTTCGACAACTGGACACCCGATCTGAACTATGTTGTTTACAATGGTAACGAGGCTGCTCGTGCTGTTCTCCGTGAGCATGAACTCATGATTGACGGCAACCCTAAGCGTCCCAAGTTTAATGTACTACTTACAACATATGAATACGTGCTGCTCGACTCATCATTCTTGAGCCAGTTCAAATGGCAGTTTATGGCCGTTGATGAAGCACATCGGCTGAAGAACCGCGATTCCCAGCTTTACACAAAACTGCTGGAGTTTAGATCCCCTGCCCGCCTTCTCATTACTGGTACCCCAATCCAGAACAATCTTGCCGAGCTCTCCGCCCTGTTGGACTTCTTAAACCCTGGTCTTGTTGATGTCGATGTCGACATGGACCTGAATGCTGAAGCAGCCTCCAGTCAGCTCGCAGAGTTGACAAAGGCCATTCAACCCTTTATGCTGCGTCGGACGAAGTCTAAGGTTGAATCGGATCTCCCACCAAAGACCGAGAAGATCATCCGGGTTGAGCTTTCCGACGTCCAATTGGAGTACTATAAAAACATTCTCACGAAGAACTACGCAGCTTTGAACGACGGTGCAAAGGGCCAGAAGCAATCGCTTTTGAACATCATGATGGAGTTGAAGAAAGCTAGCAACCACCCTTTCATGTTTCCCAATGCTGAAGCTAGAATCTTAGATGGCAGCTCCCGCAGAGAGGACGTGCTTAGAGCCATGATTACCAGCAGTGGCAAGATGATGCTCCTGGACCAACTCCTGGCGAAACTGAAGCGAGATGGCCACCGCGTGTTGATCTTCAGTCAAATGGTCAAGATGCTGGAACTTCTTGGCGACTACATGGAATATCGTGGCTATACATATCAGCGTCTTGATGGTACTATCCCTGCGGCTGCTCGTCGGCTTGCTATCGAACATTACAATGCCCCTGGGAGCAGCGACTTTGCGTTTATTCTCTCTACCAGAGCAGGTGGTCTCGGAATCAACCTCATGACTGCTGACACCGTCGTTCTTTTCGACTCGGATTGGAACCCACAAGCCGATCTTCAAGCCATGGCCAGAGCTCATCGTATTGGGCAGACTCGGCCTGTCAGTGTGTACCGTCTAGTTTCGAAGGACACAGTTGAGGAGGAGGTAATCGAGAGAGCTCGTAATAAGCTCCTTCTTGAGTTCATCACTATTCAGCGTGGTGTCACGGATAAGGAAGCAACCGAAATCCAGAACAAGATGGCTCGGGGTGGAATTTCTATGAGCGAGCCTAATTCTACCGATGACATTTCTCGTATTCTCAAACGCCGCGGTCAGAGAATGTTTGAGCAGACCGGTAACCAAGCCAAATTGGAGCAGCTCGACATTGACTCCGTCCTTGCCAATGCGGAACTTCATCAGACAGAACAAGCAGAGGAGATCCAGGCTGATGGTGGTGAGGAGTTCCTCAAAGCCTTTAACTATGTTGATATCAAGGTTGATGACCTTAGCTGGGACGATATCATTCCTAAAGATCAGCTGGAAGAGATTAAGGCCGAGGAGAAAAAGAAAGCAGATGAAATGTACCTGGCGGATGTTATCGAGCAGAACAAACCTCGCAAGCGCAATGGACCCATTGATGAGCGAGACACCCGAGAAGAACGCAAAGCCAAGAGGCAAGCGAGGGCTCAGGTCACCATGGATGATGGTGACGAGTCCGATGGCGATGTTCCATTGGATCCCAAGCGTCCGCTTGTTGAGAAGGAATACCGCCATCTGCTACGAGCATTTTTGCGATATGGTGATATGAACGGCCGCGAAGAAGACGTCGTAAGGGAGGCTCGCTTGTTGGATCGTGACAGGGAGACTGTAAAGGCTTCGCTGCGCGAGATAACAGACAAGGCGGCTGCCCTCGTAAAGGAAGATGTTGAGAAGATGGAGGCCCTCGAGCAGGCGGGCAAAATGCCCACCAAGAAGGAAAAGAAGGCTGTTCTTTTCGATCTTCACGGGGTGAAGCGCCTTAACGCGTATACTATTGTGGAACGCCCCAATGAAATGCGCATCTTGAAGGATGCCGCTGCTGCCGTGCCAGATTTCAGGAACTTCCGGGTCCCTGAAGCCACAAAGGCGGCTGATTACAGCTGTCCGTGGGGTGCACGGGAGGATGGCATGCTCTGCATTGGAGTTGCACGCCATGGTTACGGGGCCTGGACGCAGATTCGGGATGATTCTGACCTTGGGCTTGGGGATAAATTCTTCCTCGAAGAGCATCGGGTAGAGCGAAAAACCGAACGACTCAATAAGGAAGATAAAACCACCAAATCGCCTGGAGCTGTTCACCTTGTTCGTCGTGCGGACTATCTGTTGTCTGTCCTGAGGGATAAAGTCAGCAATGGTACAAGCGTCCTCGCGAAGAGAGCGGTAGAAAATCACCACCGCAACAATCGCAAGAATTCCCGTGGCCTTGCCAGCGCTAGTGTGTCTGCCTCTCCGGCGCCTTCAATGTCTCGCAAAGGCCATCGCGAAGTGGACCGGGCACGACACCGGTCTCATGGGGTCCGTGATAGCGTCGAACGCCATCACACTCCCAACCACGACCGGCCGAGGTCTGTTCATGACCATGATAGGCCCCGCCATCGAATGTCCGATGCGTCGAGCGAAGAGGTTCGTCGCCGCAAAAACAGCGAAAATGGTAGCTCCGGCAAAGAGGACATGTCTCGCTTGTTCTTCAAGCCAATCCGTGATGATTTGAAACGAGTGTCCTCGGTCACCAAAGAAAACTTCCCAGGCAAAGCAGCCAGAGCTTTGGAGCTGCGGGACCTGCTTCGTAAGATTGGCGATTTCATACGACGCACTTTGCAGGGCGAGGGCTCCATGCCTTCGCTTGAAGTCCGCCTATGGTAAGTCTGGATCGACTCAATTGGCCGCACTTTCGGACTCGCTAACTCGGATGATAGGCATTATGTCGCCGTGAACTATTGGCCAAATAAAGACGCCGGAGGGGCTAAACTTCAGGAAATGTACCAAAAGCTGAGCGCTGCTCGGGATGCCAATGCAGCCAAGCCAGCTTCCAACGGAACATAGGCCTAGAAGCGAAACTGAGCTCTAGCTGTGGCGCTCGTCGGTCATTGCCTTCAACTTTCGCTTTTTGTCGCCGAAGTTGAGCAACCGCGTTTGGTCATCTATCAATTCCAACCATCCTACTCTCGATTCACGTCTTCTTAACGGGCATATTTCAGTTTAGGCAGCTTTGCGTTTTTGTTATTTGAGGTAAATATGCATCATTGGGAAGCATCGCGACGGCGTATGGTATGATTCAACGAATGGGGGTTGAGCACGAGTGGATATCATACGATATTAGCATGACTTGTTTGTTTTTGGCTTTTTTTTTTTTTTTCTCATGTGGTTGTTTTCTTTTCATATCTAGCAAGGGCCCCCTTATATAGAGCGACGGGCCCTGCGATCTATCTCCATCTTTTCATTTTCTCTTATATGGCATGGTCCCCCCTACACGGTGTGATGGGCCTTGCCAATACAATTTTTTTTTCTCATCCAGGCTCGGTGCCCCATATTGGGGCCCCCTTTTCGGTGAATGGGTCTTATGGTTATGTCCTGTGTTTTTTTATCTTATTACCTTCTCTTCATGTATCTTACTGGGGTGACTTCCTGGGCTTTGATTTCGTTTGAAATTTTTCATTTGACCCAGGACACCTATTGAAATGTTTTCTCTAGACTATTTTCTTGTTATTACCAAATGGTGTGTGGCTGGTTCATCTATTTCTGGGTTTAGCATCGCGACCAAAATGCTTCCAATTCAATGTGTCAATATGTGGGCAAGATGAGAAAAAAAGGAGCGGGTTTCATATTTCTGGCTTTTTATGATAATTCTTCGTCTTCATTTGTATGCAATCAATTATGATGGTATATCGTCTTTTGATATGCAGAAAATGACTATACGGGTTGTCCGAAAGATTTGATTGTTCTTTGCTCAATAGTAGTAAAGGCAGTACTAGTACATGCTGGAATATTTCGACAAAATAGCTAATTCCGTAACTAAATCAATGCACAGATGAGAATAGAAGAGAAACATAATCCCGACAAGGAAAAACCTTGACTGTAAAGGAGAAAGAAAGAAGAAAGAAAAAAAAAAAAAAAAAGACGCCCTTCCGTCCTGAATTATACCCATAAGAAAGATAAAAGAAATAGAGGAAAGAGGAAACCATTATCAAGGCATGAATTTTTCCGTCTCATGTTGGGATAGCCCCCGAGTCGGGGTGGGGTTTTGCATCCATTTCCATGGGGTGAGATAGTTGCTGTTGTTGTTGCTGCTGCTGTTTCTGTTGCTCTTGTTCTTGCTGTAATTGATGCTGATGTTGTTGTTGGTGTTGTTGGTATTTTTCCAGGCCATCGGCATCATGGGCTACTGGCATACCCTCGTTGCCAACGATGGCACTGAATAACCGGAGCTCAGCGTCAATCACATCATCAAATATGGCCTCCTTTTCCATCCAGGCTTGTTTCCTCTTTGGTGCTGTCTTCAACCAATCATCCCGAAGCTTTGAGGTCTCCTTCTCTGCCCAGTGGATCTGGCGACGGAGCAATCGGTACAGATCTTGTGGACGGAGCGCGAGCTCGTGTTCGTCGAAGCCGACCTCGGGCCCGAACTCGGGGAGCTCGAACTCATCAAGGTCTTCGGTAGCTGCTGTTTCATCGTTGGCGCTTTCGCTGTATTGATCTGCCTCGTCCCTGGGGGGATGCGATAGCTTCAGCTTGATGCGCTGGAGCTTACTAGCGGGGGTTGCGGCGCCGGGGGTCAGGGCGGACAGGGGGGCATTATGATGTTTGGGGACGGGGTCAGAGGGTCGAAGAGCTTCCGTTTCATGGACGGTTCTCATATGTTTTGCGAGGGCATCTGAACGGGTAAAACTTCGGTCACATTCTGTAGTTGAAGGCTTGGGGTTAGTCTGACGGGATCTGCATGATGTTTTGGGGAGGCAGGGTACAAACTCACCAGGTAGCGCACAGTAGAAGGGCTTCTCTCTGGTATGACTCCTCATGTGAGCCCGCAGCGCATAGCCGCTCGCATGCGTTTGGCCCTTTCGACTGCAATCGGTCCACTCGCAGGAGTATTTCTTCTGTCGGCTGCCGACATGGTCGTTGTGGATATGCTGGACGAGGTCGTCCATGTTGCCCAGGTCGCGGGAATCGCAGCCTTCCCATCGACAGACGGTGATCTGATCATTGCCTTGGCCGCTGTAGTCATCATCCTGGCCGCCCCCAATAAGGGCCAGCGTGCCAGGAGAGTTGGGGATGTCGCCGGAGGTATCAGACGAGACGGAGGTCGAGGGGGAGGCGGGGGGAGGCATTTCGTCCTGATAGCTCATCGACACGGGGGTGTTGCGATCCCAGGAAGCGACTCCAGTGCGACGACGCTTAGAAGGTGGCAGATTGGACGCGGATGGAGAGAGGCCCTGCTTTGCATCCTCGCGATCCGACATGTCGTCGGAGGCGATGGAGGAGAGGGGGGAGCCGGGGGATTCGGTCATTGCGATGGTGAATGAGGGGGTGGTGGGCTAGGAAGGAAGCTGAACGTGTGGTTCGGAAGTGAATTTGGATCAGAAATTCACGGCATCAGCCGGTCTGGACGTGAGCATTGATGGATGGGCTGGAGAGGAGAGATCGAGTATACAGCGGCAGGGCACGTGATGAGGCTATTGCGGCCGGAGAAAAACTTGCAAGCGAACCTTTTCAACTCCCACAATTTCTTTCCTTCGCTCAATGCCAAAGCCAGATACTTCTATGATGATGAAGATTATTTATCTGCAGATACAATGTGTGCTCACTGCAGGTTCTAACCATTGTTTAGCTTAATATGACCACGATGTGTACTGATTGCATGGTAAGTTAACTTGAAACAGCTTGTTTGAACTCCTTTTACATGATGATTATTCTTTAAGAATTCTGCAATTCCTACAATCTCCTCTTTTGTGAGATTGGATGCTGACAGTTCTACACTTGATCTGATTTTTTGTTTTATTTCTACTCATTTTGCACACAAATTTTGTGACATTGAGCTAACTAGCCCAGTATATATAGGAATTGAATATCTATTGTTAATATCTACATCATGCCGTCCTTAAGGCATCACTATCACCTGCCTAAGATCAGTACCGGGCACCAACAACCTCGTGTTCATTGAGGATGCCATCGATCTCGGCCATCTCCTCATCCGAGAGACGCGGGACTCCCTGCACGTTCTGAGTGACTTTGTCGGCTGTGGTGCCTCCGGGAATAGGGATGATGGTTGGCATTCCAGGCTTGCCACTGAGGGAGAGAACCCAGGCCAGCGCGATCTGCACTGGGGCAACACCTTTGCGCGAAGCCAGCTTCTCCACCTCGTTCACCAGCTTGATGTTTTGCTTCATGGCTTCATCTTGGAACTTGGGTAGATGGCGGCGGAAGTCGCCTTCCGGGATGTCAGAGACCTTAGTGAAGGCTCCTGCCAACACACCTCGTCCGAGGGGCGAGTATGCGACGACAGGGATGTTGAGTTCCGCGCAGACTTTGGCGACGTCGTTCTTGAGAATGGTGGTGTCGAATAGAGACAGTTCGACCTCGACTGCTGCAATGGGGTGGACCTTGTGTCTGTAAATTGTTAGTTAGAATTATCGATAGAAAACAGGAAATAAAAACATACGCTCGCTGAATAGTCTCCGCATCAACTTCACTCAACCCAATGCCTCCAATCTTACCCTCCTTAACCAATTGCGCCAACACAGTAACTGTCTGTTCAACGGTTGTGTTCGGATCCTGACGAGCACACTCAAAGATATCAATCGTCTTCTTCCCGTCCAGCACCCTCAAACTTTCATCCACACTGCGACGGATATTGGCCTCGGAGCCATCAGGAACCAATTGACCCGGCTTCAAACCACCCTTGATACTCAAGACAACCTGCTTAGCCTTTTCGGGGTTCTTGGTAAAGTACTTGTTGAGCAGATGCAGGGAGTTGTATTCGGGAGTGCCGTAGAGTTCGCCTCCGTTCCAGAAATTCGCGCCCAGGTTGAGGGCTGTGTCGAGGGTTTCGAAGCATTGCTCGTGAGAAGGGGGTTGAGGGACCCAGGTCATTCCTGGAAACATTAGCATCCGGTGCGTGTTTTCGGATGTTGAAGACATACTCATTGTGCCATAGCCTGTATGGCCGATTTCCTGTCCGACGAGAGAAGGCATGATGTAGTTGTAGCTGTAACTGTAGGCTGGATTGATTGTTGATATTAAAGCTGTATCTTGAATTATCGCAAAGACAGTTGGTATTGACTTGTATGAGAAAGCAAAGCGCGATGAGGGGCAGCTTTAAATAAAAGTAAAAAACAACGGAGACCCGCGGAGACATCATGGACCCTCCGTTATCCCCACCATCCCTCCGGACATCGACGCTCGACTCTCGACAGCTCTTACCAACTACATACTGAGTGTGGTCTACGAGTTAGTAGAGGCTAAATGACTTGCCGATGTCTATCGGAGACCGGTCTTCGGGTTTTGCCATTTCCTGCACATGGGAGTGCTTGCAAAGGTATTAACGGGTTTAACGCAAAGCCGGGGCGCGAACGGAGTTAAGAGGTGGATTTATGATGCTGATGCTGGACGTCCGGTGATCTTCGATGCGCGAACAAAGTCAATTATTTTGAGTATTATTTTGCTAGCATACACTAATAATACAGATAATCCTCTCCTTTCATCATAATTCATAAGTCTGAGAGAACAACAAACAGACACTCCATTCTTAGACCATACACCCACTTAGCTATCGCAATGTGATCTCGTCACTGCTATCCAGCGCTGTCCTGAACTTGTGCGCCAGCGACTTGTACAAGGTGTCGAAGAAGCCGTACAGGTTTTTCGTGGGATCAGGGAGACCGTGATCACCACCACTGACGTCTGCGTTCTGGTTGGCCGAGTTCTCGTGGTCGGTCTTGGTGGCATTGGTACTGTTGCTGTCGTCGATGACAGCAGGGTCGTCGTAGGAGTCCGTGTGGTCCATGCTGTTGAGCTTGTCAAAGTGTTGGATACCGATTCGAGCCAGCATGTCAGAGAGCAGGTCGTTTGAGCCGGGGATCATTCTCTGGTTGATGCGTTAGTAGGTTGGAATTGATAAGGAGAACTTCAGGTCATACTGGGCTGGGAGAGCGCTCGTGCAGCGAGGAATCCTTATTCCCCGACATTGCCATGGGATAGCACTGAACAATGGCCGACAAGGCCAAGGCCACCGCGAAGAGCGCGAGTGATAATCTGAACATGATGATGTGGTCTAGAAAACGGGAACAGGGCTGAAGGGAGATACAATAGCCAATTCAAACCCAGTTGTCACGATAAGTAAAGAGAGATGGCAGTGGAGATGTGATCGACCAGCGACTTGATATAATATATCCCTTTGTAAGGCTGTTCCGTTTACTTTGCTGTGTGGAATGAGGCTGCATCCAAAGTAAACGTTCAGCATTCCAGTTGATCCGAATCATGCTGTTGCTACGGAGGATGACAGACCTACTGGCTATAAGATATTTCCGAGGCGTGAAGCCATTCCCAGTTTGATTGTGTTGGAATGTTGCTGGCATTCGAGAATCCGATTGGAAAGACAAGAATGGACGAGGTTGCAGTGTATCATATCCTGTCAACTGCCGGTGCTAGTGTTTACAAATCGATCATCCAGTTTATGCATGATCGCTACAGGGATATCTCGTTCAAAATATCCTCAAAATCAAATCCTCTCTCCTACGATGTATCGTTTAACCGGATAGCCGTAGAAGGCGGAGTTCCCCGCAATCAACCGAAATGAAATAAATCATTCCCATCTTCCTCACCCTCACCATCCAACCCTCTTCCATAAACCCAACAACCTCAATTGCAAAGCCCATCTTGTATACAAACATGTCCTCCAACAACCTCTACGAGCAAGGCCTCCAAACCAGGCGCGAAGTCCTCGGCAACGAGCACGTCAACCGCACCCTCTCCACCAACACCAGCGACTTCACCCGGCCCATGCAAGAATTCATCACCTCCTGGGCCTGGGGCGACGTATGGAACCGCCCCGGTCTCGAGCGCAAACAGCGCAGCCTCCTCAACATCGGCCTGTTGATGGCGCTGAACCGGCAGCCGGAGCTGGGGATGCATGTGCGCGGAGCGATTAACAATGGACTCAGCGAGACGGAGATCAGGGAGGCGATTATGCATTCCACTGTTTATTGTGGTGCACCGGCGGGGATGGAGGCGTTGAGGACGGCGGAGAGGGTGCTGGAGGAGATGGTGGAGAGGGGGGAGTATACACGGGAGTTGCAGTAGGATTTATCTATCCCTTGATGAGATGCAAGGGGTGTAGGTTAGAATGCATTGATTTTCTTATTTAATATTTGGTTTCATGAGATGCGATAGCAACATACAGTAGCAATTGGATAGCCATGGTTAGAATCAACCCGTGCACTGGGCTCTTCGCTGCAGTTGTCTATGGCTTCCGGTCAGAGACAAATGCGTCGTTCACACCGAAAACATGGATGATGGGAGTCAAATTCGATACTGTCTATCCTCATCATGGACCGATCAAGAATCTGTGGCAGAACAGATAGAATAACCAGGTGAGATCCATGTGTGAGTGAGAAAACCAGTCGGTAACAGATATCAGAGCGCGCACGCAGCCTACCAATTCAACGACGGAGCCCACGAGGACTTTGAACCAATTTTTGAGCACCTGATCGAGGTAATCCTGCCCACTGTCTAATCCATGCACTGCATACTAACAACAGCAGCTCGGTCTGAACGACTCAGACAGCGAAGCTTACACCCAACCGGTGATGCCCTCGTCGACAGCGCCACCAACGCCCTCCAAAACAACCAACCAACCCAAGCACACCCTCTTTCTACGAGCCGCCACCGTCTACAGAATCTCTCGTCATCCCTACCCCAGCCCCAGCGACAAAACAAGCATCAAACGCACCGCCAACGAGCGCCAGAAACAAGCGTACCTGAACGGCACCGCCCTCTGGGCCACGCCCCTCACGAAACCGTCGTCCCACACACCCAATTGCAGCAGCACAGATGACCCCTCCATCCTCATTTACGCCCGGCTACCCCAGAATGCTGCTATTGCTGGCCCTTGTCCCGTTGTCTTGATGATCGCTGGATAGACGGCTCGTCCTGACCATACACTGTTAGCAGACCACGTGGTTGAGAAGGGCTGGTCGATATCCTTGGCACAGGGGACAGTCCTGCAGACGGTCGCGATCCGCAGTCAGCGGATCAGATGTGGACGAGCGTGCTGGACTGGATGCGGGGCCAGGCGCAGTTGGACGAGCAACGGGTGGTGGCGTGGGGGATCAGTACGGGGCCCTACTATGCGGCGCGAATAGCCTCGACGCATGGGGGGAGGATAACGGGGTCTGTAGCGCAGGGGGCGGCGACGCATTTCTTCCTGAGTCGGGAGTGGTTGGGCCGTATTGATTGGCACGAGTATCCGTTCAAGTGAGTGGAATGGAGTCATGGATGGGTGTGATGGTCTAATCAGGGCCGTACCATGCAGGGTGACACCGTATCTAGCCGCCAAGTTTAGGTTCTCGTCTGTGGATGAGTTGCTCGAGGATGGGCAGGACAAGTTCTCACTCGTCACGATTGGGATAGCGGATCAGTCGTCCTGTCCACTGTTCCTGATCAATGTGAGTTGTCTGAGATAGATTGGTCATTGAGCGCAGGTCAAGACCAGACAGAACCAGACCAATGAGAATAATTCCACAGGGAGTCGAGGATGGTATCTTTCCCATCGAAGATTCCATCGAAATGCTCAATCATGGGTCTTCCAAGGAAGCCAGGTAAGTCCTGCATAGTGCATACCCTACTGCCAGTCTGCCACTCTACTGGCTCTCGACTCCATTCGACTCCATCAGTGTGATGAATCTATCTATACTAAGCCAGGCAGGTTTTTCCCGAATGCCTCACACATGGGCGGCTTGCAAGCCATCACCGCCATCACCGACTGGATTTAAGAAACGCTTGCAGTCGTAATCGGGAATCATCAATTCCTTTGGCCTCGGGTTCAGCACATCACATCCTATACACAGACATCAGTTACTCCGAATGCTAGTATAATCAACAGACCCTGCTATACTCACCCGCACCAAAAAAACCCTAAGCCCCACCACCAAGCATTTGCATTCGTATGCATCTACGTAACTTGACGTTTTCTCTCCACGATGCCGCATAAACAAGGCTCAGGCTAGCGACAAGGCGTTCCGCACCAGCACTGAAGTCAGAAAAAAAAAAAAAAAAAGAAAAAAACAAATCACGATAATTCATAAAAATAAACAAACCAAAAACCGGGGTCACAGCTTACGTACGAATTCCGAAGGGCCCAACAGTCATGAACCAAGGCGGTGCAAGTGAAGTTTGATAGGATAACAGGACGCCCCGTCCGACTAAAGCAACGGAGGGTCGGTTAGTGAGGGAGTCTAAGGACTAGGATGTATCTATATTAACTCAGACCTAGACAGCCACTATGCGCGTAGTGGCTGTGACGAGCATTTCTAGCTATATCTAAGGGTGTGGGCTAAGCAGAGTAGTCTGTATCTACGCGTGGCATGGATGGCAGTTGCTAATCTAATTCCCCACAACCATGACGTCTCCGCTTACGCAGCTAGCTAAGCTTGTTCCGCTGGAGATGTGGATGGAGATAGTGTAGATGTAGATAATACCTTGATGTGTGTAGAGAGGCTGTGTCGGGATATGCACGGAGAATAGTATGTATTGTATGTAATAATAGAAAAGTGTCAACTGTGAACTGACACAATCGTTACAGACAGACAGTGGAATATGGTTTATCGTGAAGAATCGAAATGACAGTTGTGGGGTTGATTACGTGGATTCTCCGAGGACGGAGCATAATGTATTGTTAGCTTCGTTAGGAGATTATTCGAGAGATAGCACGATAAGATTATTCTACGAGTCGTTAGAACTGATAGTGTACAATAGTAAGTATGTTAAAAACAAAAGAGTAACTATTGAACACTATATAAGTTTAATCCAGATAATTTATATAATAGGGTACTCTGTAGTTATTGCTGTTGCCAGTCGATCAGATCAGAGACAAATCAGAGACAAATCTAGGGCTGCGCCGAAACTGCCGACCGCTTATGTAAGGCAACCCCGCTTATGTAACGGTCACACCTCCGAGTCATGGATGAACCAAAGTTACTGAAAGTTACAGTCAAACCTTGTTTCAGACCCTGTCGATCTACTGTGTCTGTCATTGATATTCATGATAGACATTGGATATTCTACTATCATTATTCATTTGTATATAATTGCTAATTTTAAAAAGTTAGTATATAATCATTATATTACTGTGTATTCCGTAAATATAATATAATATATCTGTCCCTGAAGATCAAAATTGTACCTTGGTTGAGCATGTCTGGGAATAATACACGGCAAAAAACAGGAAACAAATGCCATCGGATTTCGATTCCCAACCAGGTATTGACAGACAGGGCCTTGTCTGCTTGACTATATCCGAATATAACTTCACTAGACCACTCGACTACCAAAAGCAACCCAGCCTAACCTATCTAATTTGCCGAGCAAAGTTAGATGGACTATGGAGCATAAGCAAATTTGTAAACACTGGCTGTTTTACCAAAAACCAGCTCAACTACCTAGTCAACTGGGCAGGATTTTTTTCTTAGTCTCAGGGTCTCTCGGCCGGTGAAACAACAGTCACCCTGTAGTCTGGCCAAGTTCACGTCTCGCTTGGATCTGGACCGGGCTAAACACGAATGGATTTCAGGTCGAGGAACGGTGGAGTCGGAGAATGGGGTTAGTTGATCTGATTGGTTGTCGTGCTCGGATTGTGGTCCGAGGGCTGTATTTTACCGTACTAGTCATTTCACTGCAGCCGCAGTACCACCTTAAGGGCCTACCTATCTACTTCCATGTACTACCACTGGTAGGTAGGAAGTATCTGGTACCTACTATGTATATGTATAGACATGTACATAGTAGATATAATCCATGGATTGTATATATTCATGATTCATGAATAGATATATGAATAGATAGACAGATGATACACCAGGTCCACTCAAGTCACCGTTGAACTTTGCATACACCAATAAATGATGCAGACGGAAGAATAATTAACACAGACACTACTGCGTACTATCGATCGTATTCGACACGAGCTGCTGCCTATACTTATGCAGGGACCATCCAGAGTCGACAAAATCATTAAGCGCTCCTATCTATCCGGTCTCCATGTCGGAAGTTTATGTCAGTTGTCATTGACCAAAGGAGGCGAAGCATGATTATGCTATTGGTGATTACATCGATTTGATGAGACATATTATCATAATTTATAATTACCACAAAAATAATATACTGATGAACTATGGAGAACATCAATCCCAGCAATATAAAAAGATGTTGATCAAAAATTGGCTATATCTTGGCATCAGCCATCATGTACTTTATTCTCCTCCATCGAGGCTGTACATACCTAGATACTATCTAGGTACAGCCGGTACAGCCTACGCGTATCCTGTTTGCGGCGCAGTCCGTGGCGCCCTCCATGATGTGTGCACGAGGGCGTCCTCGGATTGGATATCCGAATAGTCCACCCAGAGGGGTACCGGTAGATTAAATGTCTTGAAATCCCGGCCTAGTTCGGGTTTTTGGGAAGGATGGGCTATGATCCTAGATGTCTTATATGCAGGGCGTCACGTCCGGCTCGTCTCTCCGAGAGGGCAAGCTGAGTCCCAACTCGTCCATAACAGAAGATTTGGATCCGAGTGGGAACGGTTTTTGGTCTTCCAGAACTGGTGATTAACTTCTAGTACGTTACTAGTTCTTACTGAGTGTAATATACAGTAAGAAATAGCCCCACTGTCTGCTCAAGCCACCAAGTTGCAAAACCCCGAGATGTCCGGAGTAGAGTACCCAAACAGGGAGCGATGAACGGGATGGAAGGGGCAACTATCGCCGTTCGGAGGTGTTGGATGTCAGCATGGCAGTGATTATTTACAATTATAGTAGCAACCATAGTAGGAAGATGCGCCAGGAAAAGGTCCTTGATTGACTAGTTTGAATCGATGTGAATGGGCGTATTCGGAATTACCGAGCTGCCTCCTGATCCGACTTGTAATATCCGTTCTGCATGGCTAAAAGCTTGTCCGTCTGACTTTCTCTGGGGATGGAGCGGGGCAGGCATTAATTTCCTCTATTTGATTTTATTTTATTCTATTGTATTTTATCTGTCTATCTATCTATCTATCCTATTCTATTTATTATATTTAGAATGAAAATAGAATAATAATAAACATATAAAGATAGTATTCGTAGAGAGTACTAGAAGGAGATCCCTGCATGTATTAGATACGGCATGTAAAATACGCTAAGAAAGCGCCGGCGCAGACTAAAATAACAAAAACATTGCTTTTTCTTTCTTCTTTTTTTTTTCTCATATTTTTTCTGTCCGGGAACCCTGGAAACTTTTGATTAAGATAGAGAATACCAGGTATTATTGTTATAGCTGGTAATATATGCTCAACGTTACACCCTTGTTGTACCGAGAATCACCCGTCTCCCTTTTTTTTCTTTCTTTTCTTTTTTTTCTCTCTCTATTTTTCTATCTTCATCTCCATAATGTGCAATCTAAACAACTGTAATCCTATGGCAAAACTGACCCGTCTTAGTCTTCTGCTGACGACGGGGCCACGTACCAGCCAGGAACCCAGGACCCAGGGTCATTGCTAGGGCGGGGAATTGGCATCGATTAGGGATTTAGAGCAGTTGGTTAGATTCTTTAGGGTCAATTAGGGGTCCTCAGGGACTGTGGTTGTGATGGCGATTATGTGGTCGATTATGTATGTCTGGCTGGGGTCTGGCGGAACTTTGCCGGCAGTTCATGAGGGTAAAATAGTCAATATTCAATAGTTGATTCTTTTTAATACCGTCTATCGTCGATGCCTAATCGCCTGTCGAATCTGTGCTGCTCCACTGCGATGGGCCAACTGCCTCTAGTGTGTCGTGGACTCTTACACTGCATCGCATCCCAGATGGCCAGAGCTTCTGAGAGAGACCCTGGAGCAGTTTCATGATACTTTTTATTCTTCCTCTTCTCTCTCTTCTCCTCTTCTTCATCTTTTCCATCTTCTCTTCTTTCAATCCGTCCTTCTCTTTCAACTATCTCTTCTATCCTTATCTTCTCTCCTTGTTCCTTCTTGTCTTCCCTCTTTCTCTTCCTACTGCTGATCCTTTCTACTCTTCATACTACCCCCTCCGGATCGACATCAATCCCACTTCACCTCCATTTCTCCAGTTTAACTACTTTCTCCTCCGTGGCAACTCTTTATTTCACTTCAAGCTTCTCTCTTTCTCTCTCCTTTAACGACCAGCCCGGTTTATAACATTGCAAACTGAACCCCCACTTCATCAACTGGTCAAAAAACACCCCGACCTCAAAGAACAATCTGCTTCATTTCCAATCCATCCATTTCAACTATTTGCTTCTTCCATCTGAGACATTGACGGATTGCTCGGCCGACTATATATACAAGACGAAATCCGCCTCTGATCATTTGCTGTCAGATCTGCACTTCGGGTCTGTCAACAGACCGAAAGCTTGTTACACGACGCAGAGGGCAAACATCCTCGATCAGCTACCTGGTCCGTCTGCCTTTTCTTCTTTCCCTCTGTTTTCTCCTCACTAACCCTTGACAGTTTCACCTCAGAATGGCCTGCAAAGCGAGCTTCGTGTCGATCTTGAACAATGACGATAATCCATCGTTCACCGTTCGATCTGCTCCCCGCCTCTCCAGGCACCACTCCAGTCCTTCATACCCTTATTATCCCGACCAGCAACAATCATTGATGCCCGACTACCGCTCCTCCAACTATCCCGAATCGACCGCCAGTTCACCTCGAATGATGCGGTACCCCTTTGACCCAGTCTCCGAAGCCGCTCAGCCCGTCTCGCCTGGGTCCTCGGATTGCTCCCATGACTACATGACCAGCGGAAGCACTAGCTCCTACTTTCAGTTCAGTCGTCAAGACTCCTATGCCTACTCATCCTCCATCACACCGGCAGAGAAGCGGCTCAGTGGTGCTTCTTCGGCGGAGCCCCCCTCCCCGCAGAACTCGATAGGTGGATCAAAGGACATGGCCGCTTCGAAGAGCATCCGAAAGAACAAATACCCATGCCCGTACGCAGCCAGCCACAACTGCTCAGCGACCTTTACGACATCGGGCCACGCAGCACGACATGGAAAGAAGCACACCGGGGAGAAGAGTGTCCACTGTCCAATCTGCAACAAAGCCTTCACCCGAAAGGACAACATGAAGCAACACATCCGAACCCACCGCACCCACTCCGAGGACATGCCCACAGGGATGCCGGAACGGAACCGAGACGGTGAAGCGAGCAGGTGGAGAACGACTACGACGACAAGAGATGCTTCAGGACACAACCACAGCCGATCGATCAGCAACCAGTCCCAACTAGATGGAAACACTTATCACAATGTGGCTGGGATGCCGACACGGACTCCAAGTGGGAGTCACCGTCGGACGCCTTTTTGAATGATGCCTCACGAATGATTGAGATGCAGTTTCATGAGCGATCATGATAAAAAGATCAGCCTGGATTAACCTGTTTCAGGTAGGGGAACATCGCTTTCCCCTTTTAAAACCCATTTATGGTTTTTATGATTGCAACTTGGCTCTGATTATTAGAGCAACGATTGAAGAACGAAAGCGTCACCAGAACGCAGAGGACCGCAGCGCAGTCCTCACGAAATGATTTTTCATTCCTACCAGCGGCATAGAATAGAAATGCCCACAAGACAGACCAGACAGCCGGATCTCGTCTACCTGTATACAGAAAGAGATCTCCCATCTCTTCTCTCATTTTGTCTCATTGAGTTTATTTATTCCTCTTTTTTGTCAGCTTGTCAGCATTGTCAGCGTTTCTGTTTGTGATTGTGATTGTGAATTTGCCACGGCAATTTTGAGCCACAGGCTCGAGGGCCGGCTTTGTTATGTACATTACTACGATTGGGTCAGAAAAAGCGACCCATCAGCCTGGAGATACCCGGGAATGATGATACCATTGAGTTATATTGTGTCGTGTGTTCTATCCACTTTGAGTGAGATGTAAAAAAAAAATTGATCGAGATGAACCATGGAACGAGAGGCCGGAGATTAACCTACAGTACTGTAATTGCAACGAAATGTGGATCAGGAACCCCGACCCAAAGAAAGACTCGATATGGTAGAGATTGGAGTTACAGTATGTTTGTATATCGATATATTTACTTTGTACTATGAGATGGACTGACTGATTATTCATATTGGAAGATTGATCCAATGCAAAATGATGTCAAATGACCAAGAAAAACCCATTCTTCTCCAAGCCAGATTAATCAGAAATCCCACAATTAGACTGAAATCATATCCTGTACATCACCATATAAAGTGATGTTATTGGAAGGAAGGCGACGTTTGCTGTCCACCATAACATCATAATCGCTGCATCGTGCATTTCCAGTACCTGCAGAGAACATGATTGCCTCCATCAAATCCAGTTATTAGATTTTTCCATTTCAATTGAATTCATTTTGTTTCTACCCTTCTTTACCTACAGGGATACAAAAAAACGAATATAAATACTCCCTACTATCGCGAACTCCAGCTGTCTTAAGGCTGGATGAAACCCCTTGTGTTTCCAATCGACGTCATTTCTAGCTCAACTTCAGCTGCCCCGCTTTGTCCCTTGCCACACTTTATTTCGCTCTCTCTTTCAATCTCATCCATCTCATCTCACCTATTTCATCCCCTTTTTCCCTTCCTTTCTTTTATTTCCATCTTCATCTTCCCCCCATCTAATAAACTCTATTATCCCTATCCCTACAATCATGTCCCACTACGACGATCGCCATTACCATCCCCACCGCGATCGATACTCTCACTCCCACGACCCCTACTACTACCCCGAGTCCGGAAGCCATTACACAGACCTCGCCCGTCCCCGGGAGAGTTCTGACTCTATCGAAGAAGTGCCCCGCGATTATGTTCCCGGCCAGTATGGTTCCGGTGCTGGGTATGAATACGGATACGGGCCTCCCCCGCGGTCGTCGCACGTGCGCAGATCTTACTCGGTGACTGGTGGTGGAAGAAGAGGATATTATGATGATGAGGTGGATGGGGAGTATCGTCGTCCGCGTCATCATCGGAGTTCGAAATATGCGAGGGAGTCGAAGCGTATGTTCAAACTGTTTTTTTTTATTTTATTTTTGGGTTTGATTTGAAGGGTTGAGTGTTGATGTGGGGTATAGGTGATCGTGATTATCGGAGATATCCATCTCGTTCGCCGTCGAGTAGTCGTTCGCCACCGCCGAGAACTAGGAGGCGGAAGTCTTTTGGTGAACAGGCGCTTGGGGCGTTCGGGCTGGGTAGTTCTACGTCTGCTGCTACTTCGTCGAAAAAGCATCACCGTGATAGTCGGGATCCTCGAGGTCGAGGCCGTTCTCATACCCGTCATCGTCGGTCGTACTCGTACTCGCCATCGAGGTCGAGGAGCAGAGGCCGTCATCGTCAAAGCAAGAGCGAGCAGCGTATGGCGCAGGCCGTGCAAGCGGCGTTGGCTGCGGGTGCGGTCGAAGCCTTCCGTCTCCGTAAAGAGCCTGGAGAGTGGTCGGGCGATAAGGGGAAGCGCATTTTGACTGCTGCCGTGACGGCGGGTGGTACTGATGGTCTGGTGGATAAGGACCCGCGCAAGCACCAGAAGCGACATGTGATTGAGTCAGCTCTTGCAGGACTGGCGACTGATCATTTCGTCAACGGGCCGAGGTCGAGGTCTAGATCGAGACATGGGAAGCATAGCTCGAGGCCTAGTTCTGACCCGCAAAAACGGTCTAACAGCCATAGCAAGGCTAAAAAGGCTGCTGCTACGGCGCTCCTGGCTGCTGCGGGTAAGGAGGCCTATAAACGGTACCAGTCCCGGGGTCGGGGTCGGTCCAGTTCGCGGTCCGGTGATGAAGGCTCTTCGGCGCCTCGTCACAGTAAGAAGCGGAGCAAGAGTGTTTCCGAATACCTCAACCAGGGCATGGCGGCCTTGGGTCTCGATGAAAAAGACAAGAAGCGGAGTGAAAGACGGTCAGCCCGCTACGATGATGAGTACTCGGATGAAGACCGTGATAGTGGTTATAAACCCAGGCATCACCGAAGTTCCAGACATGACAGCGATGATGACCAGGATTACGACTATGGAAGACGGCATCGAAGCTCCAGGTACGACGATGATGACCGGGACAGTGACTATGGAAGACGGCACCGAAGTTCCCGACATGGAGGATCTGCCAGAGATGTAGGTCGACCTTTATCTACTCGCGATAGCATACAGTACCCCCCTACCAGGTCTGGAGCCAAAGGCAATGATGGGCATGGCTCCTCTTCCACAACACTTGAATCTTCCACCAGGAACAGCCATTCTGACACCGGAGACAGTACTACCAATGAAGAGTCAACGCGCAAGAAAATGAACCGGGAGTCCCTGATAGCTGCAGGCCTGGCAACCGTGGCTACCGTGCATGCCGCACACAACGTCTACGGGAGTGTAGAAAAGCGCAAGCATCGCAAGGAAATGGTCAAAACAGGCGAGATGACACCGGAAAAGGCACGAAAGCAACGAGTCAAAGCCAATCTGTCGGATGCCGCCAGTATAGGCGTTGCAGCGCTGGGGATCAAGAGTGCAGTTTCTGAATGGAAGGAAGCGGACGAGAAGTATCGGAAGAAGAATACTTTCGAGAAGGAATGCACAGAAAGACGAGCGAGACGGGCGAAGAGTCACGATGTGCCTAGGAGGAAGTATTTTGTGCCGGATGAGATTGAGGAGACGGCGAGTCCTGAACGGCCGATTATTTCGTATTGATGATAATGATTATGATAATGAGTTATGATTTGACATTTCTACAATCAATAGACATCATATCTTGACATGGAAGTTCATCCGAGAACCTCATCTCGTATAATACACGTATATCCCACGAAACAAACCAATCTAATCTGATAAACAAACCGACTTCCTCCCTCCACCCCACCCCACCCCATCACAGCCAATATCACAATCACAACTAGGCAACCCCGTCCGCCTCCGACTGCGCCGCGCCCCAAAGCCAAGTCCGCCATTGAAGCGCGGAAATGGCGTCTCACTAATGTCATTACCTAGTGGTGGGATGTTATGTTAATCTAATCTATTTAATCTCGGGAACCGGTTTTATCAGATCAGGCGGTTCTGATTTTGGGGTGGTGGTGGGGGTTTGTATTATGTGAGAGTAGTCAGCGGTGAGGATGAGGATGAGGATGGGTGTAGTCAGAGTGAGAGTCAGAGTGGGGGTAAGGGTGTAGATGATGGGCTTTTATTGATTTCTTATTACTTGATTCTATGATTATGGTTACATTGTTGATTATGACTATGGGTAACTATGCTGACGGTGGTGATGGCACAGCACAAGGCCGCCAAAAACGATTCCAAGTACCCAGCAGCCAAGGACGATGGGTGAAACAGCTCCAGATGGGCATTTATCCTAGACATCCTATTGAAGATGGGGGTGGGTTGACTATATCTTTTCTTTTCGACTATTTACTATTTATACTTGTGACACGGCTGAGCTAATGGATGCAGGACCCTGGAGATCGTCGATGGGAGGGTTTAGAGTGCGTGGGATATCTGCGTTTATCAGATTGCAATCACTGGGTAGGCAGGTATGCTGCCATGGTGATGGAAATGTCGATAGTTACAGTTACTTAGATAGGAAATATAGGAAGAATACTAGAATCGTCACCAATCATACATTGACAACCTGCCAAGTTGACATCTATATACAAGAGTAGCATACATCCAACACCAAACCAGCAAAAACACCAATGCGAAATGGATAGTAAAATCGCCAAACGCTCGATCTTCCCGAAGAAATAAGATACAACGAAGACCAACACGCAAATAATAAAAGGATATCTGACAAGAACGAAAATCAAATGCTTCAAGCAGATTGCTGTACACCAAAGGGCAGATAAATCAACTTTTCAGGCAAAACGTGAACCAATACATGTGCAGGGAGGCTCGGGATATTTGTACGTAGGGTTATCGCTCGGAATTCAGGTTAAGCCAGCTCATATCCCCGTTGACACTGTGCCGTGGTCGCTCGTCGAGAGTCTCGGGTATCAGGGCGCTGGATCTCCGCGCATTGGCACGTGCGGGATCATTGATTCTGAACTCGTGTCCGAGGGGCAGGTGTGAATCCCTCACGCTGGGGTTGTAAAGGCTTTCACTGTATGTGCTGCTTGTAGGGCGGCCGAGCCAGCTGCTGTGTCCGGGTCCTGTCGTCCACTGAGAGTCGCGGTACTCAGAGTCGCGGGCTTGAGAATATCTTTTATCCGAAGCGACACTGAGCGAGTCGGCGCTAGATATCCGCGCTGACTGGCCTTCGGGAATCACAAGACCTCGGCCGTCCATTGGGTTGGCATGCTCGGTAGTCGGGCTGCCACTGAAGACCTGTCCCAGAGGCTTAGGCTCGTCAAGGAACCCAAAGTTCAAGGGTGTCAGGTTCGTCATCGGCCATGCGCTTTGGCGAGCCTCGGATTTGGAGATTTCACGTGAGTTTGAGGGTTCTGGCTCCATTCCCACCAGGTCGGTGGTGTTGTTATCCTGGAAATATTTGCTCCAACCTTCGTTGGTTCTTCGGTCACCGGGTTGGCCTCCGATTGCATCCTCCGTTTCAAACGACTTGTCCGCCTCATATGGGCTAGCGGCAGTGACCTCTCCACTGGATTGGATAGTTGTCAAAGGACTTGGCTTTGGCTGAGTTGATTTTTGCGCAACGACAGGGTTAGCACCCGACGATTCCTTGCCCGCCTTGCCCGAGAAGATTGCCAAGGAGTCGACTGAGGATGCTGCCATTGGAACAGGACTCTTCGCCATGGGATACGCGGATTGGGTGAGGGGCTCGATGCCTTGATCTTGGAAGCTCAGTCGCCCCCCTTTGTCGTTCGATCCGCCTTGGGCTTGTGCGGCGGCGCGCTTCTTGTTGTCCTTCTTCTTTTTCAAGATGAACAGAAGGATTAACAAAATGGCTGCCGCCCCCACAACACTTCCCAGGGTCGCGCCAATAATGGTACCCACATTACTGCTGTCATTGTCATTGCCAGCAGCAGGTGCGGCAGTGGAGGATCCGGTCGGGGTGGCTGAAGCGGAAGGGGATGCTGATGGAAGAATCTGCTGCTGAGATTTGTCGCCATAGAAAAGTTTGGTAGCATTTACCCAACCGTTGGATGTTTGGTTGAAGATGGACAAGGAGTCGGTACCACTGCCACTGGAGAGGACCACAAGGCCGTCATCTCCTTGAGCCAGTGAGTACTGTGACCTGGTAGTTGTCGATGCGAGGGAGCTGTCATATTTCGGGTAGTCATCCAGGGAGTCTCTCTTGGAAGAGCCGGCGGTTTGCCCTGCGGGCGCCGCCTCACCGTTGGAGTCCAGCAAAACCGAGCTGGTCACTGTGTTGGGCGATACATTCAAGTCGAAAGACTCGAGTACCTTGCTTCCATTGGAGCCCATGAACATTGCGCATTGGATGTTATCAGCAATGGGATGGGCAAGAGTTGCGTTTGATTTCTCCCAGGTACCTGAGGTATCAGCGGCATTGGAATAATCGAAAAGATGGATCGAATTCGGTTCTGTCGCTCCCCTTAGCAGGGCCACTTGATTGTCGCTCCATGGCAACAACACGGGTGATGTCGCCGGTGGAACTCCGTCGGTAGAAGAACTCATAAGGTTGTAGGGTGCGACGGTCTTGAGGATAAAGTTCTCTGAGCTAGCGACTGAACTGTCTTTCTGCGATCCTCCATAGATGAAAATTGACGAGGTTGACTTGAGGTAAGCAACACCATGACCGGTCCGATTCGACAGGTTATCTGTGGGGGGCTCAATGGTTTTCCATTCTTTATCTTGGAAAGAGTATCTTTGCAATCCGGTGTAGTCAGATGAGGACCCTGTACCGCCGATCACATACATGGCCGTTTTGTCAGTATCGTCCACTGCGCCGGTGATACATGCGGCATTGGAGACGGGCTCTCCCATGGTCATGTTGCTCCAGGTAGCATCTTGCTCGAGAGGAATGGAAGCGAATCCATTGGCGGAGTAGGTGTAGAGGGTGTTGTCGTAGATGACTGAGCAGTGGCCCTCTAATTTCACGGGGGGTTTAGGGACGATCATAGCGAATGATAAGCGTGGGGGTCGGAGTTCTTCGAGGAAACCAGCCGAAGAGGAAGTGCGAAAAAAAACCAGCCGTCGACAGGAATGTACCGGGACGGATCGAAGGAATGAGAGGTGACTACCAGAGCACTATATCATGATCGAATGGTCTTAGAGGTCGAAAGCAATTGCTACTTGTGCTGACTGGCTCCGGCACGTGTGCGTAAATCCCTAGGCGTGATAGTGCTGACACTGCTGACAGAGTAACAACGAGCGTGGTGAGAGAGAACGAGTGGAATCCGATCGAAGCGAAAGTCGATAGGAAGAATAGGTAGGAAAGAAAGACTGTCAAGAAGGACTGGCAAAGGGAGACGAAGAGGAAAAAGAGAGTCGAATCTTCAGGGGGTAAAGAGGGAAATGAAAATGCAAACGCACAGTTTCAAACCGACGTTGAAAGAAAGGATGCGACACGGTCAACGAGCGAAGAGAAGGGGAAAGGAAGGTGAGGGAGAGAGAGAGAGCCAGTTGACAGGAAGAGAGACGAGGAAAGGAATAGGATAATAGGATAGGGATGGTGAATTTGGGAAAGGGTCAAGAGGGGAGAAAAGAGGAGAATCGGCGCTGGAATAGTTCGTGGTAGCGTGGCTAGGCAGAGAGAATCGTTGGAGGAAGATGAAACGCCGGGGTGTAGCTTAGACCAGCCCGCGTAGCTCGTATCTGGGATCGCGAAAGTTGGGAATTGAGAGAATTGAGAAGGAGAGATGAAGATCAGAGGATGAAGATGAAGAAAAGAAAAGAGAGAAGGAGAGAGGCGAGTGCACAGCACGAAGAGGTGAGATTTGGGGGTTGGAAGAAGAAGAAGAGGAAAGGAGGAAAAAAAGAGGGGGAAAAAGGATTCGGGAAGGGCAGATTTAGTGGAGGAGCTTAGTGCATCCCTTGATATTATTTACTAGAGTAGAAGAGAAGAAAAGAAAAGAATAAGAAGAAAAGAAGAGAAAAAGAGTTGTTTACTTTATGATGTTATTTTGATTCATCGTGATTGTTGTGTGGTTGAGTTTGTTTTGTCTTGAAGCTGCAGAAGCCTTGCATGCTGTTTATTTACTGTTTATTATTCTATTTTATATGAAAAGTGTTCTCTCGTATTATTCTATTCTCTATTTTATTCTTATTCTACTATATTAATCTGTATTATTTCATTCCAGGTATGATGCTATTATGCTATTATCTAGGTATCTGCTTATACTAGTAAAGGTACAGCCACTCTGACTGGCCCCTATATCGAACGATCTGAATATGCAAAAAGTATTAATAGATATTTTAGAAACATCAACATTCTTATAACCATCATCTTTCATCATAATCATTCTTAAATCATACCATCAAACAATACATCGTGACAGAAGATAGAGCCTCATTCAGGGGTAACGCAATGGTGTCATACCCCTCCCACTTACCGTGGTTCAAAGTTGATCCTGGAAAACTGGGATTTGGGCCGAGGATCAGCAGTGCTACTTTCTTTCATTTCTTCCACCTTCATTAATCCAGTTAGTATATAATAAACAGGGATAGTATTATATACTACTATATACCCTACTGTGTCTATATACCTGTTTCTATCTGACAGATTGCGATATTAATATACAGCATGGCTGGGCAGTGGAGAGTCAGGAACAGGCTGGGTGGAGCCGGTCATTATTCAGTTTCTTACTGCAGGTACCGTCGCGTTCTGATACTACTATTTATATTCACTCATATACACCTAAACAGTCTGTTAGATAGAATCAGAATATTTAATAACAATAAGAAAATAAATAATAATATATAAACAGTAACGTATATAATAATAATAATAATAATAAACCTGAATATGAACAATATCGGCAATCCCACATTCAAATGATCAGTGGAGAGCCGTTGCCGAGCTCGTCTTCTGATTGGCCAGGATTCATCACCTTCGAGAACATCTCCACCTCCCACACTAGCCACTTTCGGCCTAGCGCATGGCATGATCTCGTGCGGATGCCTGACTCAATCTGGTTGATGCCTCAGGCTGTCTCCGCGCCAATCTACTTCTTACAGTCTGTCTTACGACATCCTCTTATCACCTCAGTTTGTCCACATAATTTGCATTTTGCACTTCTCCCATTCGATCAACACATAATACACAATAAAACTCTGCATCCACCAATCGACTCCTACTGGCCCGCCGATTGCTGCTTCCATTGGTGCGCCTTTTGGAGCAACTTGGATAGATTCGCGGCCGATCGGTCGTCCGCCGGGAACACATAGTCCATGTACTCTTCGTAGCGGTCGTCGTCCAGCTTGCGTCGCTTCTTGACCCGCCGAGGCATCTGTTTCTCGATCTTGTCGATGTCCTCCGGCGTCCCGTGCGTGTGTTCGAACGATCGCCAAGCGTTGAGCAGTTCCACCCGCTGGCATTGGTCAGTCTCGTTTCTCAATCTGATACATTCGGAGCGGCTGGGGCTTACCTCTTCCTTGAGTTCCTTGTCCTTGAATACGTTGTGGGCCTGATTGAACACTGCCCGGGCGCGTACTTTCGCTTCCTCGCTGACCGGCCGTTCTTCTTCCTCTTCTTCCTCCTCCTCCTCGTCCGGAATGTTGATTTCGAATCGTGCGTAGTTGATCCACACCTTGACGTGGTCGGTCTTCTGCAAAAGACGTTCGTACAGTGCGCGCACGCGTTCATACTCGCCTTCGTATTCTTCAAAGTCAATATAAGACTTCCACACCAGCTCGGGCATGTCCAGGCTCGGCTGGTCAATTCCCAGCTCATAGATGGCCCTTGCACGTTCCGTGTCATCCAGCCCCCGTTCCAGCTCGGCATACTGAATCCATGACTGGCTGTTGGACGGGTTCCATTCGATCTGCTTCTCATACAGTGTCCTGCACCGCAAGAATTCAAACAGCTGCCGCTCCAGATCAATGTAGCCCCGGAAGAGCTTGTCCTTGGGACACATGCCAATCGCCTGGCCCAGTGTCTTCCGCGCCGTCGGCAGGTCCATCTGTCGAATGTCAAACTGTGCTTTCATGAGCCAGATCTTGGCAAATGTAAACTTCTTGTGCGGAATCAGTTTCAAGCATTCTTGGTAGATCTGTCGTGCACGCGCCGCATCCTTGCTCTCCATCTCTTCCCACAGAGCGTAGAAGATCCAGAGATAGATGTATCGTCGCCAGTGTCGCTTCTCTTGTGATGGCGGGATCTGTGCAATCGCCCGTTCGTATATGTCCCGGACCCGTTCCGGATCGCCCGAGGTTTCCTCCAACCGTGCAAAGTCGAACCAGACATCGTAGTTCTTGGGGTTCTCTTTGAGTTGCTCTTCGTATTGAACTCTGCGCTTGGAGAGAATCACATCCTCGACGCCTTCCCGATCGCCAAACTGCTTTTCAAACGTCGTATATGCCTTGTGTAGGGTCATAGACTTGGACCGAGGAAGTCGATCAAGAGCATACTTGTAAATGGCTCTGGAACGTTCATACTCCCTGAGCTTGGCTTCGAACTTGGCGTACGCGATAAAGAGTTTCTCGTCCATGAAATCTTCGCCCAGCATTTCAATCGCAGCTCCATAAACCTCTCTCACCAAGTCACTTGTTCCATACTCCTCCTCAAATCGAGCCCATTTGATCCAGTTCTTCGGCTCAGGATGAACAATTGTGAACCGTTGGTAGATTGCCCGCGCCCTGTCAAACTCGCTGTATCTCTTCTCAAGCTTGATATACGCACTCCAGGCACCTTCCTCTGGCTCCCACGACATCCAGCGCTCAAAAACCTGGCGGGTACCCGGAATGTTGCCCAAAGTCTCCTCCATATAGACATACTTGTACCAGAGCTTATCCACACGCGGCAGAATCGTCACAGCCCGATCGAACAAATTCCGAGCATGGTTGATGTTTCGGTTTCGCATCTCAGCCTCGACATATCGAATCCACAATATCACCGAGGTCGGGTCGACATCCAGTGCTCGCTCAAAAATCGATCGCGCTCGTCGGAATTCCTTCTGCTCGAGTTCCCATGCGGCATAGCGCATCCAATTGTTCATATTAATCCGGTTTCGTCGTACATAGTCTTCGAAATCCTTGCGCTTGCGACCCTGGTATTCGTGCAGTTCTTCCAAATCCGCAAAGCGCTGCGTGGGCGCCTGCAACGCGGGCTCTTGTCGGTCGACTGCCTCACGGAGCAGCTGCTCCGCTGAGATCTGGACCGGCGCGGCGGCCTTGTTTTTGACCCTGGGAGGGCCGCGAGAGGACTCCATGATGATAGGTGAGTCGTGGATCGAACGACGGTGATGGAGGTGGTATCAGGGAAAAAGGTAAAGGGATCGACGGGGCGCCGAAGAAAAGATGCTTAGCACCGCAGCGTAGCGCAATGCAGAGAATGAAGCAACACTGCCCCTTCTGAAGGAATCAGGATTCAATTAAAGCCTCCAGCGAGTCGTATCGATTCACCACCGACTCGACCGATGTGGTTGCTTGATCGACGTCGCTCGTCAACAGCAAAAGGTCGGAATAGATGCGTTGGAGGTACATGTCGCCACCCGTAGCATAAACGTTGATGACTAACCCGAGCTGCGGCAAAAGCTTCAACTCCTCTTTCCTCTTGATCGATATCGACCTTCGGTTTGTCTCACACACATCGCCCATCATGTCGACAGCTGAGGAGCTTTTGAGAGATTTTGAGTCGGAGGATGAGGACTTACAGGGTGGCGAGGAGATCGAAGATGGCGATGCCAACGAAGAAATGCAAGAGGCCGGCCCTGAGACCACGAACGAATTCGAAGTCGCCATGTCGACTGCCGACGAACTCACACGTCTACACAAAGTCCTACGCGATCACTACTCTATCCGATTCCCCGAGTTGGAAACCCTCGTTACGAGTCCTATCGATTACGCGAAGACTGTGGCTATCCTGAAAAATGGCCCGCTGGACGAAATCAAAGCTTTGTCATCTTCGGCCGACAACATGGTTGGCGTGCCCCTCAAGTCTATCCTGGATGGTCCATCCCTGATGGTTGTTGCGGTAGAAGGAACGACCACTAGAGGACGGGAGATGACCGAGTCGGAGCTGAAAACGGTGCTCGATACCTGCGAGAGAATCTTGAAGCTGGACCGGGAGCGAAACCAGCTCACCGAGAGCATCCAGTCGCGCATGAACCAGATTGCGCCCAATTTGGCTGCTTTGATTGGACCTGAAACGGCTGCTCAGTTCCTCAATCAGAGCGGTGGATTACGCGAACTGGCTAAGATCCCGGCTTGCAACTTGGCCGCTCAAGGCTCAAAGAGAACGGAGGGCTTGGGATTTGCTACCAACATCGGGATCAGATCGCAGGGCTTCCTTTACAACTCCCCCATCATACAGGATATTCCGAATGACTTGAAGCGGCAAGCGATCCGTATTGTCTCCGCAAAAATGGTTCTAGCTACTCGGGCGGATGTATCAAGCTTCAGCCCGGATGGTTCTTTGGGCGAAGATCTTAAGTCGCAATGCTTCCAGCGTTTGGAGAAGCTCACAGAACCGCCTCCAAACTCCGGAACGCGCGCTCTCCCAGCGCCAGATGATAAGCCCTCTAGAAAGAGAGGTGGTAGAAGAGCGCGAAAGGCCAAGGAAGCGGTTGCCATGACGGAGCTTCGCAAGGCTCAGAACCGAGTTGCGTTTGGCAAGGAGGAGGCTGAAGTTGGATTTGGTACTGGAGAAGGAACTGTCGGACTGGGAATGCTCGGTCAACAAAACGATGGACGAATCCGAGCTACGCAGATCGACCAAAGGACCCGTGCCAAACTCAGCAAGTCCAACAAGGGCTGGGGAACAGCAACTCCTGCCAGCGGTACTGCTTCTTCACTCCGTGCTTTTGGTCAGGGAGGCAGTGGAACTGCAAGTGTTCTACAGGCAAAGGGTCTCCGAACCTCGGGCGTTGGTACTTCTTTGGGCGGTTCCGCAGGCACAGCCAGTACAATCGCCTTTACCCCAGTTCAGGGTCTCGAGCTTGTTGATCCCAAGGTGCAGGCTGAATTAAGTCGCAAACGCAAGGCCGAGGAAGACAGATGGTTCAAGTCAGGAACGTTCACACAAGTCGGGAGTCAAAACAATGCCTCCCAGGGCGAAAACGGTGGCTTCAAGGTACCACCACTGCCATCAAGGAAAAAGGTTGATACCGGCGAAGGCAAGATGGCACCGCCTCCCCCACCGGCGAAGCAGTAATCTTGATTCTTCTGTTTAGCGTTTGTCAAGCATTTGAAGATATAGGCGTTTATGAGTGGCTTTTTCGGGACTTGCTTTGGGGACTTGCATGATACCATGTTGTAACTGTATGATAGAATGACTGGTTGATTCGAGAGATTATCAGTAGAATTCAATCGATTCTATATAGCCATGGCTTTTAAAGATACACATATCTGCACAATGCTCAAACTCATCCGATGCTCTTTGTATTTTGGGATTGAGCCCTAATCGGTATAGAATCAATTCGCCGCACCCGAAACTACTAAGTACGGTGCAGCTCAGTCATCAAGGGTCAAAGAACTTTCCTGCGTAGAACGAGAATTGCAAGAAATTTTTCTCTGAAGATCCATGGTCAACCAGCATAGGGCCGCGTGCTTCCATCCGATCGGTACAATGGGGAGGCAAAACTTTGAGAATGTCGGTGGCGAGATATGTATCTCGATGCTGGTGGTAATGATTCCGATCAGAACACAACCACAATCTTCCTTCCACTTGGCCAACTGGCTTTAAGATAATAGCGATGGCCATCTAACCCTGCATCTGTACTACATAAAGTGCAGAGTACAGACTTAGCTGGTTGTCAATCACTCACTACGGAAAGTTGGTGATGCGCTGTCCATGTCAACTTACATAGCAACTGCTCAATCTAACCTCCGCGACCAACCGAGCTGTCAACTGCATCAGAAAACTTGCTGAGAGATCCATCAAGTTATTATATTCGCTGACTATCCGCGGAAATGATGGAATCCGACTGCTACCTGGTGTCCCATGGGTGCCCCTTGTTTCGTGATTTCTTGGGTCACTTCCGGCGGTCGTGCCGGCGGCGTAAGGACATGAGAGAATATTATTGCGTGCTTTTGCGATGGACATTGCTCACAATTTGTTGCTGGGAATGAGGCAAGAGAGGATCTGTGTGTCGTCTTGGAAATTGCTTTATAGTGGTTGGTTTGGCTAAATTGATTCTTTTCTTTCTTTCTTTCTCCCTTTTCTTCTTTAATCTTTTTCCTCCTGGTTTCTTGTCAGCTATTCATGTACTCGTAAACCTTGAATTTCGAGTAAAGTATTTATCTTCTTCCTCTTCTCTCATTGCCTGATTTATTTCAATTGTTGGAAATGGCTCCAGGGATCGCATCGCCTTTGGCTTCAACGGCAATCCCAAAGCCATCCACGGAGAAACAAATATCGGCTCGACCAAGATTATTTCACCATAGCCTGGTGACCAAGGACTTTGACGCCCTCAGATTTCACGCTGCGGCATCGTTACAGCTGCAATTCGGCCAAAAGTACACCGCTGCCGCCGCCAAATCTGACGATCTTCTCATTGCATCTCCGTACAATGAACCAGGCCATCTGCTAGATCTGAAGACACTCGATACACCAGAGCAATTATTGTCCAAGGCTCTCACGATTTTAAAACCGGTTCGGGAAGATTATGCAACTGCGCCTTATACGGAGGCGCTCAACTGGCAAGATGTTTTTGACTTTCTGCGAGAGTTATCCCAGGCGGAGGGGTATCAATGGACGAGACAGCGGTTTTATGTGGTCGCCTTTCGATCTAAACTTCTTCCCGATATAGACTCGGATCGTTTGTATGAGTTGGATGCTCGCTCGCATCAAGAGGCTACTGCGTCAGGAGGGTTATTGCGTTATTGGTTTGGAGCTAGCGATGAGAACAGACAGAACCTGGCAACTTGTGAGTTTCCGTACCAGCTGTTTCTGGAGAGACCGTAACTAACCTTGACATGCAGGCCTCTGGCGTAATCGAACCGATGCGCGACTGGGAGGCACCGGACCGTGGCACCAACAAGCCCGTGCTGCAGCACGAGAGATGTACGAGAAGATTGAATTCACGACTTTGAGCTTGGTTATTGGCGAGGATGGAAACTGGGAGTTTGGAGAATGGACCGATGAAGAGTAAAATCTTCCTGAACTGGCGTCTTGCATTATTTAGAGATCGGGGAATATGGCGCATGATGGAGTGATGCCCGGCTTGTTTTCATTTCCTCTTTTGAGCCCTGATGAGTTTTCGGCATTTGAGCAGTTTTATTCGTTATACCCTCGAGCATGATTAGCCGTCACCTGATATTTAATCTGCCTCCGTTTCTTCTCTTCTTCTCTTCTTCTCTTCTTCTCTTCTTTTTCTTTTCTCTCAATCCTTCGATCTTCCATCAATCCATCAATTGATAGACACTATATATTCTTAGACAGTGGCAATGTGAGCTGAATTTCTTTCCTGCATCTTTCTCGACCATTGACGTCAGATATTATCACTGTCTTATCGTCCTTTTCTTCCTACTTCCTTCATCATGTATATCAGGAAATTCGATGATATTCAAAAGATGACCTTCAAACCCACTTACCAGTTGAGACCAAAATAGAAGCTTTCCCCGCCAATGGATTATCGTCCCAGATTTGCACCGTCAATCCCACATCGAATCGAGTTCCATTCCACGCCTCCCGAGCAGAATTTCTCCACAGTTTGCCAACTATCGAGCGGGAAATATTACTCTTCTCAACCGATCCTTCCGAAGCGACATCCATACCTAATCGAAGCGATTCAACTGGCAGGTTGTCAGCTCTAGAACCACGATTGCAGACTTCCATCTCCATCGAATGCGGGGCAAACAGCAAATCAACATTGATCAATAATGATATATAATCATCATCATAGATCGTGGTTGTCATCCCCCTCATTACCCCACCATCCGAACATGTGAGAAAGGGGGTATTTATTTGAGGCCAACTCCGGGGTGGTTCTTCATTCAGTCAACATTCTCAAGATACAACAAATCTAGCAATATGGTTGGAATCCTTTCAGAGACATTGGCCGTCACTGATGGCCCTCTTACATCAGAGAACGCTACCCTCCTGAGACCGTCTGACCCTAACCTCCCTGTCGATGAATTGCGAAAGCGATATGAAGAAGATGGATACCTGTTTCTCAAGCAGGTGTTGCCCCGCGCCGACGTCCTAGAAACCCGAAGAAAGTACTTTGAACATGTCGGAAATAACACGAACGTCCTGAAAGAAGGGTCGGATCCCGTTGAAGGGATCTTCAACCCTACAAAGACTCCCGAAGAGTTTCCTGGAATAGGTGCTGGCCACGCTCCAGGGAATGGCCGTCCTGGAGGCGACAAGGCAGCCAAGTTTGTTGATTTGGCAATCGATGCGCACTACCGAGACTGGTATACGCAGGATCTGTGCGGCCACCCAGATTTGTACAGTTTCATTGCCAAGTTCACGGGATGGGGAGAAGATACCTTGGGATTCCGCCGGACTCTTCTGAGAAACAACATCCCTCACAGCCAGCCTATTGGTGTTCACTACGATCAAATCTTTCTCCGCTACGGGGAGCCCACGGCTGTAACCGCATGGGTTCCAATTGGCGATATCAAGCTGAATGGCGGAGGATTGATCTACTTGGAAGATGGTACGACCTCCTGCATCGGATGGAAAAACAAGACAAAGACTGACCTGACACGCGTATAGGAGACGCCGTTGGATTGAAGCTCGAGCAAGAGTTCACAACCAAGGCAAAGCAGGCAGGGTTGACGGATGAAGAAGCCAAGTCGGCTTTCAACTCGAACATGATGGCAACCGGTTTACTCTCTGAAACTCCGGCAGAGTTTGCAAAGGAGCACAACCGACGCTGGCTCGTTTCGGCCTACGAAGCTGGAGATGTCGTCCTGCACAAGCCTCATGCAGTATGTAGCTGCTCTTTGATGATTTATTTCAAATCGCTAATATCCTCAGATCCATGCATCTACTATCAACCAAGACCCGGACAATATAATCCGCCTTGCAACTGACCTGCGGTTCTGCGACTCTTCCAAGCCCTATGATAAGGTAAGTTGCGTGTGTCACGGTCATGATAGTGTATACTAATTAGCCCACAGAGATGGATGAACTTTTACCGATTCGGAGATGGTGTTTAATGGCATGTTCTATCAATTACGATCATGACTACATATATCATTACAGGATAAAATAGTATTTCCAAATAACTTTGAATTGACGAAACTTCTATTTAGGTTATCTATATTGTAGGATATAGATAAAACAAGCATATTCGTGTGGAAAGCCCTAGAAACCAAAGTATTGTCTAAACTCGTATAGAATGAAAACCTCCACCAAAATCATCTCTTCTGGTCCATTGTCTTCGGCCTCGCTGTCATCAGTGGCTTCTCATTCGAACTTCGGTGCAGCCGTGAGTGTATGATATGGTGTTTCGCTCCGCTCTCTCGGTTGGTCAGCGCTTGTGTCTTGCCGCTGGATGGCGATACCATCCGTTGGGGAGTTATGCTCAGAAACGTCGTCTGCAGTATTCACCGGGGGAATGATGGGAGCAACCCTATCCTCTTTTTCACTTTTAACAATCACTCCATTATCATATTCCTCGATCTTATGAGCGACAGCCGGTGGATTTGGGATCAGAGGCTCAGTTCTTTCAAATTGCAGTAATTCCAGTGTCCCCCCAAAAGGAACATTGGGATTTCTCGTAAGCCCATGTCCGACTAGGGCTGGACATCCTGTGCATTGCACAATGGATTCCATGGCAGATCCCTGCCAATGGGAAATCTTTCGTCGTGCATATAGCCAGAGTCATAAAATGGCAAAATTGCCTCGGCAAAGCTGAGGCCCTCAACATCCTGTTCTGTGGTGTCCTTGTGCCAGCGAAGAGAGTGTCCTTTTTTCCTGGCCTCGCACACGACGAGGTGCGATAGTATCGATTGGCCCTTCCGTATTATACCACAGAGAATAATCTGAAAGCCCGTTGAGAGTCCTTGACTCCCCCTTATAGATCACCTCATATTGATGAGTGCTCTCTTGCTGGAGTATTAAAGGAGCTATCGGTCTCTCTAGAGACCCCATAGAGGATTGGTTATAATCCTCCATCTCGTCTGTCTCGGATGTAGTATCGTCATTTGCTAAAAGCCACATGTTGCCTTGTTGGCGCACAATCGCTTGCGTGAGCATTGGGTTTATTCGCCCGCGTGTAAACGCCTCGTTTGGGTTTGAATTAAGAATGATACGATCATAATCGCGCAGGGTTCATCCTATTTACTATTAATATTTAGTTCATTCCATATGTTTAGCGAGTCTCACATAAGTATCTAGGAATTGGAACCACACAATGCCATCCAGAGTCCATCTGTCCTGGTCGGGGATCGGGTCGCGAGACAACTTCAGCACGTCCATGATTTCGTCGATACTTAACTCTGATACAGGCAGGCTTCTCGGCTCTTGCGTGACATCAGTTTGAAACCCCGAGAGCATCTTCGCGATTCTCTGTTTGTCATCGAGGCTTCCAGAGCCTGTCAACAGTTCTTCAATCTTCTTCGTTAAACTCTTCAGCTTCGCCTTGAACCTGGCTATTCTGAACGCCATATCTGATGTCGATAAAGACTTTTCGTATATGGCGAATCCTTAACACGCCTTGATATCTTGCGGACGGTGTTGGCTTGACGACACCTAACACCGCGAATGGTTGGGGAAGGTGGTTCGCTGCCCTATGTCCCTGCCTTTGCCAGACCTACCTTGTGAATTCATTAGTGTCTAGACTGCTTCAGAAATATCAATCCAGCAGCTAGAACAATGATGAAGGCAAATTTTGCTAGCCAACAAGGCCGGGTGAGGTAGATGTTGAAGAGTAAGCCAACTGGATCTTCTGGAGATATAAATCTACCCTTCTATTCATTTATCAGTGCCTTGAAAGAATATATTCACACAGACATTCAATATAGACCAGACACCACGCCTTCTCTTGATTGATTCACCCAGCGCCTCATTCATTGCTCTGAAATCCTCTTCACTATGCCTTCTCTTGGATAATTTCTCTACCATCTGTCTCAATACCACCCAGTGCGAAGGATCTTTCTTGATGGACGGTTGTTGACGTGTGGACAGAGGAACAAAGCTGTAACTCATCGCAAACACCTTGGAGGATGACTGCCCAGTCGAAACCCTGACATATTCTATGGCCAGCGAATTCAAAACCAATGACTACGATGCATTGCAGATGGAAGAGCTATACTCTGGAACCGATTCTCCTGGAATTTCGACAGCAAAATGACCCCGTGTACTTGAAAGGGGTCGGGAAGTCCATCTCTACCGTTGATATGGACAAATTAAATGTGATATCTACGGATAGTAAGGCCATGAAAGTCATCGTCCCTCTTCACAAAACAAACATCAACTATTTTAAGTCAGGTAGCCAAGTCTGATCCTAGGGATCACGAAAGTATTTGTTTATGCTTCTAGGATTTAATCTATATATGGCTTGGATGAAATTTCTACTACTTGCTTCTACTGCCGATTCTTGGATGCAAAGCAATTTCATGTCAGTTAGCTCGAATGATAAAAACGATTTCCAGATGAGCCTTTGGGGTTGTATATAAGCGCTGCTCCTAGAATGAGTAGCAATTAGAAATCACTAAATCAACAGCCTTGATGGACTAATGGAAGTCTGCAGGATGATTCCAATAGGTAGTACCTTAGGATATCAGGTACTTGGTACCCGGGTGTGACAGAAGATGTGAGACGTCATAATGGCTCATAACCCTTGCATTGTACCACGTCAATGTAGGACTGCATTCCTGTATCTCGACGGTCGAGGTGTTGACGGTGATGTTGATACTCGGTATCTAGAGAAGCTGTTGATCCCGAGATTTTCACTGCCCCACCAACACAGCAATCATCCATAATCCCAACAGTAACCACCACGAAAGAATAATCGTAGATCAATAAAAACGACACTCACGGTCCTCAGACCAAAAGCAATTATCCCACGATGACCGAAGCAGCAGCATGGCGCTTCGAGGACGGCCCCTTTTGGGCGTGTCGGCCCGGAAGGAGGAAAAGTCCGCGCTGATCTCTGCAAGCCCCGCCATGTTTAGTCGCCCTCTGCTTCCCCTCTTCTGCTCTTTTCTTCTCGCCTTTCGCCTCTCTTCTTTTCTTCTTCTTCTCTTCTTCTCCATCCACCCTCTCCAGTAAGTCCATCTCCCCTACTCTTCCATCCAACAATACTAATTTCATCCCCTCAGTCTATCTATCTTAATTCTTTCTCTTCTTCACATCATCAACCATGGCTGCCCCCGCCCAGAAGTTCAAGGTCGCCGACCTCGTACGTGGCATTCTTTCCATACAATCTCAATCGATCCATTTATTGACATCTTCATCTTTTAGTCGCTGGCCGCCTTCGGTCGCCGTGAGATCGAGCTCTCCGAGATTGAGATGCCTGGTCTCATGTCCATCCGCAAGAAGTACGCCGCTGACCAGCCCCTTAAGGGTGCCCGCATTGCCGGTTGTTTGCACATGAGTACGTAACGATACTTGGGATAAAGTTTAAAAAAGAGCAACGTGTCTGACCCCCACTCAGCCATCCAGACCGCCGTCCTCATCGAGACCCTCACTGCTCTCGGTGCTGAGGTTACCTGGACTAGCTGCAACATCTTCTCCACCCAGGACCACGCTGCCGCCGCCATTGCCGCCGCTGGTGTCCCTGTGTAAGCCGCCTTTTCCTGAATCGTACCCCCTGACAGAATCTGATATTTGTTTAGCTTCGCCTGGAAGGGTGAGACCGAGGAGGAGTACGAATGGTGCTTGGAGCAGCAGCTCAACGCCTTCGCTGATGGCAAGAAGCTCAACCTCATCCTCGACGACGGTGGTGACTTGACCTCGCTCGTCCACCGCAAGTACCCCGAGCAGCTCAACGACTGCTTCGGTGTCTCCGAGGAGACCACCACTGGTGTCCACCACCTCTACAAGATGCACAAGGATGGCCAGCTCAAGGTCCCCGCCATCAACGTCAACGACTCCGTCACCAAGTCCAAGTTCGACAACCTGTACGGTTGCCGTGAGTCCCTCATCGACGGTATCAAGCGTGCCACCGATGTCATGATTGCCGGAAAGGTCGCCGTTGTTGCCGGTTACGGTGATGTCGGTAAGGGTTGCGCCTCTGCCCTGAGCAGCATGGGTGCCCGCGTCCTCGTTACCGAGATTGACCCCATCAACGCCCTCCAGGCCGCCGTCCAGGGCTACCAGGTCACCACCATGGATGAGGCTGCTTCCCAGGGTCAGATCTTCGTCACCACCACCGGTTGCCGTGACATCCTGGTCGGCAGACACTTCGAGGCCATGCGCAACGACGCCATCGTTTGCAGTAAGTTTTCTGTTGAATAATCTCAAGACAGACGGCTAATCAGATTAGACATTGGTCACTTCGACATCGAGATCGACGTTGCCTGGCTCAAGGCCAACGCCAAGTCGGTCCAGAACATCAAGCCCCAGGTTGACCGTTACACCATGGCCAGCGGCCGCAACATCATCCTCCTCGCTGAGGGTCGTCTCGTCAACCTCGGATGTGCCACTGGCCACTCTTCCTTCGTCATGTCCTGCTCGTTCTCCAACCAGGTCCTTGCTCAGATTGCTCTGTTCAAGGCTGAGGACGCTGCTTTCGGCCAGAAGTACATTGAGTTCGGCACCACTGGCCGCAAGCCCATTGGTGTCTACGTCCTGCCCAAGGTCCTTGACGAGCAGGTCGCCGAGTTCCACCTGTCCCACGTCAACGCCAAGCTCACCCAGCTTACCGACGTCCAGGCTGACTACCTCGGTCTGCCCGTCAGCGGTCCCTTCAAGGCCGACCACTACCGCTACTAAGCGTGTTATAGTGAATGTTTAATACACCTTGACACATAGACTTCTGTTTCTTTTTCAACATGATCACGATGTTACGAATTAAGGGTTCTATCAACTCAGAGCTCAAAAGTATTTGTCTTCAACGGCAATAAAAGTGGCATATATGGGGGTTTGTTTTTACTGGATAGTATTCTGTTTGGTTGTATGGGCGGGTCCATCTGGAGTATGTTTGCATTCAACAGTGCGTACTGATGGGTTGGTTTTCTATTAATGATATCATCACCTGGAAGACAGGTGTCGCTGGGGTGGAAGTGGTTCCACCGAGGCAGATGCTATTCAGCACTAAATCAGAAATATAAATAATTCAATTTCTCCACCATCTTTTTGTCCGTATCCAATTCTAGACCCTTTCCGGTTCATCTTTTCATCGTCTGTATCCTTTCTGTTTCACTTGCTTTTATACTCATCTATCGGTATTTGTTCTATCTTGGTTTAGGCGTTCAAAGTATACATGTGGATAGTCCTTTCCCATAAAGGCCAAGTCAAAGGGACATCGAGTCCAGTATGGCTATTAACTTATGGAGTAAACTACCTATTGAATTCGAATTCGGCTAATGCCTAGACCTGTCTGTCCCAGCTTGATCTGCATTTTCATGTTGTGTCAAATTATAACAGTGAATATCGATGAGACTATGTTACCTTAAATTAGGCCTGGTGCCTAGGTTTTCACCCTTCTCCCTTCCCCCATGTTCGACTTGCAGAAGAAATTATTCTGGATTTCTTTACCCCTGATTCGACCTCCTCTCATCACTAGGCCTTTCAGGCCACACAATAAAGCACGATGGCTTCTCCAGCGCTGAATTCGAGTGATGAAGAGGGCTGGAAAATTGCAGCCAGACGAGGCTTCCGGGATGAGAAAGATCTCGAAAAGCACGGTTTAGAGCCGGTTTGGACTTCCTGGGGAGGGTACCCCGGCAGATACCAGAGGAGATCCAGGAATATCTTGACGAAAACGGGGAAAGAGGTGACGATCATCTTTTCTAACAAATAAAGAAGAACCAAAAGCTGATAGATATTATCAAAATAGGATTTGCGCAATATATAGGCCCTATAAAGAGTCTCTTCTGGATCGGAGGCTTTGATGATGTTAACGCGATTGACGATCCAGCGTATACGATCGATGATGAGATTAGGGCTCTTCTTGATGGAGCAGGAATTGGTTTTCTTATTGATTCATATTATAAGCAAGATAAGATGCCTGGGCATATCTACCTCCGTTCTATGGGGTACAGTAGCTACCCAAGATCTCGCCTTTCGGTCTTACAATCGCTCGAGTATGCCCTGATACTAAGGGCCATCAGGTGCACTGATGATTTCCCGGGACCCTGATCGCCACGAATTAAGCGTCTGGGAGCCAAAGGAAGGTGAATTGAGCGGGCTTATCGGACACTGGACAAAAAGGCTCAGCGACGACAAGCGGCCGCCCATCAAGTATAAAGAGGCAGACTTTATACTGGGCCAATTTCTCGCAAGAAAGTCAAGGAAGAAGAGGAGATCCAGCAACTAGTAGCTGTGAGCTACGAAGGTTTGAAGGTCCTGTCGCAGTCTCTGGCAATAATTGTCTATATAAAATGATCAAGTCGTAGCCAAGTCTGATCCTATTAAGTCTGGCTGGAATGAAATCTCTACTATTTGCTTCTTTTTGTACTTGTATTGTAGGCCGCATTCTTCTGCACATGCGGAGCTACACTGTAGACAACGCTGTAAAACATAACATTACATAAAACAACAGAAATCTACTTCTGCTTCATCAACTCGGCCAACGCATCGGCAGCAGCAACAGCAAAGCCTGGATCGTTGATCTCCCGTTCGTCTCGCAGGACTGGAATCCCGCTGTCTTTCAGCTCTTCCTCCAATGTCGAGAATAACACTTCATCCACCTCAGGGTCATAATATGCACGACCCGGCGTGTCGAGCAGACTGATACCCTGGGTGGGCAGTATGACACGAATCAGATCCCGACGAGTAGCATGAACAAGAAGCTTCTGAGCAATGAAGCGGGCGATTTGACGACACTCATCAGCAGTCGTCCGTATTATAGTGACAGTAGGATTGTGTTCGTATATCAATCGGTTCTGAAACTGGACAGGGACCGTATCTTTCGGTCCGAAATTGACCATGTCGCAGGCTCCAACGCTGATGATCTGAGGAATCCCAGCCTTTGCCCCGGCCATCAGTCGATCTGGTCCAGCGGTCAACACGCCTCCGACTAGTTCATCTGCGATTTCGGATGTGGTGATGTCGAGGATAGCGTCGAGTTGTTTCTCCTTCACCAGTCTCTCCATGGCTTTGCCTCCAGCACCCGTAGCGTGAAAAACGTAGACTTCGTACCCGTAGACATGTTCGAGATGATGCCGAACCCGATCGACACACGGCGTCGTAACACCAAACATGGTCACCCCAACACGCTTTTTCTGCGTCTGAGCATGTTCATGACTCGATGCCTCAGCCTGCGCAGCCTCAAACGTAGCAGCCATCGCGCCGATAGCAGCAGCCGCATTCGAAAGAATCCGATTGAGAATCCAGTTCGTGCCCGCGATATCCACCACGCTATACATCATGGTGATATCCGTTTCCTCGACATACGGCTTGACATCCCCGCTCGCCATCGTGGAAACCATCAACTTGGGAAACCCAACTGGCAGGGCATGTCGCATCACAGCCGTCACAAGCGACGTCCCACTCGACCCCCCAACACCGATCACGCCGTGGATTGCACCATCTTTGTAGAGGTTGCTCACGATATCCGTTACGTGCGCGATTATCTTCTCCACATACTCTGTTTTCGAGATGTCAGGAGCGTCGTAGATTGTGTCTTTCACTGGTGAGGTGTAGATCCCCTCATTGAAGGGATCGAGTCTATCACTGAGTCCGCCGCGAGATGTACTCCCCAAGTCGATGGCGCGGACGAGACATGTTTTCTGGGCGAGGATTTGCTGTTTCGTGAAAAGCATTTCATCTTTTTTGGTATCGCATGTTCCCATCAGGAGGATGGTTGGTTTGGTGGTTTGGATTGTCATGATCGCTTAGTGCCGAAGAAGGTTAAATACGCTTATTGCTTAAATGTAAAGCTATCCAAGAATCAATTCAATTCAATAGATAAACATTCGAATTATGTATATGAAATCACACAAAGGTAAGAATGGGGTGGAACCGATTTCCCCTCTTCCATCCGAGCGACAAATAAACTAATGCAGCGCGAATGACGCAGCGTTGCTTGTTCACGGCGGGGTTTATCGACTGACACTTCATCAGTTCAGCGCTTCTTTTCTTCTTTTTCTTTCTGTTTTTTCCAACTCACACTTCCATCAATATAGAGAAATATCTATCCAATCCATCAGATATTAACAATGCCTCGCCCTACCACCCGTCAAGAAGTCCTATCCAGACTCCGCAAGACCATCGCCGATGGCTCAATCATCGTCGGAGCCGGAGCTGGTATGCGCAGTCTGGTAGCACCAACAGTGACACAGATACTAACATGCATATGCAGGAATTGGCCTTTCTGCCAAATTCATCGAAAAGGGCGGAAGTGATCTGATCCTCATCTACAATTCGGGCCGATTCCGCATGGCGGGTCGCGGGTCGTTGGCGGGGATGATGCCGTATTCTGATGCTAATCAGGTTGTTGTTGATATGGTCGGTTTTACTTTTCTACGTGACTACAGTAGAGGCATGCGGTGATGCTGACTGATGAAACAGGCCAGTGAAGTCCTCCCCGTCGTGGAAAACACGCCCGTCCTCGCCGGCGTATGCGGGACAGATCCCTTCCGCACGATGCCCGAATTCCTCCAACAGCTCAAGACAATCGGGTTCGTTGGCGTTCAGAACTTCCCCACGGTAGGCCTCATCGACGGCAACTTCCGCAAGAACCTCGAAGAAACCGGCATGGGGTACGACAAGGAAGTCGAGATGATCCGCATCGCACACGAGATGGACCTCGTCACGACGCCGTACGTGTTTACGGTTGACGAGGGCGAGCGGATGGCGCGTGCCGGTGCGGACGTTATTGTCGTGCATGTTGGATTGACGACGTCCGGGACGATTGGGGCGCAGACGGCGCTGTCGTTGGAGGATTCTGTTACGATTGTGCAGGAGATTCGGGATGCGGTGGTGAAGATTAACCCCGAGGTGATTGTGTTGTGTCATGGGGGTCCGATTGCTGAGCCTTCGGATGCTGAGTTTGTCTTGAGTAGGACGAAGGGGGTGCATGGCTTCTTTGGGGCGAGTAGTATGGAGAGATTGCCGGTGGAAGTTGCTATCCAGGAGAATGCGCGGGCATTTAAGCAGTTGAAGATTAACTGATCGTTAGTATCAGTGTCTTGTATATAGAAGTTAGATGAAATGTAAAAGACAGATGAAATGGATATGGATATAGATAGTGTGCCACCGGGAATACCCAAAAAGGCAATTTTCCGTGCACAGTCGGTGGAGCAGCGATCCCAGTAATCTGCCGATTGATTGCAGTGAATTAACAGAGAATAGCCATTTAACCGGACAAGAGGATCTTCATGCTTTATTCCGTTGCTAAGATTTAAGAGGGGTGAAGATTGTCGGATATAAGAACCCCTCATCTCCATCCCATCCATCTATCTACCTACAATCTAGTACATTGCTACATCTTACTCTATCTCAATATCATCTAACGCAATGGCTCGAGCCTTGGAAGGAAGATTCGGTATCATCACCGGTGGATCGCGGGGTAAGTTCAACTCCTCTCATCGTGATACTCATATTCATATTCACTCACGACAGGCATCGGCGAGGCCATCGCCCGCAACCTGGCCGACAAAGGCTGCTCGCTCCTCCTCAACTTCACCTCTGAATCCTCTCACACCCGCACCGAGGAACTCTGCTCCTCGCTATCCTCCACGCACTCCATCCACTGCATTGCCGTACAAGCCGACCTCTTCCACGCCCAAGAAGGCGTCAACACCATCCTCGCCGCCGCAAAACAACACTTCACCTCCCCCGACGGCAAATTCCAAATCGACATCCTCATCAACAACGCCGGCGTCTCAGCAGACAGAACCCTAAACGACCCCGTCAAGGGCCCCATCGACGCAGACTACTTCAACTGGCACTACACCATCAACGTCCTCGCTCCGCTCCTCCTCACCCAAGCCTGCGCGCCTTACCTTCCCCACGACCGCAGCGGCCGCATCATCGGCCTCTCCAGTGTGTCTTCTACTCTCGGCTTCGAAGGCCAGTCCGTATATGGCGGTACCAAGGCGGCCCTGGAAGCCATGACACGCACCTGGGCGCGCGAATTAGCCGACCGCGCCACGGTCAACACCATCAACCCCGGCCCCGCCATCGGCGACATGTACTTCAAGACCGGGGATGCGTTTTGGCAGCAAATCCAGGGATTCCAGGATAATACGCCCTTGAGTAAGATGCAGGAGGTCGATGAGAAGGAGTTGACGGAGGAACAGGCGAGGTTGGTCAAGGAGAAGATGGGAGGGAGGAGACCGGCGTTTACGAAGGAAATTGCGGGGGTGGTGGGGATGCTGTGTACGAGTGATGGGCAGTGGTGTACGGGCAGTGTGGTTTGTGCCAATGGGGGGATGAAAATGGGATTTTAATTGTTGAATTGATAAATATAAAATATAGAATTAGATGGAATGGAAAAGATATCCATATCTTTTTAATCCATACTCCTAGTCAGTATCTTTTACCTAGGCACGTCAAAGCACGTGAATACCTCCGTACAGAATACGTCATCTCTCATTCCATCCTTCTCATTCTCTCTCTCTCCTCCCAAACCAACCATCCCCAATCCTCAATTCCATCAATTCAACCCCCCAAAACAATTGCATACATCCGGCAAATTCAAAATGCTCCCAGCAAGATCAATCCGATCAACACCCCTCCTCCGAATCAGACCATCCCTCTCCATCCGGCCTGGGATTTCCGTTCCGCAGACACACCCATACTCGCCATCACCATCATCATCATTGCGATGTCTGAGCTTTCAATCAAGACCCACCACACCGGTATCTAGGAGGATACCATCGTCGGTGACGGGTGTGTCGCGTCGTTTTGCAAGCTTGAATTCTTCGTCGGGAAAGTCGGAGGGGGATTTACTCGTTGAGGAACTTCAGGAATTGTACGTCTGGGTTGAATCTTTTTTATCTTACAGGAGATAAAGGAACGAGACTAATGCTAATATGATATGTAGGTATGAAGTCGCAAAAGATGAATTCGAAATCGCAACCGATAGCACCGACGGCGCTACCATCTACGCTGCCTCGGATCGGGAATCCGCCCGTGACGCCCTGAATCAGTTCGTTGCCGTTTACTCCCTTTACACAACGGATATTGCTCCGGCGAGGGAGTCGCATGGTGCGCAGCAGCAGCAACAAAACGACGGGGAGGGACAGTTGATTACGACCAATTATGAACCGTCCGAGATTTCGCCTGAGGTGCGGGAGGAGGTTAAAAGGAGAGTCAGACAGAGGGTGAGGGAGTTGCAGACTGCGGTTGAGGCTTTGGAAGAGAGAGCCAAGGCGGATTAATTGAATAATATTCTTAGATTAGAGGGGATATCTTGTAGTCTTGTCGATTGGTAATATGCATAATTATGTATTGTAGAGCTCTACTGTACAGATGCACGGTAATATCAAGAAACATACACGGCTCAGGTATATTCACAGCATAATCGTACTGTCCATCAAATACTCGTGTCATAAATCCCAAATGTTTTTGTTTCCATTCCATTAATTCTCCAGAATATCCCGTAAAACGCCAAGGGTGTCCACCCAAAATCATAGCGCGTGACAATAACGTTGAATCAAACGTACGCCTGTCGTATCAGACGATCAGACAGTAGTGTCAAAGGATAGGAATTCTTCGGAGATGGGGGACGGTAACGTCGGGCTGTCTTGTTTGTGGGTCGTCTTAAGATGTCGTTTTAATTGATCTGCAAAATTAGCATTAACGGTTTTGATTAGCGGATCGAGGAACCTACCAGGTCGAGTAAAGCTCTTGGTACACCCGGCAAAATAGCATTTATGTCTCCGTTCCCCGTGAGCTGGTTCTGTTAGCATTTGTCTGGTAAAAAATAGGGAATAAACATACTTAATCGATGACTTGACATATTTGATGACTGGAATATTGTTAGAATTGATCAACCCATATAATCTGGTCAGATACTTACATCGCCCGTCTGAAAGTTGCATCCTGGATAGGTACATTTGAATGGTTTCTCGCCAGTATGCGTACGTGAATGAGTTTCTATTCTTGTCAGCTCTATCCATATACTCAACAAATGCCAACTTACTCAGCTCGCTGCTGTCGGTAAAGCTTTTACCACAGTCAGCACATTTGTAGGGCTTTTCGCCCCGGTGACTCCGCTCATGACGGTCCAGCGTCGCCTGTCGAGCGAAGAACTTTCCACAAACAGAGCATCGGAAGCTTTTATCTGTTGATCAATGTCAGTTACAATTCCGATATCCTTTCAATGCCACTTACGGTTGCTGTGTGTCAGGAAATGTCCCTGGAGTTTGGACTTTTGCGAGAATGGCTCGTCTGGGCGGTGGCATCCTTCCCAACAGCAATAATATCCGTTGCCCTTGGCTCCATCCACCGTCGTCATGTGGCTAGAAATGAGGTGCTCTTGCAGAGCGCCCGGGTCGGCAAATGCCGCGCCACATGCAGTTCGGACACCGTGACGAGAGCTAGTCCATTTACAGATGTGTAGGTCACTATCCACCGGAGAGAATTCTGGACTGGTCAAAACCGATGATGCCCCACCGTCCAACGGCGGAGGCGTCTCGCCCGGGCTGGAAAGAAGATGGGAGCTGACACTCGACCGAGAATGACGTGAGTAGGGTGAATAAGGATGAGAGTGCGCGTGGGTATGGGTCCGGCAGCGGTGATGCGAGCGGCAGGGTCCATGAGAATGAGTGGTGTGTCCAGCCAGGTGCGTAGGGTTCTTTACAGGAACGTTCAGATGATGGTGTCCTGGGTGGTGAAAGCAGGAGAAAGGAACTGAGGATGAGTTTTCATTCAGCTGGCCCAAGTTATTTTGACAGTGATTATTCTCTGGCACATGGTAATCTTGGCAGCTCGAGAAATCTGTGCACATCCCCAGCATGTGGAAAACATCTGCGGGATTCACTTCGTTCTGGATGGGATACGAAGAGTGCGTTAAGCTTGCGTCGGGCGGTTTGGGGAAGTTATGGCAGTCAAAGTGGTGTTGATGTAGGTGTTGATGTTGGTGTTGGTGTGCGACGTGGGAGTGGCAGTGATTCGTGGGGGTTGGGTATGGTGTAAAGAAAGAGTTGGTGCAATGATGAGGATCCACGGTGGTTGGAGCCGGGGGCTCTATATTCTTTGCTGGCTGCTCTATTTGACCATTGTCGACAGTGGTCGATGACAATAAATCATTTGTTTCCAATGCGAGTGGAGCACCAAGTCCTAACAAGGACTCGAGCCCGTGTTCTCCGTCATTATTGCTGAAGCAATGCTCATCGAAGCAGACAGGTTCTTCGCTCCTGCAATTTTTATCATCGCAGTGGGATACGGAACACACTGTCGACGCATCGCAGTCGACGAAGCCATCGCATACCGATCCACAGTCAACTGAGCAGTCGTCTGCACAGTCGTCCACATCACAGCATGCTTCATCAACGTCACAATGCTCTAACGAGGCGTGATGGTCATCCCCCGGACAGTCCCATTGAGGATGATGATGATCGTTAGATGCATCCCCAGAGTCTCTTCCATCGATGTGAAAGGTTTCCCAATGACACTCGAGACAAAAGGGATCATCACTTTTGGCCTGAGAAGACATGATGGGTGAGTGTCCCGCCCGAGATGGGTCCACGGGACAACTGCAACCGTCAAAGGAAAGTGGGATAAAGAGGGGGGTTCTCTTCAATCACCACAAGGATCACAGGTGCTGTTCCAGAATGAAATAGAGCCCAATGCGAAGCAACGTGGTTGAAGTAATAGTGATGAGAGAATGAGGCGGGGAGAGCAGATGGCAGATCTGGGGGGCCCTAGGCACGAACTGGACGAGGGTCAATCGGAAATTCTGGTCCACGACGGTACCTGAACAAGGGCGAAAAAAAGCAACTAGAGTAGCTCTTACCGAGAAGTATGCAGGATTTGTTTAGAGTCATGCAAATCTCTGCGACTGAAAAGTGTGCACACGACCAGTGGGAGTAATAACCGATGCAATAGAGGAGAGAGTCCGGTTGACCGCCCGCAGTAGAAACAGACGCAGAACAGAACAGACGGGGACCTTTGGAGCTTGGATGGAGGGGTTGAGGAGAATAAAAAGAAAAAGAAGAGAGGAGAAGAAAAGAGGAGAGAAAGTGGGATTGAACGTTTGAGGGTGTTGGATAGACGATCAACTGCAGTGACGAGGCGATGAGGACCTTATGGACGGGGGGAAGAAAAGATGGAGATGGGGACCTTGGGGACGAGTATCGCCCATGAGGTTGAAGCAATTGTCATCATACAATATTATATCATATAAAGAGTAGCAATAAAAAAGAGCAGTATTAATATTAAAAAGAAGAATAATTTAGATGACCAGATTTAATAATAACAAAAGAAAAGAAAGAAGAAGAATGAAAGATAAAAAGAGGTTATCTTTTCTGCCAGAGATTGTCTCACCGGACCGCCTCCAGCCCTAAACGGATACCTTATCCAACATTACAGTACGAAGACTTATGCTACATATTACTATTATTTACATTTGATTATGATTTAATATGCTTTAATATACTGTATTGATAATATAAGATAATGGTTATAGGTAATATCGCCACTGTTGCTGCACTGTACTTAGTAATTCGAATAGTTGCACCCATGACCGGTTGATCTTATATAGTAGAGTAGAATGGCGTCATATTAGCATTATATCCAGTCAAATAGTACATAATATAATGTAGTAACATAATACCTAGTATCATTAAAGCTGTCAATTACTATCTAGTAGTTCTAACTGATGTATTTATGCTGCAACATCTCAATAGTCTAGTTGCCACACAGCAATTACTGTCTACCAGCAGTTATTAAACCAGACACATATATATTCATATACTCATCTCAATATCATTTCCTCTGTAATACCATATCATTCTAGATCTTCAATCTTCAACAGAACAAATGGTAGCACACGATGCTTTATCCAGTGGGGCATCCACGTGCTGCACCGCCTTTTCTCCGGATCGTCACTCCGTCATCGTTCAAGTCCACTTACCACCGGCTCTATTTTAATCAACAATCTCATTAACCTATCTCTACCAACCAATCCGAATCAAACCGAAATAATCATCTTACATTCCATCTCAGATATACCCGAGTCCCTATCCCATCTTCAAACATCCTGCGCATCGCAATCCCAGAGCGCGCGCGCGCGAGCCAAACAGACATAACTACAGGCAGAAACATAAATCCTACCTACAACTCCATCCCATCCCAGTCCATCACAACACAGCGCAGCAACAAACAATGGGAAACATCTGCTCCAGATCCAAAAACGAACCTGACGCCTTCGCCCAACCCGGTCGTGTTCTCGGTTCTGCCTCTGCCCCGTCTGCCTCTGGCCAGCGCGCAAACGGGCCGCGCGCCCCGCTCCCCGCAAAGGCCAACTGGGGCACTCCCGGGAGAACGTTAGGTGATGGTCCAGGTGGCGGTGGAGGAGGTGGTGGTGAGGATGAGGCGCGGGCAAATGCTGCTATAGCTGCGCAGGTGAGTTTGTCTCTGATTTTGGATATAGCTGCTATGGATACTAACTGATGGTGTAGAAACGCGCCGAGTCGAATACCGCTGGAAGGGGGAAACTGGGGACGAAGTTGGCTGCGCAAAAGGCACAAACGCAGACGCAGACCTTGGATCAGGTTAGTCGGGAGGAGAGGGCTGCTAGGGATGCTGATGGGGCTGCCACCGCGAGGAGATGGGATTAATTTAGGCTACATTATATCGGGTTTTGGGTCAGGATTGCATTGCATTGATATATAGCAGCATACGGAGTACTTGCTTTTGCTTGGTTTTTTCTTGGAGTTTGGCAAACTGGTGTACTTGGGTGATATCATTATAGAACAGCTATACAAGTGTCAATGCGAATATGATACAGACTATCATTGGTATCGTCTTGTCTAAACCACATTATACCGCCCACTCGCCGGTGCGCGGGCCTCGCTATCCGCCGCTGCCATCGTTCCCTCCTTCAGCAACCGCATCAATTCACGCATCGCGTTGGTCACGGTCAACTCGGTCTCGCCCTCAACAAGAATATACAGCTTGGGATTTTCCGTAGGTCCCGGAACCTTGCCCGCTGCGTAGAAGCTTCCTTTGGTCGTAATCGATGTACCCGTCGCTTCGAGAATCTTGGCCACGTTCGTCCGGTTGGTAACAGCCCACCGAGCTTTCTCTGTTGAGTAGAACACACATTAGCACTGACCTAAGATATAGATATTTGGGAAACTTACGAGGAAAGTCGTTGATCTCCAAAGTCGCGTGGAACGCTCCAGCATCGGGCCCGCGGTTGTCAATGGGAACTCCGGATCTCATGACTCCAGCCCGACTCAGACGGGCGTGAATATCGGCCACTGCCGAACCGACCTTATCCAGCGGGTTCTTGGACGCTGCTGCTGGATCCTTCTCCGTCCGGTGAACAGTAATCTTGCCATCCAGATCAATACCCTTGGGCACGCCCGGCGTAGGTGCTGCGGCTGACTGTATCGACGAAACAACCTTGTTGAACCGCTCCTTGGCCTTTTCGTTCTTCTCTTCCTTGTCCTCTTCCTCTTCGCCCTCCTCACCGGTCTTGTAGGTCTTCCGCTCACGGTTGCGAGCTGCATCTCGCTCTTGATCGAGTCGCTCTAGACCTTTACCGCCGAATCCAGAGGCACTGGCCTTCTCCTTCCCATCTCGGACCTTCTCCAAAAAGCTGTCAATCAGCTGCTGCACAGGTTCCGGAATTTGTTGTCCACTCTGTTTCAAAGCCTTGCCAATGTCCACCGAGTACCGCCCTTGGTCTTCAGTAAGGAACGTGACTGCGGTTCCTGTGTTCCCAGCACGTCCTGTACGACCAGCCCGATGCACATAGTCTTCCAAGTGGTTCGGCGCGTCAAAGTTCACGACAAGCTTCAACTGCTTCACATCCAATCCACGGGCGGCGACAGAGGTGGCAACCAGAACTGGGAAGATGCCCGCTTTGAAATCTTCAATCGTAGAGTCACGGTCAATTTGATCTTTGCCTCCGTGAATCGACATACAAGGGTAACCCTTGCGCATCAGTTCACGTAGCAGAGTATCAGCAGCTTCTTGTCGCTCCACAAAGATCAATGCTCGTGCGTCTTCATTCTGATCGTCTGAGTATAGATTACCAAGCAGCTCCAAAAGTCGCACGAACTTCTTGTCATCGTTACGAACTTCGACAATCTGAGTAATCTCGGGCGCGACAACGCTCCTGCCACCTACGATAATCTCAACGGGCTTCGTTAATGTCTTTCGAGCAAGCGCTTCCATGTTTCGCGGGAACGTGGCCGAGAACAGGACCGTCTGCCGGTCTGGTCGCACATTCGCCATGATTTTCATGACCTGAGGCTCAAAGCCCATGTCAAACATGCGATCCGCTTCATCCAAGACAACGTAAGTCACTCGTCTGAGGTTGGTGACTCTGCCTGCATTCGCTGCGAGCAGATCAATCATCCGCCCGGGTGTGCAGACGATGATCTCCGCACCACGTTTCAAGTCAGCAATCTGGTCCTTGATCGGTGCGCCACCATATGCGCAGACAGCCCGGAGGTTCAAAGCTTTCAAAAATGGCTTGCAATCTTTGTGGATTTGAGTGGCAAGTTCACGAGTTGGTGTCATGATCAGACCGACAGGTCCCTCCATGTTATCTAAAGGCCTTTGGTCCTTGATATGCCGGAACATAGGAATCAGGAACGCAACGGTTTTACCCGAGCCTGTCTTCGCTACACCGATCACATCTCGACCGGACATGATGGCCGGAATGGCCTGCGTTTGAATGGAGGTGGGATTTTCATATCCAAGCCTGTCAATTACATCCAAACTTTGAACTCCCAATCCGCACTGAGACCACTTTTGTACCGGCTTGGGAACATCGACTCCGCGGACTTTGATGCCATCAAGTTCCAAACGCAAGTTGGCAACTTCTTCTTCGGGCATCTGAGCCAAATCCGAAGGCTCAGTGTAGAACTTCTTTCGAAAAGGTTCGTATTCCACTTTCTGGTGGTTGACTGTTGGAATATCCTTCTTCTTTTTAGCCTTGTTGGCAATGGCAAGGAAGTCATCCGCATCGCCGTCCCCGACAGCGGTAATGTCAACATCGTTCTCATCACCAAATATGGCTTCTGGCTGTTGTTGTTTAGCTTTCGAGAATTTGGCACCAACAGCTTTCTTGGGTGGCCCTGAATCTGCCAACTCAGACATGAATGCGTCCAATGGATCAACATCCTCTTCTGGTTCGTCGACCTCCATCTTGGATTCCGCTGGTTGTTCCGATGCGTCATTCATCTGGACATCACCGTTCACTTGTTTCTCGTCTTGCGATTCTGTCGTCAGAGCTGCATTTTGCAGTCGTTCTTCTCGCCGTTCTGCAGCTGCACGTGCTGCAGCCGCATTTTCCTCTTCGGTACCCCCGTCTTGCATATCCACATCATCGTCATCCTCTACCACCATATCCGCTGTGGTATTAGCATCTTCGGACTGATCTAGTGGAGGGGTTGGTAGTCTCTCTAGTTTCTTTCGGGTAGATTCCTCCTCGCCGAAGCCCAGAGTTTTGGTTGCAGATGACTTTTCAACAGAATCGGCAGCAGGTCTAGCTCCCAAGCCGAAACCGCCCACGTTGCGTCTCGCTTTCAAAACGGCTATAAACATTGTCAGTATGATGAACCTCAAGGATAAAATTGAAGGGTGAATTCTTACATGAAGAGGTACTTGTAGAGGCTGGTGGTTTGTTAGCCTGTGCCTGCACATTCGTAGAAGAGAAGGTGGCGGACGCTTTGACAGTCTGCGGAACAGCAACATCTACTCCCAGGACAGATGGCGCAGCAGCAGCTGGTGCCGCATTTTTAGCGATGGCTTTTGGATCAAACTTCCCAGTGGGAACAGGAGAAGCTTCCTTCACTGGCACTGCAGGAGACTGGGGAGAGTTCACGGCTGGTGACAGACCGGACTTCCGGTCAATTTCTTCCAAAATATTCCGTGCTCCACCAGATGCAGCAAGCTCCTTTTGCTTTCGCTCCTTTTCAGCAGCCTGCTTTTGCTTCCATGCCTCCAACTTAGCCAGTCGTTCGGCTCTCTTCTCCTCATCTGTCGGTGCGGCGGGAGTTGTTGGGGTAGCTGGTTTAGACGTCTGGAAAGCTTGATTAGCGCAATCAAATACTATTTTATCAATGATGCGTACCTCTCGAGACCGCGGAGCAGGATCCCTGTTCGAGGCACGGTCTCGGCTGTCGTCCCGTCTAGACTTGTATTTCAAATCAGCAGAATCGTCTGTCCTTCTCCGAGCTCTGTCCCGGGAATCATCTCGCCTGCTTCGAAAATCTCTGTCGCGACTTCTCCGTCGGTAATCGCGATCAATATCACGGTCTCTGGATCGACGTCGGTCACGAGAGCGGTCTCTGCGGCTCGGTCTGTAGCTATCTTCGTCCCGATAATCGTCGCGTCTGTCTAGCGAGCGTTCACGTCTCCGGTATGAATCACGGTCGCGTTCGCGGTCACGGAATCGCCTCTGAATAGGAAATGTATCGGTTAGCTGCATATCTCGAATCTGAATGTCTTTGGGGGCAACCGGGTTACATACGTCAGGACTGCGAGATCTGCGGTGGCCCCGTCCATCATCTCGCCTGCTCCTCTCATAGCGATCATCATCTCGGCGACTTCGTCTAGATGACGAGTATGTGCTGCCTACAGGTGATGGTGAGCGAGTATCCCCGTGGCGAGCCATTGTTGCAGGCCAACGATGAGTGAGTATTACTAAGACTCAAAAGAACTCGAATGCGTAGGGAGGATAATGAGACGGTCTATTACCCTTCCATTGACTTGAAATGTATAGACTCGTAGGATATAAAGGTGTGATGATGAGATGGTGGCGATTTGAAAGGCCGCGGCGCGCACAGCTGCCCGTCTTTCTTTTAAGCATCAAGTCCCAAAGGCACCGCACCGAAACTATCAATCACGTGATAGATATGATATCAATAGAGGTCACGTGTTGGACCTTCCCCATTACGGAAACACCAAAACGGGCCTCGGACACGGTCCAACCTCCCGGATTCATCTGGAGCTCCCCTGCGACAAGCTCTTGCAGCTGAATAGGCGACCTAACAATAGCTGGGCCTGCAGGAGAAATTTACCATCTACTCTATATCTGCAGCCACACTCTTCTTTGGAAACAATGCCCCTGAATATCGCCCAGCGCGGAGCTGTGCTCCGTCACCTTCAGCTCGGGAATGTCTTCTCTCGTCCTACTCGTGTGGCCGCCATCCATAGTCACGCCAGGCGCGTGTCCCTAGCTGCCGGCAGGCGCTTTGCGAACCCGATTACGAGAACTGAATATCAGTTTGGAGCTGTATCTCAAGGCTTGATCAAGTCTTATGCAACTGTTGGCCGTCCCAAGGGGAGCACCGGAAAGGCCAAGCCCAAGGCAACCGAAGCTGCCGGGGATGAAAAGAAGTCGGGAAAGACGGCAAAATCTAAGACGAGTGGGGCTAAGAAGGACTCTACGAAGGAGGAGCCGAAGAAGAAGAGGAAGGTATTGACCGACAAGCAAAAAGAAGCCAAGAAGGTCAAAGAGCAGAGAGAGCTACTGAAGACACTGAAGGAGACCGCGCTACAACCGCCCAAGAAAGCTTCGGAGCATAAATGGACACTGGCAGTTCAAGACAAGCTGGTGGGTGTTGACAGATCTAAATTCAAGGGTACAGAGGTATTCCAGGAAGGCGTGCGAGGTGCCCGGAATGTGACCCCAGAAGAAGATGAGGTTCGTTCCAATTAGCCCTGTGCTTTCCCCCCTGTTTGAGACAGAAACTCACGATTTCGTTCAGAAATTTACCCAGCAAGCGGAGTTGAACAAAGCTGCCAACGCCGCTGCCTACAAAGAATGGATCAAATCCCATACGCCCCTTCAAATCAAGGAGGCCAACCACGCCAGAGAGAGACTTGAGAAGATCACGGGCAAATATATGCGTCCTTTGAAAGATGACAGATTAGTCAAGCGACCTCTTACAGCATACATCGCGTTCTACACGGACCGTGTATCAGGTGGTGACTTTAAACACTTGAAGCCCGAGGATATTACCAGCCATATCGCACGAGAATGGCGGGCTATGACCGATACGGAAAAAGAGGTTAGTCTACAGCTCCGTCTCTTGTAATTATACTGGCCGGCACTAATCAAGATATCCCAGAAATACGTTAAAATCTCTGAAGCCGACCGGAAACGTTATGCTCAAGAGCATCTGGAGGTTTATGGCACAGAAGCTCCGTTTACCCAAAACGCGGAGTCTGAGAGTTCTTAGGAAGACATGTTTGAATAGTTCCTTTTTCTCATTTCCTTTCTTAGGGGTTTGTTTTTATAGGGAGAATTATGGTGTTCACTTTGAGTCCTATGTCGACCAGCTGGGTTTCTTTTATTAGGTTTTTTCTCGATGGTTGAGTTTTGCACTTGATATTTCTCTCTGACTGGAGTCCTTGTATTTTATGGATTATGGATTTTCTATGTCTCTCGTCAATGTAGTTTATGGTAGGTTAGTGTAATTGAAACCTGGCTACTGATTGTTTGATCATCATTTAAAAGCAACCAAGCCGCTACAGACAATAGCAATGCAGTGAAAGAGGGGTAATGATTTTTTTTTTGTCCTCGGGCTTTAAATTGGCAGATGACAATCGAGCATTATCAAGGCTTTGTTGAGTCATGATGCTAATAATATGCCCGGAGTAGCGGTGAGAAGGGAAGCATGGGCCACTCCTGCATACCTTTGAATGTGGTAGTATACGATCCCAGGTTATTATCCTGAGAACTTGTTGGAATATCACATTCTATCAATGCAGGGAGCAGATACTTGACGCATGTAAGAGCAGGTGTCTACAAACAATGCGATTTTATAGTCATGATTCGACAATTGCAGTTGCGAGTCTCCCATTGACGGTGTTCAGATCGATATGGTTACATAAGTTTGAAGTGGGGAGTGATTTGTTGGCAAGTTGACAACCATTGCTTTTGAATTTGGTGGATAATGATTGCATGTGTCAATCTGATTTCTTTTCGGGAGTATGGAGTAGATGAGGTTTTTTTCTCCTTTACCTGGGTGAGTCATTGTGTTGCTATCCATTACCCCTGGGATGGCTGTTTCAGTGGAGGTGGTGCTTCACGATAACAGAACGGATGCCCTGAGCATCATGGGATTTGTCAGTGGATCTAGACTAGAATTGACGTATGTTTACTCTTTTATTGGAGTGTAGATCGCACCTTCCATTTTGTTCGATGAATTGGGCATGAGGCATTAGTGGGTGTGGACTATGGGGGTTTCCTGCAGAGTTGAGATGAGTCAAAGGGTATACAGTATGTGGGTTTACCTCAATAGCATCATCAATGTCGAGTATCAAGGCAAGAGTGCAGCGTAGAGTAATGCAAAGAGCATCATCTCTCACCCTAGAACCCCCCTTCCATACATTGTACATGAAAAGTACACATAATTGTATCCAAGACAGACACTGTCAATGCATGCAGTTACGGAATGTGAGATGCAGCGTCATCCACAGTCCAGCACGGGGACGCCCGTTGGCCAACTGTCATCGGGGCTCCGTTCAGGAGATCCCATAGGCGCAGAGCATCGTCGCCTTCGATGCGGTGAAGCCAAAGGAGAATAGGAGACTAATTATGTCCGAGGTCTGGATTTTTTAGTTTCTAGAAGATGGAGAGATAGTCTTGATGCTGCCCGATGGTTTCGAATGAGCGTCCAGGATTACTGTACGGTACTATGTAGTGGAGATGGTTGATTGTTTTTCTTTTGCTTTCGATGGAGCTGCGTCAACCAGGTGGTTGCTGAGTCTACTGAGTCAGATAGCTGTATCTAAGTATCCAACTATCCCAGCTTTTTTTTTTCAGTCGATGAGCTCTCCTTGATCTTCCTCTTCTTAATTGCCTGTCTTATTGCCCTTTGTTGATAGCTTATCCCCAACCAAGGAACCAGTGGCTGGTCCCGACGGGTGATTCTCCATCCTCGTCCAGCTACCCCCACTTGACGACGAACAACAACAACAACAACAACAACATCAACATCCTGATATCTGCCTCGAATTCGAGAATTATTGTCTTGAATACCTGGCGTTATTCTTCTTACCATCATCACTGACACAACCGTTACCTGCGACCCCCTCTCCTTGTTCCACCTCCCCTCCATCCAACATCACCAGGCATTCTACAGGAGGGGGAAGATCGTTATCGATAGGATCGTTTCCTCCGATCCCCTTCGAACCCCAGACATTCCGCGCTGGAACTGCAGTTGGCTTGTCGTCCGTGTTGTGCCTGCGTGACTCCCTCTCTTGCATCCTGGATTGTTCATTAATTGGATGTGGCTATTCAGATCATCCTGACTGTTTTGTCGTTGGCTACAACCATCCCAGCCACCTCTTTTTACTGGTGCTAGACGAATAGATACGCCGATCAACACGCACGAGGGGGAGAGAAAGGTTTTTATCCAGTACGCTTGAAACTCGAAAGGAAGAAAGAAAAAAAAAGCAAGAAAAAGCTAACTCCTAGCTACCTTGGCCCGCATTCCTCAGCCCTTCGTCCCATTATCCCAGCCAGTCCCTCCTCTCCGATCCGCTCCCTCCTAGTCAATCTCCAGCAGCATTACATTTTTCTATTTCCCACCGCCCCATGATCTCCATGGCCTCTCGTCTTATCCCTACCTTTGCTTCCCGTTGAAATTTTTTTCTTCTTTCTCAACCTCATACTCTTTGTGTTCATTTTTACTTTCGCCTTTTCCTCTCTTTCGCATATCGCGGTTACCTAGCTTATCGGCTCCCGTGCGACCATTACTTACTTCCAAAGTGCTTAACATCTCCGCACTTGTGTCATTATAGGTTTGCGCTTTTGTTTCTCTAACACTTACTTGTACTATCTCTTTAGCTTCATCGTGTCGAAAATAATCATCAGACCCTGCTCGTCGCAAGTCCACGGGACGAACCGCCTCAATCGGCACCGAGTCTTATCCATGCTACTTTTATAGTCGACTTACCGGCAAGATTACGGTCTTTGGCTTGTTCCATCCAGCATGGATGCTTGGCGCATCATTCACCATTATGATTTTGCTTATACACCCTCCGTGAAAGCATGGGGTGATGCCGTCGAAGGAAAGGACCTGAAATATGTGGCAGAAAAGGCCCGGTTCTTCCCCGATGAGCAGAGCAAACCGGATCTCGCATTTCAAACTAAATTAATTGTAAATACTATGGTATGTTCGCAATCTGATATTGAATACATCATACTCATCCCCGTAGTCTGGACAAAATATAGATACTCACCTAGATCGAACCATCGATTTGCACCCCCAGGGCTATGACCACCCGCCTCCATCCTACGGAAATGCGGTTAATGACCTCCCTCCCGAATACTCTACGTTAGCCCCGTTGGCTCGGCAGAAGGACCTGATCCGAGATGATTCGGCGCCAGCCAGGCCTGAGAAGGAGCCCACGGCTAAATCATCAAAGCTACTCATCGATTTTGATGACCCTTCCGGTATTCGAGAGCATGGTGGTAAGAAGAAAAAGGGCAAGAAAGGGGGTGGAGCACAGCCTCCAAGTGCACCACCTCCGAATGAAGAAGAAAAGCAAGAACCACCCCCTGATGAAGGGCAAAGTGGCGGAGACGGTGGCGATGCAGGTGGTGCAGGGGATGGTGCCGGCGACGGTGCCGGCGATGGGAACAATGGTGGAGATGATGGTAACGGTGATGGCGCCGGTGGTGGTGGAGACGGCGGCGGAGATGGCGGCGACGATGGTTGGAATGCCTGGGATGAAGGCACGAGCAAGAAGAGCAAGAAGAAAAAGAAAGAGGAAGAGGAGCAGAAGAAGAAAGAGGAGGATGAGAGATTAGCCAAGGAAGAGGAGGAGCGAGCGGCCAAAGAAGAAGAAGAGAGGGTGGCTAGAGAAGAGGAAGAGAGAAAGGCTAAGGAGGACGAAGAGCAAAAAGCTGCCGATGAAGCCGCTGCCGCCACCAAGGATCTTAGCTGGGCTGAGGATGCTGGAGGTGATGACTCCTGGGCCGGCTTCGCGACTACCGGGAAAAAGAAGAACAAAAAGAAGGGAAAGGTATGGTTATTCTCTCACCTATATCACATCTTACGAGGTTCTTGTTTAACTGTTGTATAGGTTGACCTGCTTTCACCCGATGCGGGAGATGCACCCTCAAGTGGCTTTCAGGACGTCAGTTTGAATGACGGCGGCGGCGCAGCACAGTTGGATCTCAATTTTGATGCTCCCCCACCTCCCGCAGGCGCTGGCTTCAATTTTGGTGGATGGGGCAAAGATTGGAATACCGGCGACAAGTGGGGGCTCGACACTCTTGACGGTGGTGATGCCGGAGAAGCAAAGGATACGAACCCATGGTCCAAGAGCAGTTCGAAAACCCCAAACGTGTTCGATTTTGGCGATTTTGGCGATGCAAACAAAGATGCGTCTCCCCCTCCTGAAGAGCAGAAGGAAGATGACTGGGGAGCATTCACCACAACCAGCAAGAAGGACAAGAAAAAGAAGAAGAAGGGGGCAGTCGAAGAGGTTTCCCCTGCACCTGAACCTGCCCCAACCGCTGAGGAAGACTGGGGTGCATGGGGAGACAAAGGAAAAGGTGCTGATGCACCTGTTATTGAAGAGCCGCCGAAGGAACCAGAACTCCCGGCAGCAGATGACGACTGGGGAGCAGTTACCACGACCAGCAAAAAGGACAAGAAAAAGAAGAAGAAGGGAGCAGTTGAAGAGGTTTCTCCACAGCCTGAACCAGAGCCTGCACCAGAGCCCGAGCCCGAACCTGTGAAAGAACCTGAGCCTGAGCCGAAACTCGAAGTCAGGAGATTCCCTGAAGATCCACTTTATAATAATTTCTTTAGTTTATCTTCAAAGGATCGCAAGAAACGCGAGAAGTCTTTGGCTAAGAGAGGTCTCCCAATTCCCACCAAACCAGAGGATCTTGCGCCGCTCCCTGAAACTGTCGTTGAAGAACCAGCGCCTGAACCCGAACCTGAGGTTGAGCCCGAGCCCGTTCCGGAACCAGAGCCAGAGAAGCCCGCGGAGAATGTTGATGAAGACTGGGGTTGGAACGTCCCGTCTAGTAAAGACAAGAAGACAAAGAAGGGCGTGTCAGTCAACGACTTTCTCATCGAAGAACCCGATCCTGTTCCAGAACCGGTCACTGAGCCACCACCAGCAACTGATCCTGCTCCTGCCGATGATGACTGGTCGGTTGGATGGGATGTTCCGACAAAGAAAAAGGACAAAAAGTCAAAGAAAAACGCTGCTAAAGAGGAGCCGACTCCAGTCGTTGAGGAGCCCGAGCCCGAACCCGAACCAGAGCCAGTCCCTGACCAAAAAGAAGCCGACGATGACTGGGGTGCTTGGGGTGTGCCAAAGGCTGAGAAAAAGAAAAAGAAGAAGGTCAAGGTCACTGAACCTGAGCCCGAGCCCGAGCCAGCACCTGAGCCAGAGCCAGAACCTGAACCCGAGCCACAACCTGAGGCTGAACCAGAGCCAGAACCCGAACCCGAGCCTGAACCTAAGGTTCCTGTATTGCCAGATGATCCTCTTTATAACAACTGGACTACCCTCTCATCGAAAGATCGCAAGAAACGGGAGAAGTCATTGAAAAAGAAAGGTCTGCCAATACCTGATGCTAATGGGTTTTTACCAGGAGCCGAGCCTGAGCCAGTCCCTGAACCAGCTCCAGAACCGGAGCCGGAGCCTGTGGTTGAGCCAGAGCCTGAACCTGAACCTGAACCCGAGCCTGAACCACCAGCAGAACCTGAGCCTGAGCCTGAGCCTGAGCCCGAACCGGAGCCAATCATCGAGCCTGAACCAGAGCCCGTTCCCCAACAGACCGTTGATGAAAGCTGGGGTGGAGTTTGGGGTTCTTCTTCCAAGGACAAGAAGAAAAAGAAGAAGAGCAAGATCCCGGACGAACCCCCGCCCCCTGCACCCACTCCCCCATCTCTTGGCCTGGATCCTGAGCCTAGAACTGAAGATTTACCCGAGGAACCTCTCTGGGATGACTATGATTCTAAGCCTGCGAAGACAGCCAAAAAGGAAGCTCCCATGGGCTTCTGGGCGACACTGGGCGCAGCCGCGACAGGCAAATCCAAAGCATCAAAGAAGAAGTCGCAGGAAACGCCCAAAATGATCGAAGAGGCTCCGGAACCAGAGCCTGAGAATAATCCTGAGACGGATTTGCTCATTGATGTTGGCGAGGAGCCGGAAGCGCCGATCGCGCCAGTTGTTGACGAACCAGACGCGCCAGACGCGCCGCCAACAAAGACCGCCACGTCCAAAGCCAAATCATCCGGAAAACTGTCACTTGCTGAAAGGGTCGAACAAACGAAGAAGGACAAGTTGAAATCTAAGACAAAGAAAAAGGATGTTGCGCCGCCGCCGGAAGAATCGACTGAACCTCCACCTGAGGAAGAACCAGCTATAGAGGTCCAACCTGAGCCGGTCAAAGAGAAGAAGGTTTCACGAGAGTCTGTCCCAGGAAGCTTCCCAGACGCATTTGAGGACGACTGGGATGAAACACCCCCACCCCCGCCTCCTGTCCCTGAAGTTGAACCCGAACCTGAACCCGAACCTGAACCCGAACCTGAGCGGGAGGAGCCAGCACCAGAACCCGAACTGGAGCCAGAGCCAGAAATCAGGAGGTTCCCTGAGGATCCGCTCTATAATAATTTCTTTAGTTTATCTTCAAAGGATCGCAAGAAACGCGAGAAGTCTTTGGCTAAGAGAGGTCTTCCGATTCCCACCAAGCCAGAAGATCTCGCGCCGCCCCCTGAACCTGAACCGCCTGCAGAGCCCGAACCTGAACCTGAACCTGAACCAGAGCCTGAGCCAGAGATAGTGGAGCCTGAGCCAGAACCTGAACCTGAACCTGAACCGGAGCCGGAGCCAG